CGTTGGTACCAGGGGTCCCGAAACCAACTTGGTACAGTGGTGACACTGGGATACCAATTTACATACCCGCAGCACTAAAGACATCTCATTATAAGAAGTATACCCACAGCCCTAAAGACATCTCATTATAAGACATATACCAACAGCCCTAAAGACATCTCATTATAAGACATATACCCACAGCCCTAAAGACATCTCATTATAAGACATATACCCACAGCCCTAAAGACATCTCATTATAAGACATATACCCACAGCCCTAAAGACATCTCATTATAAGACATATACCCGCAGCCCTAAAGACATCTCATTATAAGAAGTATACCCACAGCCCTAAAGACATTTCATTATAAGAAGTATACCCGCAGCCCTAAAGACATCTCATTATAAGAAATATACCCACAGCTCTAAAGACATCCCATGATAAGAAGTATACCTGCAGCCCTAAAGACATCTCATTATAAGAAGTATACCCATAAGAAATATACCCACAGCCCTAAAGACATCTCATTATAAGAAGTATACCCGCAGCCCTAAAGACTTCTCATTATAAGACATATACCCGCAGCCCTATATAAAGACATCTCATTATGAGAAGTATACCCGCAGCCCTAAAGACATCTCATTATAAGACATATACCAACAGCCCTAAAGACATCTCATTATCAGACATATACCCACAGCCCTAAAGACATCTCATTATAAGACATATACCAACAGCCCTAAAGACATCTCATTATAAGACATATACCCGCAGCCCTAAAGACATCTCATTATAAGAAGTATACCCACAGCCCTAAAGACATCTCATTATAAGAAGTATACCCGCAGCCCTAAAGACATCTCATTATAAGAAATATACCCACAGCTCTAAAGACATCCCATTATAAGAAGTATACCTGCAGCCCTAAAGACATCTCATTATAAGAAGTATACCCATAAGAAATATACCCACAGCCCTAAAGACATCTCATTATAAGAAGTATACCCACAGCCCTAAAGACATCTCATTATAACAAGTATACCCACAGCCCAAAAGACATCTCATTATAAGACACATACCCACAGCCCTAAAGACATTTCATTATAAGAAGTACACCAACAGCCCTAAATTATACTTATACTATTAATTATAATGAGATGTCTTTAGGGCTGTGGGTATATTTTTTATGATGAGAAGTCTTTAGGGCTGTTGATATACTTGTTATAATGAGATGTCTTTAGGGCTGTGGGTATATGTATTATAATGAGATGTCTTTAGGGCTGTGGGTATATGTATTATAATGAGATGTCTTTAGGGCTGTGGGTATATTTCTTATAACGAGATGTCTTTAGGGCTGTGGGTATACTTCTTATAATGAGATGTCTTTAGGGCTGTGGGTATATGTCTTATAATGAGATGTCTTTAGGGCTGTGGGTATACTTCTTATAATGAGATGTCTTTAGGGCTGTGGGTATATGTCTTATAATGAGATGTCCTTAGGGCTGTGGGTATACTTCTTATAATACCCACAGCCCTAAAGACATCTCATTATAAGAAGTATATCAACAGCCCTAAAGACATCTCATTATAAGAAATATACCCACAGCCCTAAAGACATCACATTATAAGAAATATACCACCACCCCACAACAACATACCCCACTCTACCACCACCCACCACCCTTTCTCAGGCACCTTACATGACAACCTTGTAGGTCTATCTCTTTAGTGTATTTGTGTGTTCATATTGGTGTCATGTGCACCACCCATTTTCAAAATCATTGAATTAGTAAATGTATTGGCAGTAAAGTCACTCATCATTATCAGTACATTTATTGGTAGTCAAGTCACACATCAGTTAATGTATTTGAAGTCATTTCGTATATCTGAATCAGTAAATTTATTGGTAAAGTTACACATCACTAAATGTATTGGTAGTCAAGTCACACATCACTAAATGTATTGGTAGTCAAGTCACACATCACTAAATGTATTGGTAGTCAAGTCACACATCACTAAATGTATTGGTAGTCAAGTTATACATCAGTAAATGTATTGGTCATCAATTTCCACATATGAATCAAATATTGTTTGATACAACAGCTGCAGTAGGAAATACTTCCTCCAATTTGTCTACAAAGTTTAGCATCACATCTTTTGCCAACCTGTCACCATGCTTCAACATTGTGTTGTTCCCTGGTGTACAAGAGGCAGAAATAATATTCCTGGCTTCCGAATTGTGTTGTTCCCTGGTGTACAAGAGGCAGAAATAATATCCCTGGCTTCATGATTGTGTTGTTCCCTGGTGTACAAGTGGCAGAAATAATATTCCTGGTTTCAGAATTGTATTGTTCCCTGGTGTACAAGAGGCAGAAATAATATTCCTGGCTTCATGATTGTGTTGTTCCCTGGTGTACAAGAGGCAGAAATAATATCCCTGGTTTCAGAATTGTATTGTTCCCTGGTGTACAAGAGGCAGAAATAATATCCCTGGTTTCAGAATTGTATTGTTCCCTGGTGTACAAGAGGCACAAATAATATCCCTGGTTTCAACATTGTGTTGTTCCCTGGTGTACAAGAGGCAGAAATAATATCCCTGGTTTCAACATTGTGTTGTTCCCTGGTGTACAAGAGGCAGAAATGATATTCCTGGCTTCAGAATTGTGTTGTTCCCTGGTGTACAAGAGGCAGAAATAATATCCCTGGTTTCAGAATTGTATTGTTCCCTGGTGTACAAGAGGCAGAAATAATATCCCTGGTTTCAACATTGTGTTGTTCCCTGGTGTACAAGAGGCAGAAATAATATCCCTGGTTTCAGAATTGTATTGTTCCCTGGTGTACAAGAGGCAGAAATAATACCCCTGGCCTCATGATTGTGTTGTTTCCTGGTGTACAAGAGGCACAAATAATATCCCTGGCCTCATGATTGTGTTGTTCCTTGGTGTACAAGAGGCACAAATAATATCCCTGGCCTCATGATTGTGTTGTTTCCTGGTGTACAAGAGGCACAAATAATATCCCTGGCCTCATGATTGTGTTGTTTCCTGGTGTACAAGAGGCACAAATAATATCCCTGGCCTCATGATTGTGTTGTTCCTTGGTGTACAAGAGGCACAAATAATATCCCTGGCCTCATGATTGTGTTGTTTCCTGGTGTACAAGAGGCAGAAATAATACCCCTGAGTTCAGAATTGGCATGTTATTTAACTTGTCTTTCTTGAGAACTTCAGAAGACAGACTTACAGCAGTCATCTCTTACACACCAGTTTTGACGGACACCAGTGTTACTAAAGCATATTGGACATACTGGCAGCAAATCCAACTAAAAAACAAGTGTTTGTGGTGTAATATATTTCTCAAATGTGTATAAAAATGAGTTCAATGTATGACTGATCAACAGTGGCTGCCATATGGCCTATTTCACCTGACATAGTTGTGACCTGACATAATGGCTCAGGTGCAGGTGCTCACATAAATCTGTTCATGGCGTGACCACAAGGCTGAACACTTGCTTATCTCATAGTTAACCAGATTGGAATAATCAAATATTACAACAGAAATATTCAGCATACACTTTGATTTGATTTAAAACAAATAGATACATTGTAGTGTTTAATCAGATCTAGCTCCAAGGGAGGTAACTGATAGTACCATTACCTCTATTTTCCACATAAATCATGCCTTCAATCCCATCACTAGTTCCAATCCAAGCACAACTGTTTTTCAAATTTAATTTTTGTTTTTGTATTCTGTAACGTCCAGTGGCAGATTGACTACAATTTTCAGCCGGATTGTTTTTAAATTCTTCTAAATTAACAAAGATTGACATCACTTTCATCTTGATGACTGTCATCTATTTCCAATTTAAAAGCGCCATGAGTTTCAATTATTGATTAACATCAATAACTTCCTATTTTGCAAAATCTGTTAGACAGCTCAGATGGGAGCTTCATAATGGACACATTTTATAATTCACAAAACAAATCAGTGACTCACCCTGTCTGCCAATTAAGACCCTGGAATGACACACCTGACACTTACCTGATTGCACATCAATGGTGGCTCGAGACAAACTGTCAATCATGGAAGACGATTCAGAATCGCTATTCCATGACTTGTGCAGCAGACTCTTTTTAAAATGATACATTTCACCAAAATAATGATGTTCAGAGTGGCAACTATTGTGTACAGTCACAAAAAATAAAACCTGAAATAAACTGTTTCCTCAATCCTTTTTTGGATAAGTTCTCAACAAGTGTTATAGCTATGACAGAACTTTACACCCTAATATTGGAAGATTTAACTTGGCAAAAGAACTCAAATCGATGTAATGGCAAACATCAATAAACCAAATTTGGTTAAATACATCAATAATTAAATTTTCGTTGTGTTCACTGAATTTCCTCCATTCTGATTAGCTGAATTGGTCACGTGTTATTGCATTCATTTCCCAATGAATGTAAACAATTAAGCCATGCCCACCGAGGCGGACTACTTTTATTACTACGGAATCCCACTATTACAGTCGAGGGAATTCCCTTTCTGCTCACGTGTATCATCATGCACAGGACATAAAGTGAAATTCATACAGTTTGCACATCGGTTTTTCGATTCATACCTCAATGAACCGAAAAAAATACACAGTCAATCCTTAAATAATTGTCGTCATTATTCAGAAAGCCGAGGTTAGATGGTAGGAAAGACGACCAACCTGCCATTGTATAAGATCTTCTAATCAGTGACTAGTTGAATATCTGGACCAAACTTGTTGAATCAAACCACAATTAAAAACATCCTTCCTCCAAAGATATATCCATTATACATTTAGACCGAACAGGCCTAATAAAATCAATTTAATGCTTTTTATGTTCGTTACTAATTAATGTTTAGGGACGAAAATGATTAGCATTATATCGAATTGAATAAACCAACTTATTTTGTAATTGCAATTATTAAAATTGTGGTTTGATCACAAAGAAAACATATCACCATCACAAAATCAAATTATCTCCCTTACCTCAGGGTCAAGGAAGAGGTGGCAGTGCGAAGTCTGCCCATCACGTCCGGCTCTCCCTATTTCTTGTACGTAACCCTCGAAGCTCTTCGGCATGTTGTAATGTATCACTGCCCTCACGTCCGATTTGTCAAGTCCCATGCCAAACGCAACTGTTGCCACGACGATACGGAGTTGACCGGACATGAAATTCTTCTGCACACGTTTTCTCTGTGCAGGTGTATGGCCAGCATGGTAGCTTTCAGCGACCGAAAACTTTTTCTTTTTTCCTTTCCCCTTCGGCTGTTCCGCTGTTAAAAAGGAGGAAATGTCAGGTTACTATACAATGGGTGGTGAGTGAATACTGTTTTATGCGACTAGCAATATTTCAGCTAAAGCATGGGTTGGCTTAAGAGCCGCTTCAGGTGGAAAGCCTGAATTGAGGTTTTAGACGTTTACCACTTAGGTGAAACCAGCAAGTATGGGTATGGTGCTGACAAACCAGGAATAATAATTGGAAGGAATCTTGGATTCGAGCACAATAAACTGTATGAGTGGGTTACCTGTTACCCTAGAAGCTACAAAGTGCGAAATTCTTTCAAGTCTCGCTACAAGCAAGGGCATGGTGCTGACAAACCTAGAAACATAATCAAACCCCAAATCATAGTTTACTTGTGTGTGGATCGGGTAGTCAGACTCGCTGACGTGGATCGATGCTCATCATATCAATCACTGGATTGTCTGGTCCAGACTCGATTATTTACAGACAGCCGTCATATAGCTGGAATATTGCTGAGTGCGGCATGAAACAACAAACCAACCAACCAACTTGTGTGCCCTTGGGACCAATTCTGCACAGTGAATTGTGGCGCCTTAGATGACTGGGCCACCCTCACTCCTTGTAACCATCTCACCCCTTGTTTAATCTGCACTGCAATAAGCATGGATTCTGGGACCCGTTTAACAAGCAGAATATGACTGCCAGAGCTCCCTGGCTATAACACAAAACAGTCACAACACAAGGATCATATTGTGAAACGGAGCCCAGGATGTGTTCATTGAGGTTTGCAGTATTTCTGTTCTTTACCTGCTTGATTAAGATCCACTTCCTGTTCCTTGAGACATGTGCGTAGGAGGGTGGCAACACGATTGGTCAGTTCCCGTCGTGTGCAGTAGATGATGATGGAGTGACAGTCCCGGAACCTCTCACCCTGAAGCAGCTGCACCAGAGCCTGGAAGAGTGAGTGAGTGAGTGAGTGAGTGAGTGGGTGGGTGAGTGAGTGAGTGAGTGGGTGGGTGAGTGAGTGAGTGAGTGAGTGAGTGAGTGAGTGAGTGAGTGAGTGAGTGAGTGAGTGAGTGAGTGAGTGAGTGAGTGAGTAAATGAATGAGTGAGTGAGTGAGTGAGTGAGCGAGTGAGCGAGTGTGATTTTACACCGTTTTTAGCAATATTCCAGCAATATCACAACAGGGGACACCAGAACTTCACACATTGTACACATGTGGGAGATTGAACGCGGGTCTTTGTCGTTACGAGCGAACGCTTTAACCAATGGGCTTGAAATGTCAAAGATTTGAACAAAATCTGTAGTCATAAAAAGGACAGTTCAGCTTCCGCAGTTTGGCAATTTCAGGGGAGAATATATTTACAAAGCTAAAATTCAATAGTCAAAACACCTACTTGCCTTTCTGAAATAATGATACATTGGTTGTATTTTGTTCCCATGTTACCTTGCCATTGACCTACAAACTAACCCTGTCTCAAAATTGCCATTTAAGCTTTTGAAACAGCCCCTGCAGCCTGTCAGCAAGGTGTTTCCACCAAGCAACTAATATGACAAACAATGAAAAACAGATGCTATTAACTTCAGAAGCTCACAACTGCTATTCACAAATGATACCACTTACATTTCATCACTGTCATCCATTTGTTGTAATAATGACATCTAAGCTGTTTTGTATCATCTAATTTCAATTTGCATAAATTGTACTTTTTGTCATCTATTCGCATTTGAATAGACAAGGCCTTTTAGGAAGTGGTCAGATATAACATATGTTATATTTGGGATTCACTGTCTTAGTAAAATGCCAAACCCACACTTCTTACTTTGATAATAAAGTGCTACATTCATCTTGGATGAAGAAAAAGTTGCTCAGATACAAACTGAATTGATATTCCTCTTGTATAGTGTGCCTACTGACACTGCAGTTGTCACCATTCCCGACAGTAATACATAGGGACATCCAGATAGTAATACATAGGGACATCCCCGATAGAAATACATAGGGACATTCCTGATAGTAATACATAGAAACATTCCTCATAGTAATACATATGGACATTCCCGATAGTAATACATAGGAACATCCCTGATAGTAATACATAGGAACATCCCTGATAGTAATACATAGGGACATCCCCGATAGAAATACATAGGGACATTCCTGATAGTAATACATAGAAACATTCCTCATAGTAATACATATGGACATTCCCGATAGTAATACATAGGAACATCCCTGATAGTAATACATAGGGACATCCCCGATAGTAATACATAGGGACATCCCCGATAGTAATACATAGGAACATTCCTCATAGTAATACATAGGGACATCTCCGATGGTAATACATAGGAACATTCCTGATAGTAATACATAGGGACATCCCCGATAGTAATACATAGGGACATTCCCGATAGTAATACATAGGGACATCCCCGATAGTAATACATAGGAACATCCCTAACAGTAATACATAGGAACATCCCTGATAGTAATACATAGGAACATCCCTGATAGGAATACATAGGGACATCCCTGATGGTAATACATAGGGACATTCCCGATAGTAATACATATGGACATTCCCGATAGTAATACATAGGGACATCCCCGATAGTAATACATAGGGACATCCCTGATAGTAATACATAGGGACATCCCTGATAGTAATACATAGGGACATCCCCGATAGTAATACATAGGGACATCCCTGATAGTAATACATAGGGACATCCCTGATAGTAATACATAGGGACATTCCCGATAGTAATACATAGGGACATCTCCGATAGTAACACATAGGGACATCCCCGATAGTAAAACATAGGGACATCCCTGATAGTAATACATAGGGACATTCCCGATAGTAATACATAGGGACATCCCCGATAGTAATACATAGGGACATCCCCAATAGTAAAACATAGGGACATCCCCGATAGTAATACATAGGGACATCCCCAATAGTAATACATAGGGACATCCCCGATAGTAATACATAGGGACATCCCCGATAGTAACACATAGGGACATCCCTAATAGTAATACATAGGGACATCCCTGATAGTAATACATAGGGACATCCCCGATAGTAATACATAGGGACATCCGCGATAGTAATACATAGGGACATTCCCGATAGTAATACATAGGGACATCACCGATAGTAATACATAGGGACATCCCTGATAGTAAAACATAGGGACATCCCTAATAGTAATACATAGGGACATCCCTGATAGTAATACATAGGGACATCTCCGATAGTAATACATAGGGACATCCCCGATAGTAATACATAGGGACATCTCCAATAGTAAAACATATGGACATCTCCGATAGTAATACATAGGGACATCCAGATAGTAATACATAGGGACATCCAGATAGTAATACATAGGGACATCCCTGATAGTAAAACATAGGGACATCCCTAATAGTAATACATAGGGACATCCCTGATAGTAATACATAGGGACATCTCTGATAGTAATACATAGGGACATCCCTAATAGTAATACATAGGGACATCTCCAATAGTAAAACATATGGACATCTCCGATAGTAATACATAGGGACATCCAGATAGTAATACATAGGGACATCCCCAATAGTAATACATAGGGACATCTCCAATAGTAAAACATATGGACATCTCCTATAGTAATACATAGGGACATCTCCGATAGTAATACATAGGGACATCTCTGATAGTAATACATAGGGACATCCCTAATAGTAATACATAGGGACATCTCCAATAGTAAAACATATGGACATCTCCGATAGTAATACATAGGGACATCCAGATAGTAATACATAGGGACATCCCCAATAGTAATACATAGGGACATCTCCAATAGTAAAACATATGGACATCTCCTATAGTAATACATAGGAACATCCCTGATAGTAATACATAGGAACATCCCTGATAGTAATACATAGGGACATCCCCGATAGAAATACATAGGGACATTCCTGATAGTAATACATAGAAACATTCCTCATAGTAATACATATGGACATTCCCGATAGTAATACATAGGAACATCCCTGATAGTAATACATAGGGACATCCCCGATAGTAATACATAGGGACATCCCCGATAGTAATACATAGGAACATTCCTCATAGTAATACATAGGGACATCTCCGATGGTAATACATAGGAACATTCCTGATAGTAATACATAGGGACATCCCCGATAGTAATACATAGGGACATTCCCGATAGTAATACATAGGGACATCCCCGATAGTAATACATAGGAACATCCCTAACAGTAATACATAGGAACATCCCTGATAGTAATACATAGGAACATCCCTGATAGGAATACATAGGGACATCCCTGATGGTAATACATAGGGACATTCCCGATAGTAATACATATGGACATTCCCGATAGTAATACATAGGGACATCCCCGATAGTAATACATAGGGACATCCCTGATAGTAATACATAGGGACATCCCTGATAGTAATACATAGGGACATCCCCGATAGTAATACATAGGGACATCCCTGATAGTAATACATAGGGACATCCCTGATAGTAATACATAGGGACATTCCCGATAGTAATACATAGGGACATCTCCGATAGTAACACATAGGGACATCCCCGATAGTAAAACATAGGGACATCCCTGATAGTAATACATAGGGACATTCCCGATAGTAATACATAGGGACATCCCCGATAGTAATACATAGGGACATCCCCAATAGTAAAACATAGGGACATCCCCGATAGTAATACATAGGGACATCCCCAATAGTAATACATAGGGACATCCCCGATAGTAATACATAGGGACATCCCCGATAGTAACACATAGGGACATCCCTAATAGTAATACATAGGGACATCCCTGATAGTAATACATAGGGACATCCCCGATAGTAATACATAGGGACATCCGCGATAGTAATACATAGGGACATTCCCGATAGTAATACATAGGGACATCACCGATAGTAATACATAGGGACATCCCTGATAGTAAAACATAGGGACATCCCTAATAGTAATACATAGGGACATCCCTGATAGTAATACATAGGGACATCTCCGATAGTAATACATAGGGACATCCCCGATAGTAATACATAGGGACATCTCCAATAGTAAAACATATGGACATCTCCGATAGTAATACATAGGGACATCCAGATAGTAATACATAGGGACATCCAGATAGTAATACATAGGGACATCCCTGATAGTAAAACATAGGGACATCCCTAATAGTAATACATAGGGACATCCCCGATAGTAATACATAGGGACATCTCTGATAGTAATACATAGGGACATCCCTAATAGTAATACATAGGGACATCTCCAATAGTAAAACATATGGACATCTCCGATAGTAATACATAGGGACATCCAGATAGTAATACATAGGGACATCCCCAATAGTAATACATAGGGACATCTCCAATAGTAAAACATATGGACATCTCCTATAGTAATACATAGGGACATCTCCGATAGTAATACATAGGGACATCCCTGATAGTAATACATAGGGACATCCCGATAGTAATACATAGGAACATCCCCGATAGTAATACATAGGGACATCCCCGATAATAATACATAGGGACATCCCTGATAATAATACATAGGGACATCCCTAATAGTAATACATAGGGACATCTCCAATAGTAAAACATATGGACATCTCCGATAGTAATACATAGGGACATCCAGATAGTAATACATAGGGACATCCCCGATAGTAATACATAGGGACATCTCCAATAGTAAAACATATGGACATCTCCGATAGTAATACATAGGGACATCTCCGATAGTAATACATAGGGACATCCCTCATAGTAATACATAGGGACATCCCTCATAGTAATACATAGGGACATCCCCGATAGGAATACATAGGGACATCCCCGATAGAAATACATAGGGACATCCCCGATAGTAATACATAGGGACATCCCCGATAGGAATACATAGGGACATCCCTGATAGTAATACATAGGGACATCCCTGATAGTAATACATAGGGACATCTCCGATAGTAATACATAGGGACATCCGCGATAGTAATACATAGGAACATCCCTGATAGTAATACATAGGGACATCCGCGATAGTAATACATAGGGACATCCCTGATAGTAATACATAGGGACATCCCCGATAGTAATACATAGGGACATCCCTAACAGTAATACATATGGACATCCCCGATAGTAATACATAGGGACATCCCTGATAGTAATACATAGGGACATCCCCAATAGTAATACATAGGGACATTCCCGATAGGAATACATAGGGACATCCCTGATAGTAATACATAGGGACATCCCTGATAGTAATACATAGGGACATCTCCGATAGTAATACATAGGGACATCCGCGATAGTAATACATAGGGACATCCCTGATAGTAATACATAGGGACATCCGCGATAGTAATACATAGGGACATCCCTGATAGTAATACATAGGGACATCCCCGATAGTAATACATAGGGACATCCCTAACAGTAATACATATGGACATCCCCGATAGTAATACATAGGGACATCCCCGATAGTAACACATAGGGACATCCCCAATAGTAATACATAGGGACATTCCCGATAGTAATACATAGGGACATTTCCGATAGTAATACATGGGATATCCCCGATAGTAAAACATAGGGACATCCCTGATAGTAATACATAGGGACATCCCTGATAGTAATACATAGGGACATCCCCGATAGTAATACATAGGGACATCCCCAATAGTAATACACCAGAAAGTACAGAATGATGCTGCTACATGCTACATAACCCTGGGACACCAAAAAGGGGTTTCACACTAAGGAATGTGTTGACAATCGCTATGCTGTCCTACCCTCTGTTTGCTGGAAGGTCATTTTGAGTGGAAGTATATGTCTTATCACCTTCAAGAGACATATTCTTTACATTCCAGAAAACAATGTCGTAAAACTACTAAGGTAGACTGATTTTCTATACCTCATCCCTGTTCTCATCCTGAGATACAGACAGGACCAAATTCTTCGGGATAGGAAGCCCTCGGACAGTTGCCTTCTCGACGTCTTCTATCCCAAGATGCCTTGCAACATCCTGTGCTGTTGACTTGGTTGCCGTGGCAGTGAGACCCAAGAAGCACTTGACTCCGTATCTCTCTCGCAGTACCTAGTCATAAACAGGACAGCGAGTCAGTCACATGGGTTAACTTTGAACAGTATTCATTTATACTGAGCCCCTGTTAATCCAGAGGGAATTGTTCTTAGTGAAATTGTACAGATTAACATATTTCAGGGTAAACAAATAATAATAAGTAGTTACTTTGCACAAGATACATATGGGCATCCCTGATAGTAATAAATATGGACATCCCCGATAGTAATACATAGGGGCATCCCGATAGTAATAAATATGGACATCCCCGGTAGTAATACATATGGACATCCCTGATAGTAATACATATGGACATCCCCGATAGTAATACATAGGGGCATCCCGATAGTAATAAATATGGACATCCCCAATAGTAACACATGTGGACATCCCCTATAGTAATACATATGGACATCCCCAATAGTAACACATGTGGACATCCCTTATAGTAATACATATGGACATCCCCAATAGTAATACATAGGACATCCCTTATAGTAATACATGGGGACATCTCCGATAGCAATACACATGGACATCCCCGATAGTAATACATATGTACATCCCCGATAGTAATACATATGGACATCCCCGATAGTAATACATAGGACATCCCCGATAGTAATACATAGGACATCCCTGATAGTAATACATATGGACATCCCCGATAGTAATACATAGGACATCCCTTATAGTAATACATATGGACACCCCCGAAAGTAATACATAGGACATCCCTGATAGTAATACATAGGGACATCCCCGATAGTAATACATAGGACATCCCTTATAGTAATACATAGGGACATCCCCGATAGTAATACATAGGGACATCTCCGATAGTAATACATATGGACATTCCTAAAAATCAATAAGGAATAGGTTTGTTGAAATTGTTTTCAACATTAGATCATAAAGGCCATCATACAAGGGTAGAAAGAAAAATAAAGGTCTAGATGCACTTCAGGGCTACTGTAGGGGAAGAAATACACTGATATCTACACATGCAACATCCTCGATAATCCAGGGTATAATATCCCCATTCCACCTTGCAGAGAAAAGAAGAGTAACTTGATTGGCCTAGTTTTAGGGCTATGTCATCTGTATTTTTTGTTTGTTTCATGTTCCACTCAGCAATATTCCAGCTACATGAAGGCAGTCTGGACCATACAATCCAGTGATTGACATCAAGAGAATTGATCAATAGGAAAAGATGGCATACATCAAGCAAGTCAGTGAGCCTGACAACCCAATTTCATTAGTAAAACAGTCATTGTGGTGAATGTGTTCTAAGTAGATATCATAACAGAATAGTGAGTATGGTTTTACGCCGCTTTTAGCAATATTCCAGCAATATCACGGCGGGGGACACCAGAAATGGGTTTCATACATTGTACCCATGTCAGGAATCGAACCCAGGTCTTCTGCGTGACGAGCGAACGCTTTAACCACTAGGCTACCCGACCGCCCCCATAACAGAATAGAGCTGTTATACAAAGAATAATCATGGATGCACATCCAACTGATCAGTTCACAATTAACAGTCCATACCTTGCACAATCTCAAATATGATGGTCTAAAGTTGTGTGACCATTCCGAGAGACAATGAGCCTCGTCAATGCACACAAATGGTATTGGCGGCAGTTTATCGGGAGGAGGGAAAGCCCCCTTCGTTGTTCCGCCACCACCCACTATGGCCTCGGGGGACATCAACAGGAAGTGCACACTCCCATCATTCACCGCTGCGATAATGCCATCACGCTGGGCTGGGGTCATGTTGGCGTGTAGACATGCTCCTCGGACACCAGGGGGCAGGCCAGTCACCTGATGCGACAAATGTCAAAGGTCAAGTACGTTTAGGTTAAATATGATGCTAACAATAATAATAACAACTTTTGTCTTGGCACAACAACTTTTGTCTTGGCACAACACTGTGAAGGTAGGAAGACTGCAGAGAAGCAGATCCATGCACAGCTAAGGGACACAACTCTGCACAACAAATAATAACTCAAACAACTAGGTCACCTGTGCTGACAAGCATGCACCACTGACAAATTAACTTTGGTCATATTGACAAATTAGGTGTTCCTGTACTTATTTTGAGTTGTATACAACAGAAACACTCATTCACAAATGCTATACAACATTACTCGTAAAAAAATCATAAACAGAAAATGAGAAGGAAAGTACATTGTATCACATGAATTTGTATAACAAATATTTCAAATTCACAATATTGAAATTCTGTGTCAACATTTTTTCAAGCATCTCACCTGATCTTCCATAAGAGACACTAAAGGGGAGACAACTAGTGTCAGACATCGGGAACGTTGGCCATAGATGTATGCAGGGAGTTGATAGCACAAACTCTTGCCTCCACCAGTAGAGAGCACAACAAGGGTAGACAACCCTGACAGAATTCTCTTAATTGTCTCCTCTTGACCTGGTCGGAACTGTTTGAAACCAAACTTCTTCAAACCAGTTTTCAAATCAGGTATGTCTGATGTTTCTGTTACAAAATGAAGACAAGTCACAGTTTACATTTCATCAATAATCATCTTCCCAAGGCAAGGGAGGTAACTGAGTTCAGTTTCCACCTTTGCCAAACTAGGCTGGTATTATGAAGTTATATTTTGGTTGGACTAACGAGTCCATGCTTAGTCCAATCAAAATCACATAATGATATTGACATCCAGTTCATAAACAACATGACAACTGCCAAATTTGTTTGATTTCAGGATTTGCAGAGCATGTGTACTGTCAACTGGGCATTGGCACATCTTTATAATATAGGTGCTCAAGTGATCTGATACACTTTGCAAGGTTAAACCCGTTTTATTACAATAAACATGTTAAAACTATCGATGAGAATGTCTTCACTGGGCACAGCCATTTTGTTTGGAGCAAATGCTATAGAAGGACAGAAGGGACATAACTCCTAATAGCCACTGGTGACTCTATGATCAAGCTCAGAAATTCCAGCCTAGTTTGGCAAGGGAAGATGTCGTTAATGGGCATACACTGTCAGAAACATATTTCAGGTATATGATGACTTTGCATGTAAGTAACTGAGTTTGGACAAGATGAACATTGTCTGTTGGGAAACATTTCTTGAAAGCATTACGCCTTGGCACATTCATTACCACACATCATGTTATGGTCTCCATGTTGTGCCTTCTTCCCTTACTTGATGACATACATATAAAGGATATCACATCTAACAAATGTCATATTTGGGATAACACTTTCTTTGTAAAGTACAGATTCTAGAACTCCTTAGGGTTGAGACCCATCCAGGTTTCCAACCCACACTGGTAACTTACACACCAACCTTGAACATTTACTTTAAAAAAATGTAAAAAAAATAAAAAGAAGCTCAATTTGAATTTTTTTCTTTAGCCAAATTGATCAGTCATGGCTGTGACTTGGCTCTTTGTGTCTTTGTCAGACATAGCTGAAATGCCATAGTCTTCCTAGGTAAGCTGACATTTCTCTCACTTAAAGAACTTGAAAATACTAAGGTTGATGCTGATAAAACAGTAGCCAAAACACACTGTACCAGTGACTTCTCCATTAGGCTGCAATGTAAGAAGAGGCTCCACAGATTTCGGAGGCTCCACGACTTCCCGCCGTGATCTGACAATCGACATCTCCACATCCATCATGGGGTCTTCATTCATTGGTTGAGTGTCTGTCTGTGTGTCCTGCATGCCTCCTGTCTGTGTGTCCTCATGGCCTTCTGTCTGTGATGGTCTCGCCACAGTTGATGAGGCTGATTGGACAGATATCAAAGATCAAGAACTGGTTTATACTTTGTGTGAGGTCATCAGAACAAGCCACATCAACACTGATTCTGTACTATGAGTGAAAAGATCTGTGTATAAAAAGTTATGATGTTAAGAAAAAGTTTGGTGAAATATTTGTGTGTGTCAATTAGACCCATCTTGTGAATGGCATGAGATTTGCAGGAATGGAACTTGAAGCAGGAACAGGGGACCGGTATATTGTGACATGACGAGCAAGTGACACCACATCAAACATCTTGTCATGATGTTCATGGCTCTGTTCAGAGTGTACAGACAACATTCAAATAACTAGATTCAGTAACCATTAATGACACATAATTATACAAGGTAATCCCCAGGTGTTTTCTGAGGAATGTGGCTGTAGTCCGTGAGAGCTCACATCATTTCTAGAACACAGTTTTGTGAAAAACATACGATTGTTAACCTTCTAAACTTGAACACTTTGGTCAGCAGCTGGTCCAACCAAACCATCAAATAAGTGTACATATTACTTTATAGAATGATAACTCCTTCAGCACAGAGGTTAGCTATGATCAGTAGCCAAGCAGAAGAAGTGTAAGCCCATGACACTGATTTTTCCCTGTTCCAATACAATATACCTAGCAGCTAACCCCTTCTAATAGAAAAAATGTGTGGCGGGGTAGGCTAGTGGTTAAAGCATTTGCTTGCCATGCTGACAGTCCAGTGAGTGAGTGAGTGAGTTTGGTCTAACGCCGCTTTTAACAGTATTACAGTTATATCACGGCGTGTCAGCTTAATGTGGGAGGAAAGCCTGAAGTGATGCAGGTCTCAGACGTTTACCACTTCGATGAAACCCACGAACACAGGTATGGTGCTGACAAACCTAGAAACATAATCGGAGCGAACCGGGATTCGAACCCACAATCATAGGTTTCTGGCCTGCCTAATGGACGCAACTCTGCACAGTGAATCACGGCGCCTTAGACGACTGAACCACCCGTGCCCCCCTGACAGTCCAGGTTCAATCCCCCACAAGGGTAAAATGTGTGAAGCCCAATTTAGGTGTCACCCTCTGTGATAATGCAGTAATAATGTTAAAAGTGGCATAAAACCTCACTCACTCACTCACTCACTCACTCACAGGCTGTGAGAGTATACATTGCTGTCTCACCTGCAGGTGTTCGGACTCCTTGGGCCAACAGTGCTGCCTCCTGGATTGAGGGGAAGTCACTCTCGTCTATCTCTTCCACAACCTTCTTCGATCCACTATTCTTCTCTGAAACATCGGACATATTGAGTGCATGTTTCATATCCCATATAAACTACTGACCAAAAGTAAGGGAAGTGATGAAATGATAGTGAGTTGCTATGACGATAAATGTCTGTAAAGTTAATTTCGGGCGGGTAGATCAATATCTGGTGTGTCCACCACGTTGGGTGATACATGCACGTCACCTTGTTAGCATACTGTTGATTAACTTGCATGTGGTTGCCCTTGGTATTGCCCACAATTCCACATGAAGAGTTTTCCCAAGCTGGGCCATGTTGGTAGGTGCTGGGCCTGTGGCGTACACACTTCAACCAAGAACATCCCTTAATTCAAAATTTCTGCCAATATTTCTAGCAAATGGAACAAGGACACGACGCTGGCCAGTTAAATGTCCTTTCACAAGAACCAAATCAGTTCGTCTGTCATGTGTGACACACCATCACACTACCTGCCCATACCAATCATGGTCAAGAATTGTTCCCTGGCATACCGCTTGCCTCTACATCTCCAAAGACGTTTTTGTATCGCCTCCGTGGTCTAGTGGTAGAGCGTCCGCCCGGAGAGCGGAAGGTCCGGGGTTCGATCCCCGAACGCGTCATACCAAAAGACGTTAAAAGATGGTACATGTTGTGACCCTGCCTGGCGCTCGGCATTAAGGGGCTTAAACAGGGACTGGTCGGCTCGGAGTCAGTATACTGTGTCTGAGTGGGGTATTCATGTTAAACTGCGGCATGGTATCTTAGTGAGCTAGCACTATAAATCGGCATCATTCCGGACTAGAACAAGCAGCCACACAAACACAAACATGTACATGCACGTCGCTATATAAGTGCAATAATCTTGGACACAACGTTAAACCCCATTTCACCTCACCTCATCTCCAAAGACGTTTTTGACCATCTGCTTGATTTGTCTTTAATATGGTGTAAAACCCATTGTTGCACAGCCGCCCCCTGTGTTGCCTAGCCCACCCACCCATCTTTGCCGCCTATGATAAGCAGTTAGGGTCACACCCTTCACCAGATGCCTTGCTTTCAAGCAGGCTGCAAAGAGCTGTTTTTAATGGTTGAATTTCGCGTTTCTTTCATACGAAATTCTCCCTTGATAACAGGAGCAGATTTTAATCTATTGCGCGATGCAATGAATGTAATAAGACGATCTTGTCAAGGTATTGTTTTTTAGTGTGTGCTTAGCTCAAATGCATTAGTGATTGTGATTTCCCTACAGCTGCACACACTTCGGCTTCTGTGTCCACGTGCATCACCTGCTGATCATGCATGATGTGAAATGATGTGATAAGGTGTTTCGTTCAGATGCACCACCAAGGTAATGTCAATGTACACCTCAGTGATAGCTACATTCAAATCATTAGTTCATCAGGGCACTTTCAAAATTAGAAATAGGGGGCTCTTATTAGAATATTATTTTGGTGAAAAAAACTGACTTAAAGGATAAATTTTGTGGTTTATGCTGACAGCCTGAAATGTTTATATGCGACAGATATATTTTTCCGGAATTTAATTGCCCATAATTAAGGGTGCATATAACACACGAGCGCGTATTATACGCGAATAAATAAGTCTTGTGTACATTGATCAGTCGGAAGGGGTGCTAATTGGGATTGTTCACTAGCCTATATGTTAGCAAATATCGCCGTGGGCGCTTATTAGAGCGGGGCGCTTATTACGTCGAATACGGTACTGCTGGTCAGTAGTATACCAGTAAACTGGTCTCATGGTTCACACTAAACAAAATCCATGTCTGATCCCATCACTTGAAGCCAGTGAACTGAACAGTTTTTCAGTAATATCACACTCATCAGCCTCGTGTGGGTGGCAAGCCCAAAGTGAGGCAGGATGGAGACATTTACAGTCTTGTGCCTCCATTTGATACCTGTAAATTTCATTTGAAACTGAACTTGAAAGGTATCAAATTGAAGTAATCTATACCAGTTGGGAAAGGCACAACAACCAATACACTTCCAATATATCAATGTTCTTCTACTTCAGAAGGATAACATACAAGATGACCGCCGGAAGTGGCCATTGCCAAGTAACTGTAACATTTTCCTAAAAGGGATAATGGCGCTAGTCATCAGCAAGATCATGGTCTAACATGGATTTGATACCTCTGGTAGACCAATCAGAATGCAGGATGTCATGGTTGAACTACAATAAACATGCATCAATACCATAATATACTTACGTGGACAGTCTCTTGACCAATGACCTGTTCCATTACAAACGAAGCATTTATCACCATAACTCTTGCTGCGAGCTTGCATCTTCTGTTTCCACTGGTTCCTCTTATACTGTCCACCTGTCATATGGCGGCCATCTTTACGTCTGTATTTTTTCACCTTCATGTTCAAGCGAACAAAATTCCCAGAGGAAACCCTTGATGCCGTTGCTTTTCTGTAAACAATTGCAGACACTAATAAACATCAAACTAGGTCATCGCTTAACATTAAGAACATGCCAAGATGTTAACTGTCCAAAATCTTTCATATAATTGGTCAACACCAATGTACACATGCCAAGATGCCAAGATGTTAACAGTCCAAAATCTTTCATATAATTGGTCAACACCTATGTACACATCAGAAGCACATACAAAACGTTAAGTATGATAAAACGTTAATTATGGTAAAAACAATAATTATGGTAAAAACAGTAATTATGGTAAAAATGGTAATTATGGTAAAAAATAAGAAATACAGTATGATAAAGACAGTAGATATGGTATAAATGGTAATTTTGTAAAAGAAAAAGTGAATATGATAAAACGGTGAGTATGGTAAAACGATGAGTATAAACGATGAGTATAAAAGATAATTAAGGCAAACAAAAAGATAACAGACCTAGGTGGAGCTTTTGGCTTGGACTTCTTGACCACTTCCCCATCCTCTTCCTGATCTTCAGGAGCATCACCGGCCTGGAATTGTGGGTAAGAGTGAGTGAGTGAGTGAGTATGGTTTTACGCCGCTTTTAGCAATATTCCAGCAATATCATGGCGGGGACACCAGAAATGGGCTTCACACATTGTACCCATGTCGGGAATTGAACCCGGGTCTTCGGCGTGACGAGCGAACGCTTTAACCACTAGGCTACCCGACCGCCTGTGGGTAAGAGTGAGTGAATTGGGTTACATGTTGCTTGGAGAAGTAAGATTTCAGTTTTAAAAAAAGCCAACAATCTTGTAAAAAAAGCCAAAATTAGACACTGAGATCCCATAATGGTGAAACCCTTGGGTATGGCACAGACAAACCAAGAATCATAATCAGGATTCATCCTGGATGAACTGAAGTGGAGCAATGGATGGGGCTAGCCATCACCCAAACACTTCATAGAAAGGATCCAGAAGTGCTGAGTGAGTGAGTTGGGTTTAACGCAGCTTTTAACAGTATTACAGTCTTATCACTGTGTGTCAGCCTAATGTGGGAGGAAAGCCCTAAGTGATGCAGGTCTCAGACGTTTACCACTTCGGTGAAACCCACGAGCAGGGGTATGGTGCTGCCAAACCTAGAAACATAATCGGGGCGAACCGGGATTCTAACCCAGACTCATAGGTTTCTGGCGTGCCCAACTCTGCACATCGAATCGTGGCGCCTCAGACGACTGGGCCACCCGTGCCCTGGTTCCAGAAGCAATTTGACTCAGTGCTTTATCCCTTTTGTCATTTGACCACAGTAAACATTAATCTGCTACGATAATTTCCCTTATTTAATCCCATCAGCATTTTGTATGCTGACTGATTTACTGAAATACAAACACACTTTACGTCATGCATAAAAGTCAATTACATTTGTGTAAAAAATATTATTTCCAGCAAGCCAGCCCTAAATTTAATTTTGAAAACATTGCAAATGGTACCACACCTATTATTTGAGCTAATATTTCAACTGACAGTCTTAACACAATAAATGATACTTACTGTACAAGAACTGCCATCATTTGCCTTGAGTCTTTTCCTCGAGGTCGACCCTGACTTTTGTTTCCTCTTCTTAGTCTTTTTATCCATTGGATCTCCATCATCACTACCATCATCACTGACTTCACCAGCATCATATGTGTCTGTCACTGCTGCCCTCGACACAACTGACGTAGACGGTGATGACTCGTCTTCGCCAAAACCTCCCATAAAGGACGTATATTTCTCTCTAGATACACTAGTTGTTGTGTTTCTTGCATTATCATTACTTGCAACAAAAGAAGGCATCTCAAAGTTTTCCGCAAACTCTTGTTCAAACATACTCTCATCCACCTCCATCACTGTTCTGGTTTGTGTAGGGAGAGTAGAGTTATCTCCCTTTACTGTATTTTTATTTGAAAGGTTATCTCCCTTTACAGTGTTTATATTTGAAAATGAATCTGATCCATCTTCAGGAAATGGGTTTTTCAATTCTTTTGGTTTGAAAGCAGATACAGAGAATTTTTTTCGAGCTGTGAGAGTTAAATGACCTGGAACATCGACATTATCTGGGAAAGATTTTGTTGAATACCTATTTTTCGGTAATTTGGGTGTTGGTGAAAAGATTGAATTTTTCACTTTATTTGTAAATGGCATTGCAATGTCACCATCAATCTCATCCATGGCCCTTTCTGATTGTTTGTCACTCCCATGTTTAAAGTCACTACCAGTGCTATATTTATATTGTCTGACACTGGCAGGTTCAAGATCACCCCCAACATCCTCAAAAGGTGTGCTGGGCTCATCCTCAGGACCTGCAGGACTTGAGACAACTTTCTCATCAGTATTCTCTGACCCGCTTGGTTTCCAGCGCCATGATGCCTTCTGAGGATCCACTTTCTGAAATAACATGTGAAACTAGTAACTGACTTATGAAAGTATACAGGGTGGTCGGGTAGCCTAGAGGTTAAAGCATTCACTTGTCACACCAAAGACCCGGGTTCGATTCCCAAAATGGGTACACTGTGTGAAGCCCATTTTTGGTGTCCAACACAATGATATTGCTGGAATATTGCAAAATGTGGCATAAAACCAAGCTCGCTCACTCACTCACTCACTCACTCACTCACTCACTGTTTACGTATAAACATCTTAAAACTAAAATTCTGGGGAGCAGTCAGCAAGCAGTATTCCAGCTGCATCATGGCGGCCTGTATAATCGACTCAACTCCAACCACTGACTGAAATTATGAGCACCCCCATCCCGTCCAGCGGGGCACAAAGACCGCAATCAGTCAAGTTACAAAGTCTGACCAACTGATCCAATTTAACATGATCCATACAACATAAAGGATGTATCATAATAATGTTTGGTTCACCATGTTTATTTAAAAAAACAACTTATTTTCTGTTTACACTTTCCCTTTAAACATTGGTATTAGAGCATTAAGCTTCTCATGATCACTTATCTAAAACCATATGAGAGTATGACTATATTGTTGATACAAATGTTTTTGCAAAGATAGAAGTGCTTCTGTGGTCAGCTATAGAAGCATACAAATCAATTCACCACCAACAAATAGATCACTGAGTAGTATAGGAGGCTAACATTGGTTGTCTCCCTTAGCACACGAATCATAAAATTTCCAATCTTATTAAAATCAGATCTTAGTTCTCATTTACCGCTAAACAAAGATCTGAGGATATCCCATCAGGGGTCGAGTCAGAACGACTTTTCATCTTTCATTCTTGTCAGTAATTCCATTGGTCGGTCAGAGTTTGCGAAAGGTCGGTCTGACGTGACCCTTAATGGGATGTCCTCAGATCTTTGTTTAGCGGCAGCGAGAACTAAGATCAGATTTTAATGATATTGCAAAATTTCCAAACAATTTTGCAATGGTGAAGTCTTTTCACACAATACATTTTTCACTTTAAGGCACCAACTATTTTACATGCAATATAAAAACATGCTATCTACACTGTCATTCAGATGCCTCAAGGAACAGATAGAAATAGTTTCTAGACTAAGCAATATACATGGAAACAGTACATTTTGTTAGCCTTTTAAACAGTGTAATGAGTATACAAACCTTTCCAGCTGATGAAAACTTTTGTGAATTTTGGAACAGTTTGCTTCCGAGTTTGTCAAGTAGTTTCTGTGATTGATGCTGTTTTGTGACTTTCTTCTGTTTTTTGCTTCCCTCAGCGATGCCTTTGTTAAAACTGACCCCCCACACTTCATCCAAGTTGGACTTGTCCATATCACTGACTGTCTCCCTCTCGTCATCTGATCTGTCCTTCACATCAGCTGATCCGTCCTTTACATCAGCTGATCTGTCCTTCACATCAGCTGATCCGTCCTTCACATCAGCTGATCCGTCCTTCACATCAGCAGATCTGTCCTTCACATCAGCTGATCCGTCCTTAACATCAGCTGATCCGTCCTGTACATCAGCTGATCTGTCCTTCACATCAGCTGACTGTATAGTCACACTGTTGTTACTTGTTACATGTTCAAATGCAGACAAAATCTGAGGGCTTTGTGATGTGTCAGGAGTTGTCTCCCTTGATGTGTTCAGTCTGTTGTCAGTATTTCGTCCATCAGCTGGTTTCTGTGAGCAAAACAATCTCAGTTTTATATCTATTTCAACATAGCTGATCATAGTAACACACATAATATTGCAGATTTTATCAATTCTGTTTTCTTGTATTACTGATAATCCATTCTTTCATATTTCACATCCTCCTTGATTTGCAAGTGTATGATATCTCTCTACTCTATTAAGATACAGACCATGGGTACATCGGTTATCATACCTTTGTCTTGAGTTCAGCTTTAATGACACAACACTGGAAAGTAGCTACCCAATCAAGTTACACTTATTAAAGAACAAATGCAATATCAATATCTTGATAGCATAAGGGTTTTCTTCACCGTCACTCAGGAAAACATCTTTTCCAGAGCGATACAAAGTTCACTGATATTAAATGATTATTATCCTTCTGATTCGATTACATAAATTGATTAAGAGTTTTTGGTTAGAAGAGTCATTTTGATGATGTGGTGATGATGAAAACGTCATGAGTATGATGAGCAAGAGACATTTTGTGCTATGTTATTGGTAAGAGATAGGGATGGAAAAGTCAGTCTTGAAATGAAGCCAGGTTTCAGATCAGTTCCTTTTATAGGATACTGTCTGATTATCATCAAAATTGTTCTGAAGGTTTTGCTCCAAATTTGAGAATGATATCACAGGAAACCCTATTTTAATCACAGTTTGTTACATGGGTCAAAGAACATTGAGAAATTAGCCTTATAATATTTATAAAGAAAAAGAGATTAAACAATGTTAAAGCCCAAAGACATACATGAAACATGAACAAATTCACATACCTTACTGTCACTTGAACTAGAATTTCCTTTCCTCAAATTGGCATAATTCTTGTAAGCATCTAAAATGATGATTTTACAGTCATTAAACAGATAGGTATCTTAAAATTCTGAAATAATTGTTCATGCCAGAAACCTGAGTAAAAAGTGGATGTGAAACTGTTTACATAAGGCTGTAACAATATTTTCATAATTAGTCAAAAAACAGTTTGGGACAAGGCTGCATGTGAGTTGAAGTTAAAGCTATTCCAGTTATATCACTCATGACAGTTTGATGTGGGATGAAAGCCCGATCTGAAGCAGGTATTGGATGTTTACCACTATAGTGAAGCATGGTGCTAACAAACCAAGAATCATACTCAGAGCATATATTGGATTGGAAATCATTATCATCAGATCCTGGCACAACTAAGGGATGCAACAACAAATTGTAGTGATGAAGACTGTGCCATCTGTACCCAATGACAAAACGGAAATGTCCTTAAAATAGAAGTTAAAAATAAGATAACAGAACACACATATATCAGGCAATATTTCCAATACAATGTGTGATACATTAAGTGCATGATACAGTTTAAGTAAGCAAGGTAAGCATTAAGCAGTAATTACCTCTGATTTCTTGAGGTGCATCGTCTATGTCAGTCTGAAAGAAATAGAAATCTTGGGATATTAATTGCCGGTATCTTACTTGTTTCAAATTTTGATACTCAAAACCCTTCATTCGTGCTAATTCTGACATATATTTGAAAATATTCTGATAGATAAGCACCATTTACATGTGCTCTTGGCCTTTGTAGCCCAGTTGCCATAGTAGCTACTTAGTCATTATTCTTGGCTACAGTGAATGTGCTTAGCAAAATCTGTTCCAGGTGCGGTGAGTTTTCATTCTTGCAATCATGAACTACTTCTATAATTTAAATTTACTGTAAAGTTTATTAAACTTTGTTGGTATCTTACTTTGTTATTGAAAATATATCAATGCAACTTCATCATGCTAATGTCTTATCATTTTCCAGTTTTCGTAATATATTTTTCATCAGACTATAAACAATAAAGTTCTAGCTTAAATTGTATATATGTGTATGAAAGAAATGTATAAGTTGTTTATAAGCAAAGTAACACTGAACCATGCCGAACTGGGAAGTTAAAACATCTGAACCTCAGGAAAGTGGACCCAGGATGAGTATGACATGAAAAGGGTGTGTCATTTTAATGTTAAAAATACTACTTGTGTGATTAATAAACCAATGATTACAGAAAATTTATCAAAAAGCATACACCATGAAAATTAAATTTTATGTAGGGTTGAATTTGTTTAAATACACAAAATGACATATTGATCAACAATATCGATATCGACCGCGATCGATAAGCTGTCCATTGCTTCAGTGATCAGCTGGGGACGGGGATTTGACAAGTATCCTACAGATTATACAACCTTGGATGGTTTCCTGCTGTGTGTCTTGTAAAATGTCACTTCCCACTTTTTCAGAGTTTTCTTCAATTCTGTTACGTCCGACATCTTCCACAAATATTATGGCACTGATGGTCACAACTATCTCCACAATACAAACAATAACGCTGCTGTCGCGGCAAGAAACGTCGATAGACACTGCACTGTCATCGCGAAAGTCCCGCCATCTCTGTGACGTCATACGGGGATTTCCCAAAATGAACCAATTAAATCCCTTGACGAGACGCACGGCTTCATGGAACGGGCACGTGTGGCTATGAACTGGATACCGTCTATGGGCGGAATAATAACCGCTATGTATTTGCGGACGCGGAAGGTATCTAATGGTATCAGTCAGAAACGTTCACCAACTAGAGTTATTCGCCCTTTGTGTACATGCACGAGAACGTTACAGGCCGGGTTTTGGACGAAGTTTGCGTTTGTCCGTTGTCTGTTGTGGAAAAAACAGAATGACTACTTGCGAACTTGTTTGCGTGAATAAGACCCACGAACCTATACTCCTGCCAAACGGGGAGACGGTGGTTATAGGGAGAAGTCCGCAAACACAAATAACAGATGCACGATGCTCGAGAAACCAGTGTGAGAATCTTGTGATTATTGACCCGTGACGTGACACAGCTGATACTAGTGATGTTTTCAAATACTAGAAATATTTTTTATATATTTAAACGAAGTAATCACATTTATTTATATTATCAGTGCTTATAAGCTGATGCTGTATATTGCAGTTTTCTTGGCGCAATTTCAGTGAGTAGTGCACTTTACCAGGCGCACTTTTTCATATCCAATTAGCACTGTGGGGGCTCGAACGCGCTTCGCCGGCTCTACCACTGGACCACGAGCGCTATCACATGTAATCAGTGTATTGTGTGTGACGTCACTGTCCGCTGTCCCATTAATCTTTTCTGGAAACCACACCTGCCATTGTTTATGTCAACATGACAGACCAATAAGATAAACCTGATTAACGCTTTAAAAAGGAAGAAAATATGGCTAACCCTTGCCCAAAGCAAGCTAACCCTAAGGACAGAAAAGGGGTGTTGGATCGTAAAGACACGTAAGTTTCCCTGAGACTGAAAAGGAGTGTTGGATCGTAAAGACGTGTAAGTTTCCCTAAGACCGAAAACGGGTGTTGGATCATAAAGACGTGTAAGTTTCCCTAAGACCGAAAACAGGTGTTGGATCGTGAAGCAAGAGTCACCGGAGCGTGAGGCACCGTAAACCTTAGAGCGAGACAGCGATAGGACTATAGCGCGGTAATTGAGTGGATGGTTGAGCTCAGGCTGCGCCTGGTAAACTGCATTGTTGCCCAATTTCATATTGTGCATCACGTTTATCAAGTCTGTGTTTAATCCTGATAATACACCGATCAGATTGATATCTTATATATGTATTTAAGACTAGACCGGTGTTTGACATAATGAAAGTGGACATTTGTAGAAGCATAAATTGCCTCTGTAAAATTTCCTCAATTAATAATGTTGTACACAGAAGACTGTAGCATGTTATATTCGAAGGGGTTCATGAACATGATTACAGCCAGTCATGTGGCCAAATTCAATTAAAATGCTACTTATGCTGCTGATAGTAGGGCTGGGACGGGTAACTCAGGTCCTTGGGTCATGTGGGTACTGAGTAGGACCCAGGTACCCACAGGACTACCCGGACCCGTTGTTAGTCATGTGATATTTTTTTTAATAATTAAAAATATCTAGAACTCGATGGTTACAGTACAAGTACTAATGTTCGCATTTCTTTCTGACTAAGCACCATTGCTTCTGACCTTTATAGCTTTAAATAAAATTAACACTTCAGTCAACTTCAGTGTATGCATGACAGATTGTTTTATACATATATTTAAATACATTTTACCAGGGCTACGCTCAAACTATTTCCAATCGGACATTTCGTATCAAACTCTTGCGACCTGTAGCGGGTACCCGGGTAGGATCGGGTAATAGTGGGGTGGGTACCCGGGTAGTAAACTTGGACTGGTCCCAGCCCTGGACTGTACCTTCATCACCTTCATGTTTCCCCCTCTGTCATTCTACAGTGGAACTCAAGGCGGACTGCAAGAGAAAGGAGGTTCAAGTGAAGCAGGTCGGAAGCAACCCTTCGGCTGTTGACAACACAGAACTAGAGAAGGGGAAAACTGTCAAAATTAAACCTGGAGACATTGTTTATGTTCTTGTCGGAAGTTATCCACATATTGTCAAGTTTAAAACCGCTGACAAAATATCTGTAAAAGATAAAAAGAGGACCTCCAGTTCTGATTCCGTGAAGGGGTCGTCAGTTCAGAATGGCAGTAGAAAGAGGACAAGCACAGGAGAAAGTGAGCAAGACACAAAGAAACGCAAGTTGTCTAAAGATGAACAAAACAAAGTCAGTTCACTGAAGAAATCGGAATCACATGACAGTGACGAAGAGCATATAAAATCTGTGGCTGAAAAACTTCAAATGTTAAAACAGTCAAAGCTGGACAAATCTGAGAGTGATTCAAAGCCAAAACAGAAAGTTTCATCTAAAGTCTCAAACACAAGTTCAAAGGATGTACAGCCAGCATCAGAATCAAGTTGGTCACAGCATGACAAACTATATATCTACACAGGCAAAGGTGTCAAGTCCAGTGACAAGGTACTGGTTATATGTTTGACTACTGTATTTGACTACTTCTGAAAATCAATGGAATATACATTTTCCATTTTGTTATCTCTATGACAATCAGCCCAAGAGGTTTATGGGTAAGAATTGGTCCACAGCAACCTAAGCTGGCTGAGCTCATGTTATCAATCACTGGATTATCTGGCCTAGACTCAATTGTTTACAGACCACCATCATACAACAGGAATATCGTGGACTCGCCTCAGACATTATCTATAGCCATGATAACCATGAGCTGAAAAAGAATAGGAAAACATAGTTCCTCATAAATGTCATTTAATGAATTATCACATTTTACCTTGCAATTTTATAAGTGTTACCATGGTCATGATGGTTGCACATCAGATTCCTGGTATAACTCAAAGAAAACAATGTTCATGTCGCGACACATTAACATAATTGGTAACTGCCATGCCACATTCATACTTTCCTGGGGGCAGTAAGTTAGCCTAGTGGTTGAAGTGGTTGCTCAACAAGTGAAAGGTCCAGGCTCAACTTTCCACAATGAGTGACCCCCATTTCTTGTGTCCCTGATTTTGTTAAAACTAGTATAAAACCACATTATCTTTTCATATGGACTAAAATATATGTCCATACGGCACCAATGAGTGAGTGAGTGAGTATGGTTTTACGCCGCTTTTAGCAATATTCCAGCAATATCACGTCGGGGGACACCAGAAATGGGCTTCACACATTGTACCCATGTCGGGAATCGAACCTGGGTCTTCGGCGTGACGAGCGAATGCTTTAACCACTAGGCTACCCGACCGCCCCTACGGCACCAATGATACATGACAGTTGCACAATAACTCAAAACTATCCCAGCAGACATCCCAGTATAATCACTGTTGCCTGCACTGTTGAGTTCATGTCTGAATCTTTCATCAACTGCATCATCATGATTCTGATTCAGATTGCCAGCTTCGACATTGACGGCACCATCATCACCACACAGTCAGGCAAGGTGTTTGCCACACACAATGGAGACTGGAAGTAAGTGACAATATTTTATGACCTCACAGGTTTTCTCTACAAAATTTTACTAGAATTTGACAAAATATCAATGGGATCACCTGTGGCAGATCCTGAGTTATTAGTCATGTTTAGGGTGGTGATGGGGAGTTAAAATATTTTCAGTGAGAGTGTTTTTCAAATTCTGAATCTTCATGGGATTTCGGGTTGGGGGGTGTTAATTCAGACAAGATTGGCTGGTGGTATGATCATGCTGATGAATTCCAGAGCAGATCTTGAAAACCGTACCATATTTCTTAACCATACTTGGCACATAGATAGGTCTAGTGGTGAACTGGTGCCTTTTGATAGTTTGGGATTTAAAAAAAAATATGTTTTCGAGTTTCCATGGCAACGACTTTGATTTAGACTGAAAATGGCGGTAGTCCTCGTTTCCGGAGCAGATCTCGAAAACCGTACCATATTTCTTCACCAAATTTGGCACATAGATAGATCTAGTGGTGAACTGGTGCTTTTTGATAGTTTGGGATTTTTAAAAAAGTTCTTTTTCGAGTTTCCATGGCAACAACTTTGATTTAGACTGAAATTGGCGGTAGTCCTCGTTTCCGGAGCAGATCTTGAAAACCGTACCATATTTCTTCGTCATACTTGTCACACAGATAGGTCTAGTGGTGAACTGGTGCCTTTTGATAGTTTGGCATGTTTAAAAACAATATTTTTTTAGTTTCCATGGCACCGACTTTGATTTAGACTGAAAATGGCAGTAGTCCTCGTTTCCGGAGCAGATCTTGAAAAACGTACTATATTTCTTTACAAAAAGGCCCAGTAAACATAGTTCACAGGAGCTAATGCATTGCACACACCCGACATGTCATATTGGCGGGGGATGTGAGTATTTCATGCTTGTTGACATTTAAAGTCAAGCATGATAACCAACTGTCGACCCCCCTGAACCTCAATACTTGTAATGCTGATTAGTGTGTTTGCTCAAATTTGAGGTCTGACACTTGAGGTTATGACAGTTGGTAGAACTAGGGCTGGGACAAGTCCAAATTTGCTACCCGGGTACCTGACCCCCTATTAGCTGACCCTACCCGGGTACCCAACCCCCTATTACCTGACCCTACCAGGGTAAACGACCCCCTATGTACCCAACCCCCTATTACCTGACACTACCTGGGTACCTGACCCCCTATTACCTGACCCTACCTGGGTACCCAATCCCCTATTACCTGACACTACCTGGGTACCCAATCCCCTATATCCTGACCCTACCCGGGTACCTGACTCCCTATTACCTGACCCTACCCGGGTACCCAGCCCCCCTATTACCTGACACTACCCGGGTACCTGACCCCCTATTACCTGACCCTACCTGGGTACCCAATCCCCTATTACCTGACCCTACCTGGGTACCCAATCCCCTATTAGCTGACCCTACCCGGGTACCCAACTCCCTATTACCTGAACCTACCCGGGTACCCAGCCCCCTATTACCTGACCCTACCCGGGTACCCAGCCCCCTATTACCTGACCCTACCCGGGTACCCAACCCCCTATTACCTGACACTACCTGGGTACCTGACCCCCTATTACCTGACCCTAGCTGGGTACCCAATCCCCTATTACCTGACCCTACCTGGGTACCCAATCCCCTATTAGCTGACCCTACCCGGGTACCCAACCTCCTATTACCTGACCCTACCTGGGTACCCAGCCCCCTATTACCTGACCCTACCCGGGTACCCAGCCCCCTATTACCTGACCCTACCTGGGTAACCGACCCCCTATTATCTGACACTACCTGGGTACCAGGTGTAGGTCTCAAAGGTTTGGTACAAAATGTCTGAATTGTTTTACCGTTGCCCTGGCAATCTGATCATGCACACACTGATGTTGACTGAAGCTTTATCTTTACTCAAACAAAGGGAAGGACTGCATGCACATTCAGAAAAGAAATGTGAACATTAGTGGCTTGTAGTGTAATCAATTGGTTTTGTCATTAAATAATGTCATTGGACCAACTAAGATTCCAGGGTTCACGGGTCCTACTCAAGACCCCCCCGACCAGAGTACCCAAGTTACCCATCACAGCCCCAAATAGAGTACCTGATATATTTGTGCCTCTTATTTACCCCCTGGGAATTTTGTTTTTGTTTTATACATTTTATTTCACCTTTTCCCTGTTACATGATTAGGATGGCCATCCCCCCTGGGAAATTTAGTGAAATTTGATGAACTTGAAATTCAAGGTCACTCAGTATGAACTTCGGAGTGAAAACAACTTGTGTATTTGTAATTGGAATGTGATGAGACTTAGCATGCCGAATACCAAGACATAGAAAGGTGGGGTCTGAATATCGTCAACATTTGGAAGATCTCCATATAAGGTCATGGTCACTAGAGGTCACATGGCTCCTATTTCAGGACATTTTGGATTAATTGATGAAAAATCAAAGCATTTTCCAATCAGTAATGATAGACTCTAAATAACTATCAAACTCAATACCTGTCATCATGGTCTTGTGTCACAGTTGTGTCAAATGTCAAGGTCACCATGAAGGTCAATCACTCATGATATTACTTTCAACATTGCTCAGTAGGAATCTTATTTTTAGAAGATTCCAGTGACCTCTTTCTGTTTCAATGAAACTGGAAGTGATGTTATGTACTGTTATGTACTGCTAATGACTTGCTTCAGGTAGGTATAGAATAGAGATTTAGTTTTCAAAGTTGCATTGGGTATGTTTCTTCCTAGGTTTGAATGTCATGTAATTAAACCGGAAATGCTCTCAATTGTTAGTCAAGTTAGGGTTCCTCGGGGCGCAGTATGAAGTGATAATGCATTAGTCAACTTCATGGATCAAAGATAATTGCCAATAGATATTGGTGATGACACCTGATTTGGTATGGTCAAAATGGTTCTGGATACATGTTTCTGGTGGGAAAGTGAGTGAGTGAGTATGGGTTTACGCCGCTTTTAGCAATATTCCAGCAATATCACGGCGGGGGACACCAGAAATGGGCTTCACAAATTGTATCCATGTCGGGAATCGAACCCGGGTCTTAGGCATGACGAGCGAACGCTTAAACCACTAAGCTACCCGACCGCCCCCTGGTTGGAAAGGTTTGGGGCATTTATAAAATGGTGGTGAGGGAGCTGCTCCTGTTTTCTTATTTCAATTTGTTTTAGGTTTACAATCTTTTTTTATCCTGTTTTAGGATTATGCTACCAGAAACATTTGGGAAGTTAAAGAAGCTGCATGCAGCTGGCTTCAAGATTGTCTTCTTCACAAATCAGGTAAGTTTGCATTGCCCACACTGCTGGGCAGGTTTTCTGATACACCAGCGCAGTGCAGTGCAGGGAGAATGAGTTAGGTCACGTCTTGATCATGTTGATCATTACTTCGGCTGCATCTGGCAGGTTAGCTTGAAGTGTAAGGAAGCAAAAAGTATTGCAGGCCAGATAAAGTTAACACTTTGGTAAAGAGCACCAGCAGACCCGTGAAGATCAGGGGTAGAATAGATCTTCAGCAACCAATGCTTGCCGTAAAAGGCGACTTTGCTTGTTGTAAAAGGCGACTAACGGGATCGGGTGGTCAGGCTCGCTGACTTGGTTGATGCATGTCATCGATCCCAATTGCGTGGATCGATGCTCATGATGTCAATAACTGGATTGTCTGGTCCAGACTCGATTATTTACAGACCGCCGTCATATAGGTGTAATATTGCTGAGTGCGGCGTTAAACAACAAACCAACCAACCAACCAACCAACAAGCAAGGGGAGGTTCCCAACAAACTATAGATCATAATTTGGGCAAATCTTGGATTCGAAAGTCGTTTTTAAGAAGATTTGATATCCTGAGTCTGTTTATGACAATGATGTATTTTCAGTATCATAAAAATGGGATCTTTTACTCCATTGTGAGACTGCCTCTGTGGTCTAGTGGTAGAGCGTCTGCCCAGAGAGCGGGAATTCTGGGGTTCAATCCCAGCCTCGTAATACCAAAAGATGTTAAAAGATGGTACTTGTTGTTACCCTGTCTGACGCTCGGCATTAAGGGGCTAAAACAAGAACTGGTCGGCTTGGAGTCAGTATCCTGTGTCTGAGTGGTGTATTCATGTTAAACTTGCTATCTCAGTGGGCTAGCTCTATAGTATATGATCGGCATCAGTCCCGACTAATACAAGCAGACAGACACACAAACGGACACACACATGCTATATAAGTGCAACAATCTTGGACGTGACGTTAAACCCCATTTCACCTCACCCATATGTAATGCCGTTTATCGTGCCCTCTCACTACACTGTTTTAATAAAACTTGCTTCGTGTGATGTTTACCAGTAAATTACCACTTACCGATGTTAAAAGAACATGACGAAGGACTGCAGGTCTTGCATGGACCTGGTGTTGTGTTGTGTACCTCTGTCAACCTGCCTCTGTATCTGCAGATGGGGATCCAGCGAGGCAAGGTGAAGATTGATGAACTTAAACAGAAGTTTACCTACATTGTGGAGAAACTGGGCGTTCCTGTACAGGTAACTATGACAACCAGAGGACTTGTATCTTGACTTCATGGGGCAGCCCTGGGGTTAACCCATTTCATCTTGCTGAAAACCTGGGTTCGATTCTCCACATGGGAACATTATGTGCTGCCTCTTTCTGGTGTCCTCTGTTGTGATACTGCCAGAATATTGCTTAAAGCAGCTAAAAAAGCAATACGTTCTCATTCACATCAGAAGTGCTTTCTGATATCAACAGGACTTTCACATGAGTTATTAGTATTATTAGAAGGCACTTTGTCGCAATTTGACAATGTGGTGCCTCAAGTCATTTTGTCAAGATGAAATAACTGATTATTATAGGACCACTGTCAACATACCTCAGATACGCAACTACTGGTGTCACTAACTTCGTGTGGGACGTAGTGAGTCTGTCTGTGTGTCCCCCCACGAAGTCGACAAGCGCACATGACTGTGTTATGTCATGTTGAGTGGCGTACGGAAATCAGAAGGAGTTCAGAGTTTTCAACGATGCTGATCTGAGTGTGAACATGAATATTGCCAGTCTCCAGCACATTATGATACCACTTTGACCTGAGACCCATGAAGATCCGGGGTATAATAGGTCTTCAGCAACCCACACTTGCCGTAAAAGGTGACTGTGCTTGTCGTAAGGCGACTAATGGGAACGGGTGGTCAGGCTCGCTGACTTGGTTGATATATGTCATCATATCCCAATTGCGTGGATCGTCAATCACTGGATTATCTGGTCCAGACTCAATTATTTACAGACCGCTGGAATATTGCTGAGTGCAGCGTTAAACAACAAACAAACTTTGACCTGAGTAACCTTGTGATCCATATACTATTTTTACACATTCTATTTGTTTCCTAAATTTAGTAAGATTTACGAAGTTCCTTTTCCGCAGATATTTATTGCATCTGGAAGTGGGATATTCCGGAAGCCGTCGACAGGAATGTGGAAATATATGGTCAAAAAGGTACTAGTTTCATATTTGGGAGGTCGCATGATTATTCCTGAGACAAATATACCACTCAAAAGAAGTTAAAGAACACCTGATTGTTTCACATGACTACAGTTAAACTCTGAACTTCTTTTGAGTAGTATATCATCACATGATTATGTTTATAATATTGTATTTGGGAAACAAGATTGTATTGAAGGTTCAACTTCACTCGTCATGTGTTATGAGGGGATTTCAGATCATACAGAAATTCATTATGAGCATATATACAGCAAATGGACGGGACTAAAAAACAGTTTGTTATTAGCGTGTTCATTATAAACATAGATTGCTGTATTTGACACAGTGTATTGACATGTGGTTATAGACCTAACACTGCATGTTTCAATGTAATTTGTTTAATATTCAGTGACCTTGTGTCATTATTTACTGATTTCACATTATAGTACTGTTATAACGAACTAAAATTATTGGTCCCTTTGAGTTTGTTATAACCATAGTTTCTGTAGGTGGCAGCCGCAGTTAGTTACAGGCCCGATCACATGTGACAGTGCTCTCACGATAGTCCAGAATATTCTCACTGTTTATTGTAAATCTGGAAGAGTGTTGGAAACTGCTAGGACTCAGTGTTTCAGATAGGTGTCCCGTCTACACACGGAAAGAAGTTGAGACGGACGCAAGTCACACTTCATGTTACAATCTGTTACAAATGTTATTATACGAGCACTCACTCACTCACCCAGCCACCCACCCACTCACTCACTCACTCACTCACTCACTCACTCACTCACTCACTCACTCACTCACTCACTCACTCACATGAGCTGGTTATCTTGGTAATGAGTTTCTTTATCAAACTGATGTCAGTTTACTTTATTTCAGCACAATGATGGCATCCGTGTAAATATGACTGATAGTTTCTATTGTGGAGGTAAGTCCTGACCTGTAGATCTCTCATACAGCAGTAACCATGGTAACAGTTGTCCCTCATCTTTGATTATGCCAGACTCCGCTGTTTACTCTTAGGATACGTCAGACAAAGGAAACATTAGACAAAATTGGGTATTTGGTAGGGTGAGCTTATTTTTTGTCAAAAATATTTTTTCATTTGTGTTTATTTCAAAAGATCATCTTTTGTCAAAAGCAGAAATAATCTAGTTTCATGGGTGTTAAAGTTTAAAAGAGGATTGTTTGAGTTGACGTTAAGTAGTTTGTATGTCATGTGACAGATGCAGCAGGGCGACCTGACAAGTGGACCCAGGGCAGGAAGAAAGACTTCTCGTCTAGCGATAGACTGGTAGGAGTCTTTATGTCCAAATGAAAACCTTTCAAGGAAACATGCTTCTCGTTCACAGATCCTTTGTCTGTTAGTGTTAGCAAAGTACCGGTCTCAATAAAGTGGGAGACCAATATTTTATTACTTCTAAACGAGTACTGCAACGAATGACTGAAAAACAAACAAGTTTTAACATGGCAATATACACAAACATAATGGATTGGGATTTTTGTAGAATAAATTTTTTAGGTATTTCCTATGAAACACCAAACTGTAAAACACTATTTTATCAAAAGTCATTTTATTTTTATTCTAATTTCAGGGTGTTTTTATTGGTCGTATAAAGATATAAGGTCTAAGCTGAAAAACTGCTCATCGTGGTGTTAAATCCAAACTCACCTCTCTAAGATTGTAATTCTCGTCACAATTCTTGATAAGAATTTGAACTAGCTGATAAAGAAAGAGAAAATCAATGCCAGACCCGGAATGTCTGTGGATTAAAGCTGTGTACTTATGTTGCAGTTTGCTCTGAATGTAGGCCTGAAGTTCTACACACCAGAGGAGTATTTCAGAGATCACAAGGCAGCTCCTTTCAAACTGCCCGAGTTTGATCCTGTGAGTAGCCATCAATTTCGATACTGGTTTGCTGTATTTATTGTTGACAACTGACATTTGTATCTGCTCCCATGAAGATCCGGGAAAGAATGGGGTCTTTAGCAACTCATGCTTGGCGTAAAAGGTGACTATGCTTGTCGTAAGAGGCGACTAACGGGATCGAGTGGTCAGGCTTGCTTTGTTGGTTGATGCATGTCATTTTATCCCAATTACATGGATCGATGCTCATGATGTCAATCACTGGATTGTCTGGTCAAGACCCGATTATTTACCAACTGCTGTCATATATCTAAAATATTTCTGAGTGCATTGTTAAACATCAAACAAAAGAAGTATAACTGTTTTAATATCAGTAAGAGAAAAACAATTATGACATGTGGGTAGGTTAGATTTCACACATACACATGTTAAAACAGACTTGTATGCTATGTCATGTTTTTTCTTTCAATAGTACAGTATGGTCATGAAGATATGACATATTTTACCGTACTGCTATAAATGCCCTCTTCACTTACTTTCAGAGGAAACTGAGTTCCACTAGTGAAGTTGTCTCCCCTGCTGGTAGCCCTATCGCTTCTTCCACAAAGGAGGTAGGTTTTATGTTTGCCGTGTCATATTGTGTGGGCACAGATGGATGTAACTGTTACCAAGTCCAACCTTATCTGTGCCATGCTTACTGACAGTACTAACTACCACAGGATACTGGACTGATGATCATCATTGGCCAAAGGGAACACTCCATTTTCTTATAAGCTCTCTCATCTTCCTGAGGTAAGGGAGTTAACTGACTGAAAAAGTCCAGTTTCCATCTTTGCCGAGCAAGGATGGAATTTCTGGACTCAATCGTAGTGCTTCCATTGGCTTACAAGTTATGTCCCTCCTATGCCTCTCCCATTGACCAATCAGATTCAACCTCTCATATTACTTGCATTTGCTTCAAACAAGATTGCGATTCTGATCAAATCATCAAGTTCTCTTTTGTAATAAAACAGTTCTTACTTCGCCATATGCATCGAATCACGTGAGCCCCTTGATTAATAACATGAAAAGATTTGGACGCCTGCTTGGTACATCCTGCTGTCGACTGAAATCACGCACTTAGAAATCCATGTTGTTAACAAACCCGATGTCAATTTTGTTACGCAATTTTGATTGAACTATGCATAGACTCGTTAGTCCAGCCAAAACTTAACTTCATTCTCGCCTAGTTCGTCAAGGGTGGAAACTGGACTTCTACAGTCAGTTAATTCCCTTGACTTAAGAAGATGAAACTCTCTCTGTTTCTTTGTGATTTGCTCTCAGTGTATGCAGTATAGTCAGCCTGTTGTTCAGTGGCCTGTGAAGAAAAGATGATGAAATTGTGCACCAGGTTTTGTACGTATTGCACTGTGTCACACGTTGTCATCTATTAAAGGGGCGGTCGGGTAGCCTAGTGGTTAAAGCGTTAGCTCGTCACGCCGAAGACCCAGGTTTGACTCCCGACATGGGTACATTTCTGGTGTCCCCGCCGTGATATTGCTGGAATATTGCTAAAAGCGGCATAAAACTATACTCACTCACTCACTCATCTATTTAAAAATGTATTTTCTTTTTGCAGGTTGTCGTGTTAACTGGCTTCCCAGCTTGTAAGTATTTCATTTTTGTCTATGACTTGTCATGAAACAATATTGTCCTACATCATGTATATGACATGACTTTCATGATATTCTTTTAATCTTAACTGAATCTATTGTATTTTTTTCCTGTATGGAGTTATGTCACTTTGCACAGATGACCATTCACAACGAATCAGTCTGACCATCAGGGTCTCGACTAAAAGGGCTTCACTGTGCAGTGAGTAGAAAGTAAATCAGCTTACAAGGAATTGTGTTGGAGCTGTTACAGATTACCATTCATTTAATAGTTGATGTATTCAACAGGATCTGTTTTCGTATTTCAGCAGGGAAATCTTTCTTTGCCAAGGCACATCTTGAACCCAAAGGCTACGTACACATTAACAGAGTAGGTTATAATCTGACACATGGTACAAAATGTGAGATGTGACACAGTGATCAGCTGATGTTTGTTTGTTGTTTAATGCCGCACTCAGCAATATTCCAGCTATATGACAGCGGTCTGTAAATAATCGAGTCTCGACCAGACAATCCAGTGATTGATATCATGCATACAGGCAGCACCATACCCATTTTCATGGGTTTCACCAAAGTGGTAAACAACTCAAGACTTAAGTCACCTCTGGCTTTCCTCCCACATCAAGCTGACATGTTATAATCATGGTAATATCACTGAAATACTGGTTCAACCTAATTAAAGAGACATTATACCCAACTCACTCCAAACTCACTCACTCACTCACTCACTCACTCACTCACTCACTCACTCACTCACTCACTCACTCACTCTAATGTACCGATCCTTGTTTCTTCAGGACACTCTAGGCAGCTGGCAGAAGTGTGTCACACAATGTAACAAAGCTTTAGCCGAGGAAAAGAGTGTTGTCATTGACAACACCAACTTGGATGTGGAATCTCGAGCTAGGTAAACAAAACAACAAAACAATTCTACGTTTTTAAACAATTTCATTATTCATATATTTGTAAACAAATAAGAGACAAATATTTTATAATGAAAAAATATACTTATCTAATCTATAAATTTGGCACTATGAGTAAGATCAGTAAGCAATGGTAAGTATAAACATAAGTAAAACATTTGTCTTTTCTTGTCAATAACATGTTTATCTTGTGAGAAGATCCACTTAGGAAAATATTACTTCTTCAGGTCACTTGATAAGATAACATGTTAATTGACTGACTGACTGACTGAGTATGGTTTTACGCCGCTTTTACTCACACATTGTACCCATGTCGGGAATCGAACCCTGGTCTTCAGCATGACGAGCGAACGCTTTAACCACTAGGCTACCCGACCGCCCCCTGTTAATTGACAAGAAAAGCAACAGTCATCCTCTCTATACACTGTGATAAACTACTCAAAAGAAGTTAAGGATCACCAGATTCTTTCATATTACTTAAGTAATGACAAATTAACTATAGTAATAAGAAATAATCAGGTGATCCTTAACTTCTTTTGAGCAGTATATATTACCAGCAATGATCAGGCTCTCTGGAAGTCAATCCTCTCCCATCATGTTGATCAAATTCATGTTAATGTTTGATTTCATCTCAGATATTCTCATTCTCATTGTTTGCTGTTACCATGGTTACAGTAAATAGGTGTGAATTAAGTATTGGTTAATAGTCATAGGATTCCAGGTAAGAATACACCCCAAGTAACCATGGTAACCGATGCTTGTCGTAAGGGGCGGTCTGGCTGAGTGACTTTGTTGATTATACTTCAAGGACGTTGGACCTTGTTCCTGATATTAACAGAGACTTTTGTTCATGATTTTTCGGACTTTTTTTTTCAGGTACGTGGATTGTGCCAAGAAAGGTTCTGTACCATGTCGGTGTTTTGTGTTCACCACTAACATCCAGCACATTCGACACAATGAAAGGGTAGGTTGTGTGCTGTCATTACCAGTGAACATTTCGGATGTCAGTCAGATACTGTAAATCATGAAACTATTTCACCAGACAACGTGACATTAATTAGGCTTGAAAACCCCTTGCCTGCAATGCTAGTAGCCTTGAAACCTAGAAACAATGAGTAGAGACAGCATCAAGACTCAACTCAATATCCGGTACACCTCACACCATGAATGAGGCTCCTGGTGGGGCTGGGGGCGGTGTGGGGGATCAGGATGTAGTGCAGGTCATGTTTTACAAATACTAAAATGCTGACTGTTTTTGTTGTCATTAGATCTAGTTATATAAGACTGTGATTTTGTTAATCTTTCACAGTAAATATTATCTTATATATACAAATGTTTTTAGTTGTTTGGTGCATTAATATTAACATCATGAACTTGTCGAAATCTTACGTAGGGATCGTGCGTATTGAAACATGTTTTCCATAGCCGTGTGAAGTTACTGTGAACCAAAATAAACAAATTCTTAACTCCTTTATGGCCTATCCCTTGCTGAGAAAAAAAGTTCCTTGGATTATTTTAAAGAAAAAAATTGAACAGACTTTTGCAGAATGATTGAAACTTTAATAATGGTAACAACAACGATTCTGTGTAATCTGATTATATCTCTGGTGTAATTTCACTTATATATAGCTTTCGAATCAAACCGCTCTCTCACTTGAAGAAGGAGAGGTCAGAGTATGCATTAGTCGGTGTCACTATCACTTTCTATGACAATCCAGCGACTTTGGACTCATGTTGTTTAACTGTAAATGTAAGATTGTTTGACAAGGATACAAGGACGATGTGCTATCATAAGTAACTCTGATAGATTCTTTATTGGGAGATAACAATGTTTCTCTGATTTACTTCCATTTCAAGGGCATTGCTAACATTTGGGATGTTTACTTAAAACTGATGTTGCAAACAAGTTGCTAGGCTTGTTGCACAACGCCTCAGTGTCATGTCTGATGGACAATTGAACTGATGGGACTTGGAACAGTGGCAGCATTGTGATTCGTCAAATATACAACTAACATTGACGTAAACATTTTCCTTGTAGTATCGTGAGATGACAGACAAGAGCCACAAGCCAATCAATGAAATGGTCCTCAATTCTTTCAAGTAAGTCAATATGGGCATAACAAGACTGGAAGCAGTCAACCCGTTTCCATGGTTTCCAGTATGAATTATTTTCACCCGGGGTTGTTCCAAATCCACAAACACCTCTGTAAACAGAAAGAGTATTTCATTTCTTTGCATGTGATTGTTGTGAAATGGAGATTGGCTCCAGCCTACCCATGATCTGGGACAAGACGAGCAATATATAAGTTTCATGTGACCTGGCTGATCTTACGTTAGGCAAATGATTTGCCCGGCCTTGAGTCTTCTTAGTAATAATGATACTTATAGCGCACCCTTAACTACAGTCGAAACTTCTTGTGTCAAACTCATTGAGATCTGGAAAAAAGCTATCCAGGGTTCGAGACAATCATGAAAGTGAACTGCCAAAAACAAAACATCATGTTTTGAGAGATGATTACATGTAATCTAGTCATCTTTGGTCTTATACTACGTTTCAACGTCTATGATGCTTTTTCTCATTTCTCCCATTGACACGTGTCAACAACAGTCACAGGACATCGGTCCAATAACTTGCTGCCAATGTCTATGCACTAATCAGGACAACTGGGAATTTGACAGATCTGAGTATAAATGATGATAAATATAGAGGGAATTTGCAGGGACCGGAAGGAGAGTTTAAGACACCCCGGAATTTGATACAGGCAAGTTCGACACGACGAGGTTCGTCTGGAGTTTGAAGTTTGTTGACTGCAGTTTTAAACAATCTTTGCTTCCTTCTGAATAAGTCTCTCATTTGAAATGTGAATGATCCTGGTGGAATTTTAATCTTTGAAGTGAAGCTGTGCATGATGTCATTTCAGGTCGAAGTACAAGGAGCCAATGAAAGGGGAGGGATTTTCTGAGATTCTTAAAATAAACTTTGTGCCCAAGTTTGAGAGCAGCGCAAGCGAGGATCTCTACAAACAGTTTCTCCTGGAGAAATGAAACTCAGCTGGAATGCATGAATAGTTCTGAGATGCCTTGTGAAGTGAGTGCGTGAGTGATATTTCAGTGATATCATGGTGTGTCAGCCAGGTGTGGGAGAACTGTAGTGATGCAGAAAGCAGAGTATTCCACCTGGATGAAGCCCCTAATACAATGTAGATGACATTCTTGGATTCTGGGATTCAAACCCATGATCAGTGAATACCAGCACAACTAAGGGATACAACTCTTGCCTTATTGAAGCAATATCTGTTGCCATGGTATCCTGGCATGTACCATCTTTCAAAGGCAAGTGAGTTACTGACTATAAAAGTCCAGTTGCCACCTTTGCCGACCTAGGCTGGAATTATGGAGTAATGTTTTGGCTGGACTAACGAGTCTATGCATTGTCCAATCAAAATTGCATAAGGAAATTGACATCCGGTTTGAAAACTGCCGTGCAGATTTCAGTTGATTGCAGGATTTGCAAAGCATGTGTACTGCCAACTTGGCATCAACATACATATTCCAAATCTTTTCATATTTTTGATAAAGGTGCTCATGTGATTTGATGCACTTTGTGAAATAAGACCTGTTTATAACAATCAAGATCTTGATTATCGATCAGATCGTCTTCACTGGGCACTGGCATTTTGTTTGAAGCAAATGCATGTGATATGAGAGGTGGAATCTGATTGGTCAATAGGAGGGACATAGAAGGGACATAACTCATAATAGCAGCTGCTGGCGCTACCGCCAAGCCCAAAAATTCAAGCCTAGTTTGGCAAGGATGGAAACTGGACTTTTCCAGTCAGTTATCTCTATGGCCTCAGGAAGATGGGCATGAACTGTTGCTGAACACTCTGTTGCCATGGTATCCTGGCTTGTACTGTTGCTGAGCACTCTGTTGCCATGGTATCCTGGCTTGTACTGTTGCTGAGCACTCTGTTGCCATGGTATCCTGGCTTGTACTGTTGCTGAGCACTCTGTTGCCATGGTATCCTGGCTTGTACTGTTGCTGAGCACTCTGTTGCCATGGTATCCTGGCTTGTACTGTTGCTGAGCACTCTGTTGCCATGGCATCCTGGCATGTACTGTTACTGAGCACTGTTGCTATGGTATCCTAGTTTGTACTGTTGCTGAGCAACCTCTGTAGTCTGGCAATATATGTTTCTGTGTTTGCATTTGAGATTTGTTTTGAATCAATGGACGATGTAAACTTGAGGGAGATTGTTTCATTTGGCTGCAGTTGAGAATGAGACTGAATGTGGTCGCGAAGTGTTTGCATGTGATAGAGTGTAGCTGCCTCGTCCAGGGCCAGGCAGATAATGGAGGACCATGTCCAGAGATGCCCTCGTGTTCAACTAATGGTGTTAGGACAGTAAGGCCTTCTTTTCAGTTGTATATTTACACAAGTAGACAATGCCTTCTCATACAAAGCAACAAGTGGTATTCTAGATTGAAGTGAACATAAAATGTAGGAAACGTCATGTCATGTCATGCTATATATACTGGTACCTGGGAGGGGGAATACATGGGGCCGGCCCCTATTCTCATCATGATACACTACTCAGCTTGACTGCATGTTTGCTTGCATATGTTGTCATGTCAATATTTAATATTGCCATGGAAATCAGCATGTGCAGCTTCATTCCAAGTTGATTGCACAGTTCTGTAAGTTGTTGTCGTTGTGGTACGTCACAGTATGAAATATCCCAGTATCCCTACCACATGTTGAGTAGTATATCATACATACCCGTGAAGATCTGGGGTAGAAGAGGTCTTCAGCAACCCATGCCTGCCGTAAAAGGCGACTTTGTATCATACATACCTGTGAAGATCTGGGTTAGAAGAGGTCTTCAGCAATCCATGCTTGCCGTAAAAGGCGACTTTCCTTGTCGTAAGAGGCAACTAATGGGATTAGGTGGTCAGGCTCGCTGATTTGGTTGATGCATGTCATCTTATCCCAATTGTGTGGACCTCGTGATGTCAATCACTGGATTGTCTGGTCCAGACATGATTATTTACAAATTATTTGTCATATAGCTGGAATATTGCTGAGTGTGGTTTTAAACAACAAACAAACAAACAAATAATACACTATTTTTGTAGAAGTATTTCGCACCAGTAAGTCTTCTGTACCTGGCATAATTATTTCAATCCCACAGAACACAATCAATACATACTGGCAATATATGATTAATATACCGTATTTGATGTAATAAGCCCCCTCCTCTAATAAGCGCCCACGGAGACATTTGCTAAAATATTGGCTAGTGAACAATCCCAATTAGCACCCCTTCCGATTGATCAATGTACACAAGACTAATTTATTCGCGTATAATACGCACTGGTGTGCTATATGCACCCTTAATTATGGGCAATAAAATTCTGGAAAATATAACTGTCGTACATAAACATTTCAGGCTCTCAGCATAACCATGAAATTTATCTTTCAAGTCTGGTTTTTTTCCACCAAAATAATATTCTACTAAGAGCACCCTATTTCTAATTTTGAGAGCACCCTGGGCACTTATTACGTTGAATACGGTAATATGAATGTGGCGCCATGTGATATCAGATGGTCAGTGTAATATACCATGATATCCCCTCCGTGAAGATCCGGGTTACAATAGGTCTTCCGCAACCCATGCTTGTCATAAGTGGCGACTAACAGGATCGGGTGGTCAGACTTGGTGCCCTTGATGATACTTAATGATATGGATGATGAAGTGAAGTATTTCACACAGACAGTCAACACAAATGTAGCTTCATTTTCGATTATTGCACAACTATAGTATAACAACACTGTATCATGTGGGTGGTGGGCATCAACAGAGGTGAGTGGTCAATTTGCCTTACATTTGGTCCAATGTTTTTGTTGAGAACAAGGCTCTTCATACATTAAGATTTTTGTCATAGCATGATATGGTGTGATGAGAAGAACTTTTACCAAATTGACTTTATACTATAAATTTTACTGTTGTTTGGAGATGAAGCTTGCTTGATATGTTTTCATGTCAGAATAAATTGAAGTCCTTTCTTACACTCACTGTTGCATCTTTTGTGATGGAAAAACAGCCCCTTACTGACTTTTGGTGTAATGTACACCATATTTGCCTTAATAAATGCTTAAAAAATTTATATGGGGGGAGGGCTTATTACACAACGACTCAAATCTTTTTTCAGAGATTGAGCAGAAGTGGATGAACTAGTTTAATAATTGATGAAACTAAAAGTTTTTCGATACTTAATTGTTACAAGGCAGTTATATGCTCCTTCCTCGCTGCTGTTTTATGTAAAAATACAACATACATGAGAAATTATGGACTGTCGTGTAACTTTTCAGTCTTTGTAGGGAATGTTTATAAAGATTACTTACAGATTGGTATTGTAGTTGGTCAGGGGGCACTTATTGGAGCAGTTTCTAGGAGGATTCGGGGTCATGGATGGCCCAGTCGTCTAAGGCGCCGCGATTCGCTGTGCAGGGTTACGTCCCTTGGGCACACCAGAAACCTATGATTGTGGGTTCGAATCCCAGTTCGCCCCGATTATGTTTCTAGGTTTGTCAGCACCATACCCGTGCTTGTGGGTTTCACCAAAGTGGTAAACGTCTGAGACCTGCATCACTTGGGGCTTTCCTCCCACATCAAGCTGACACCCCGTGATATAACTGCAATACTGTTAAAAGCGGCGTTAAATCCAACTCACTCACTGAAGACAGATATTTTTGGCATTGACCTGAATGTTTCCACATCTTTGATACTTCTTATGTTAGGTGACAGAGAGTTCCATAAAGTTGGGCCAGCTTTTGCAACAGAATGATCTCCAAAAATGCTTGTCCTCATTCATGGTATCTTCAGAAGATGAATGGGGCGGTGGGGTAGCCTAGTGGTTAAAGTGTTCGTGTTCCAGGCATATCAGCCAACAAGGTCACCATGATCAAGTGATCATCTTTTGAGTGAATGAGCATGGTTTTATGCCACTTATAGCAATATTCCAACAATATCACGGCAGGGCACACCAGAAATGGGCTTTACACATTGTACTCATGTGGGGAATCAAACCCAGGACTTGGGAGTGACGAGCAAATGCTTTAACCACTAGGCTACCCCACTGCCCCGAGTGTTCTGAGAGTACCTAAGGTTGGTCAACAGATGAACCTGTGAAAACCTGGGTGACAGTTGATCTTAAGCAACCCAACCCATCAAAGCATTATGATACTGCAGACCAGCAGAATTATTCTTAGTTAATGACTGTCACCACTTGAAACGATGAAGAAGAATTCTTTACAGCATAAGTTATGAAAGTTTATTCCATAAACTTCAGACAGAAAATAAACATGGAAGTATAGGGCATTAGGATGAAACTAAACAGGTATAAGAAATAACAACTCTGTACAGGGCAATAAATAGTAAAATAGATCAGCCAATTAAATGAAGACAGTTTCATTATCACAGTTCGTTGTACACACATCCTGGAGGGAATACAGCAAAGGGAGACAACTCTGGAGTTGGAGCCTAGAGGAATACAGCAAAGGGAGACAACTCTGGACTAGGAGCTTCATCACGTCAGGTTGAATACTGAAGTTACCTAAAACTGAAATACTGTTTGGAAAATCTGTTATTACAAATGCCGAATAAATATCACTACTCTGGATATTATTGCAATAAGTTGTAATACAATCACTACGAGAAATGTAAATGCTATGGATAGTCATCACCTAATTATATCTACACATCTGAAATATTATTCAATAATGGTCAGGCAAGAACAATTTTTGTTTCTAGTTTTAAGGTCTTAAAACATAATTATAAAAAATCAGGTCATCTTTAATATTTAATGAAAAACCTTACAATTCAAATTGAACCAAAAAAATAAAAACTTAATTGAACACATTTTGATCAAATATTTTTTCACCTTAACTTCAAGTGAAGGCTTATCCATGAAAGAGAAGACAAAATGGTCTTGCCTGTTAATAAAATATAACAAACACACAGATGCTATACTGTGTGGGTATGCACGTGTTAGTACATTGCTCTACTATGTACTGCATGTAATAACATACATACCACTCCTGAGTAGAAGCACTATCTTTATTACAACATATCTACCAGCTAAACACATGGTGAGTGTATAAATGTTTTATCACAGTGTGGAGGGGCTTCAAGAAATACTGACAGTGGAAACAATGGATGGTTCCAAATAAATATACACAAGATATTTAAAACATTTTATTTTTTATCACGGATACTTGACTGATGACTGCTAATCAAAATTCATCACAATAGAAGAATGTTTGTGCAATGAAACATGGACGGACTATGAAGACAAAAGGCAATATTTTCTGATCAGTTCAGAAACCCAGCCTTTTTGAAAGGCTATTATCGATTTAAGAAATATTATACATAGAAACTGGCTGCTTTATTTAGTATAATTTTGATGATCTGAATACAAATACCATGCAATAGTTTGTGCATGTAGTTTTTTAATCCGTCACATTTTCATCATGACGAGAAGTTAAAGCATTTCCATTATAACCAGTTGTTACATTGATTCAATTCTACACCGGCTAAAGGCAATTCAACAGCAACACAATCAGCTGTCGATTGTGTCCAGGAACTCACATACGGTAACATTGTTCCAAACAAATTGTACTTTTTGACAAAAAAATGTCATAACAAAGAAGTTGATTCTATCAATAGAGTTTGATATAAATGCTTTCTAAGCAAAGCAAGGCAATACTTTAAACATATGTGAATCAAGACCATTTTCCAAAAATGGAAAATATAATAAGAAATATGGTAAATCTTAAACTAGGGCTATTCACAATATTTTGAAGTTGTAAACTCAGATCACAAAGTGGATCAATTTTTTCTCAAAATGAAAAGTCTGCTGACATGAATGTTCCTTTATTTGATGTCACACAGGAGCGCCACACCACGCAACACCCAGTGATCTGGCGGCTGGTTCGTCTTCAGGATGACGCCGGCGATGTACGTGAGATCTGTACGCTGTGGCTTCTTGTAGATAGGACAATAGTACATGCGTGCATCAGTTGTCCCGGACGTGCTGTTGATGGCGTAGATGTGGATGACTGGCATCTGCTCGAATAGCACCTTGGGCTTGGGTTCAATGAGCTTGCTTCCTCTCCGGTCCCAGCCAGCCCCCTCTAGGTACAGGCCGTACACGTACACGCCCTCTGTTGGTGGCTGAGTGACATCATCCCGGTTGTACTTGGTGACGTCGTTATGGAGGATGACGGTGTCCAAGGCCCATCCCTTGTGAGCGCGTGTCACTTCCTGTAGACAGAGGTGACGTGTTAATAGTGTTTACTTCCCTTCACACAAAATTCAAATATACATTGTACTCCCCACCAAAAGAAACGGGAACCATAGAAACATATTGAGAAGTATGTATGTTAAGAAGAGATGTTTCCAATGTGTACCACCTAATGACAAAACTAACAATCAGTCAAGTGTTGCCCCAGCATGTCTTGGTTCATATCACGATATGCTGCACGTGATTTCCAAACTTTACATGCTAATCCTGCACGAGACAATGGTGCATGTCAAGTCATGGATCTATAACATGACGTGATGCGTTCATGAGCGACGATTCACACAACATAAAAGTATGGTCGTTTGTGCATTGAACCAATCTAATATCTCTTGAATGTGATTAATTCGTCATATATTAACCGACATGTATGGTATTCACGTTTCTTTTGTAATGATTATGTATTTGATAATACAGACAGTTAATAATTCCTGTGAATAATTTGAGCAAATATATATTCATGTCAAAATTAATTACTTTGCAAAACATTATATTTGATGGAGAACCAAACCTTAACATAGAATTAAACTTGGACCTGAATCCCCAGCAAAGGCAAACACACTATCTACTTGGCTAATCTATTGCAACAGTGAAGAGTGACTAAGTCAGTCATGATACCAATCTCATTTACATCAGACCTCAGTCAGTCATGACACCAATCTCATTTACATCAGACCTCAGTCAGTCATGACACCAATCTCATGTACATCAGACCTCAGTCAGTCAGGACACCAATCTCATGTACATCAGACCTCGGTCAGTCATGACACCAATCTCATTTACATCAGACCTCAGTCAGTCATGACACCAATCTCATTTACATCAGACCTCAGTCAGTCATGACACCAATCTCATTTACATCAGACCTCAAGTTCAGGTCACATCGGAACAACATCTCATCCAATCAATCAACCAATCAGAACTTTGCTCACCACATAGGGAAAGTGACAGTCGGATAGTGTTTTTTAATCATGGAAACCTTGAAAAGATTAACATGTGTTGTTTCGAACGACAGTATTGGGCTATACGACAGATTCCATCAAAATCGTCTATCTCTTGCTCTTGTGGGATAAACATTTAAAAAAGAGAGACTTTCCACAGACCATGGTAAGAACTGCCACACATTCTTAACCATCTATTATAGTCATTTAGAAAATTTCTTTTGTTCCATTTTCAAATTTTGAATCAACATTTTTCAAAGGGTAGTATAGAATGGAAGTCACCAGTTGTAAACTGGCGCCGTAAAGCTTGAGAAAGCTGCTTTCTGAATGGCAAATGTTGGTAGTCATTTCATTGGTCAGTCAAAGCTTACGAAAGATCATTCTGACAAGACCTGTAATGGGATGTCCTTTGTATAGTGTAAGCGAGCTAGAAGATATGATTTTAATGAGATATAAATCAACCTGCTATGATGCAATTCTATCGTTATTCAGTCAACTCCGAAATTGATCATTCTCATATACAGAATTGAAAGAAAGGAACCACTAAATATTTGTATCATTTTGTTCTGACCTGTCGCATGGCTGTGAGGAATCCCTGTGGGTTGAAGAAGCCGGTCATCCAGAACGTGTGTGGTCGGCCATCGAAACACCAGGTGTTGAACTGACTGTTGCGGTCGATGAGCTCCGTGAACCAGAAACCCAGAGTGCTGGAGTCCCAGGATATCTGAGAAAGCAAGGTCACATGATCATAGCTAGGTCACATGATCATAGCTAGGTCACATGATCATAGGCAGAGTCAGGGGATGCAAGGGAACAACCCTTTTGAAAATTACATGTACACCAATGAATTTTCTATACCGAACAATACATAATCAGTGCCAAATATTTTTTTGTACGTCTACCTGGCTACTACTCAAAGAGTGAGTATGGTTTTATGCCACTTTAAGCATTATTCCAGCAATGTCACACCGGGGAACACCGGAAAATGGGCTTCAAAACATTGTACATATCTGAGGAATCGAACCCGGGTCTTTGGCGTGACGAGCCCCCTACTACTCAAAAGAAGTTTAAGAACACCCAATTCTTTCAGACGACAATAGTTAATCTGTCATGCCATGAGAATCAGTGTTCCTTGACTTCTTTTGAGTAGTATATACAAATTCTGAGTCTCGACCACACGACCCCGGCAGTGAAATGCTACAATATCTATACACAATGTGATCCAATATAGAGAGGATTACAAGGAATACATATATGAGGAGAGGCCCTTTCCCAACAGTGTATTTGGTTACATACTAGTTTGAGCAACACAAATAAAAAAAATGCCCACCCACACTATATTTTCAATAGCCATTGCCTGAGAACAAATTCTTTTATTTTGTTAGCCTTAGAAGTAGATGTGTTAGTAGCATTCATAAATTTCCTCCTGAAACTGCACTCACCTTCTGCCACGCCTTGGGAATCCTGGCATCATACATGGAGTCCAGGGCATCTCTCAAAGTCTCACTCATGATGATGGTGCCGTCAATGGCCAACTTGAGGTCGGTCAAGGTCAGGCGCACCAACGTGATGACTTTCTGCATCCTGTCAATCTCCTGCCTCAGGAAGATGTTCATGGGCTGCAGGATGCCCATCTTTTGGAGTCTGTTCTGGACCTCGAACGGTATGTAGTCAGCCGGTAGTTTGTCCAACATGTCGTCACAGAGGCGGTAGACGATGGACTCGCGGGTCTCCCCCGTGCCGCCGCTGCTGTCCTTGGGTTGAATCTGGAGGATCGTGTCCAGGATGTTGGAGGCTGTCTTGCTCTGGTAGCTGCAGGAGAGGGCAACCATGTTAACATTCACGCTTGGTTCCGTGTTATGGAACGTGTCCGAAAATATTTTAAAAAGCATGAAATACTCATATCCCCCGCCAATATGACGTGTCTGGTTATGTGGAGCACTACCACCATTTTCAGTCTAAGTCAAAGTCGTTGCCATGGAAACTAAAAAAATAATTTTTTTAAAAATCCCAAACTATCAAAAGCACCAGTTGACCACTAGACCTATCTGTGTGTTAAGTTTGGTTAAGATATCTCTCATGGTTTTTTAGTTCTGCTCCGAAAATGAAACGTGATGAATGGATGGAAGAACGGAAGGACAGACGGACAGCACCCATTCCTATATCCCCCTTCCACTTTGTGGCGGGGTATAATAATAAACACATTATCTATTTCATATTTCAGATATGACAGACAATATGCAGTGTATCTGATTTTACATCCCTTTTAGCACCGCCAGGGACACCCAGGATGTGTCGCACAATGTCCTTGTCTCGTGTATCAGAGGGAATGATACAGTGTATCACCTTTTCCAAACTGAACACTATCAAAATATCAACTGGCAGTGCGAAAAAAAACACTCTTTTCACTGCACGAAAAATTTCAGTTGTCACAGCTAACAGCTGAATTTGATCAAGCAACACTAAGTTATATTTACAACCAAAATATGTACACAAACCCTCATGGTCATGTCTACCAACTAAAGACAACTCTAAAAGTATGTAACAATGTGTATGTCAAGTAGGCCAAACCAACTTTTGTTTCACATATCTAGTAGGTCATAATGTGAAGATACACAAGGAAACATAGTTTCAGGTTTGATTTGAAAGTTGTAACAAAAATACAAAATGGTTTTTTTCCGAAAACACATTTTATCCATGCACTTTAATATTATATATAATGAAGCTAAGGCCCAACCAAATGAAACGACATCTGCCCGAGGCAAGGGCGTTAACTAACGATAAAAGTCCAGTTCCCACCCTAACTGAACTAGGCTGGACTAACGAGTCTATGCATATTCCAATCAAAATCGTGCAACGAACTAGATATCTGATTCATGAACAATGTGGATTTAAACGATCAGATTTTGGTCGACTGCACGATTTGCAAAGCATGTGTACCGCCAACTTGGCGTTGACAGATATTTTCCAAATCATTACATGCTTTAATCAAGGTGATCACATGATCTGATGCACCTAGCGAGGTAAGACCCGTTTTATTACAATATAGATCTGTATTGATCAGATCGTCTTGACCAGAAGCCGCCATTTTGTTTGAAGCAAATGCAAGTGATATGAGAGGTGGAATCTGTTTGCTCAGCAAGAGGGACATAGAAGGGACATAACTCGTAATAGCCACTGGTGGCGCTACAATTGAACCTGGAAATTCCAGCCTCGTTCAGCAAGTGTGGAAACTGGATTTTTATGTCAAATAACTCACTTACCTCTGGAAGATGATGAAACGATTGCTATAATGTAAAGCTTACCTTGCAATAGTTACAAAATAGTATGTATATAACTGGCAGAATTGACTAATGTTCTCAACATACGTGATGTCAGCGTTGCTGTGAAGTCCGAAGGCCTCAGGAGTGTCCTTGATGGGCAGGTTGTTGATGTACTCCATATATTCGTTGTGTTTGGAGCACTTGGGGATGACGTAGCCCTTGTAGAAGTTGAAGTTTGGAGTGAACATGTTCTCCCCAAACCAAACCTTGCAGAAAGTGTTCAGGAGGCGCTTGTCGAAGTCGTCTGTGACTCGACCGCCATATTGGATCTCACCAAGCATGTAGCGAGTGCAAGTCCAATTGACCCCCTGTGAACAAAATATACATACATGTACATACAAATATTTGTTTACACAGTAGAAATTCCTGCAAACACTGCTCAACAGCACTTCACATGGAGAAGAAATTGTCACAGTCTTGGAAACCTTATCAGAGACCCAGTTAGAGAGTCTTGTCTGACGTGTCTGAGACTGGTATATGTCACACATTATCTTGAAAAAGTGTCTTCAGTTGGGACTTGAAACTACATCAATTTTGGACATGTTACTTCATGTTTTATATTTTTCGGATTACGGGCCCTCCGAACCTAATTTTTTAGAAAATGTAAAAAATAAATAAATCAGATTTCCTTTTTTCCATCCCCCGCCGATAGCCGCGTAGTCAGTTATTTTATTTGTTCTCATCACCTTTTAGTTAAAAACACATGAATTTACCGTTGTAAACTAGTAAAGAGATACATAATTGATCTTTGTTGATCTCGAGCCGAACATGAATAGCCTCCCTTGACAATTGCCCGTGTTGTAAGTGATAGAATTTTTATTGTTACAAGGGGCTTTATCATCACAAATGGCGGTCTTTTGAGCACAGAATATGTTCATAAAGTATGCATTCTGCATTCTGGCTTTTTTTTTCTTTTCTTTTTTCCCTCCTCCAACCCTGGACTTTGGGCTGAAAAATGCGTTATCCTAAAAATAAAAAAGCCTGGCCTAACATAACATCGCAACTTACCCTCTTTATGTCCATGTCATCAAGATGGTTCTGGACAAACTGCACACTAGCGTTGAAGTCCGAGGCGTTGAACTCGTACGGTATGTTCCATCCAAGCGGGCCGAACTTCCTGCGTTCCTGCACCGTGGTGTGGAGGAAGGAGACGCCGTACAGCATCGGCTTCCACTGCGGCATGTTGGAGATGTCCAGATAGTCCTGGGTCATACTGGCGTAGGTTCGCTTCAGCCCCGCCTTGATGCCCTGCGGCGGCTCCATGGTGAACTTGATGGCTACCTGTTAGAGGGTTCATAGAGGTTATCGACAATGAAGGATTATTTGCAACTTGTTTGTGAGTTGCAACAAAATAGTTACTTCTTCTGTGCTAATGTTATTAATTATTCTTCTATGACAAAATATAATGTAAGATATGACTAAACAGTGAAACCAACAAACTTCAACAGCCTCTTTTCCAATATCCAGATGGCAGAACGCAAGGTCAGTCAAGATCTCAAGGTCAGTCAAGATCTCAAGGTCCGTAAGGATCTCAAGGTCAGTCAAGATTTCAAGATCAGTAAGGATCTCAAGGCCAGTCAAGATCTCAAGGTTAGTAAGAATTTCAAGGTATGTCAAGAAATCAAGGTCAGTCAAGAAATCAAGGTCAGTCAAGAAATCAAGATCAGTAAGGATCTCAAGGTCAGTCAAGAAATTAAGGTCAGTAAGAATCAGTAAGGCCAGTCAAAGTCTCACCTGGAGGAAGCTGATTGGGAACTTGGGGTGGACCTCGGTTGTGACCCACAGGCGGAACTCTTCATGAATGTTCTCGGTCTCCATGATGGTGTCCATCACCTCTTCCACAAAGTCCAGACTGAGATGACAGTTCTGCAGCAGAAGCCAGCCACCATTCTGGGTCCCTTGTGCCATCATGCGGCGGGCGTGGACTTCCTGTCCCTGACCCATGGATATAGCCCTGTACTCTGTGAGAGGAATACAAACACGTGTAGAGATAGCACTTGGAGCGAGAGAGGTGGTTCAGGAGTGAATAATCAACCATATGTTTGTTATCTTAGTGGCGAATATAATGCTCCCTTGGCAATGTAGTTGGCCAAGACTTCATCAGTAAAACGTCAGCCAAGTTTAAACTTTCCACCCATGAAATTTTGTTATAGGCTAAGATTTACCATCCTCATGGAAACTTTTTTTAAATTTCCAGTTCAATTTCAATTTCATGTTTGTAAAGGTCATTCCACATGCATAATGATGGGAGTCTCCTTACCTAGCCTGAACTTCTTGGCCAGTGCCTCAATGTTGTTGGTGGGATCTGACCCCATGGACAGCAGACACACCATGGGCGTGCGGCAGACGCTCTCTTCCCACATTTTCTCGATGTCCAGGATCACCCCCTCGGCATACTTCTGTCCCAGGGTGTCTCCAATGTAGTTCTTGGCCTGGGACAGTGTCCGGTCTGGACACCATGACCTCACCAGCAGCAGACGTCGGAACACGTCCAGTGAGTTGTTGTAGCCGTCGGGGATCACCTCCTCCTCGGGAGCATCTTTGTCGAACCACTGATGCCATTGTTTCTCATTACGAGTTACCTGTAGACATGATTATATTCGTGAATGGTTAGGAATTAGTGGTGGTGATGATACAACAGTACACTGATTGACGTATTAGTGAGTGAGTGAGTGAGCAGCTCCTAGCAATATGTTTCTTCCATGATTCCACCAGTGTACAGTGGTCTGAAGAAATATTTTGTGTCTATTAACCCTGAAGTCAGCAGTATCACAATCTCATTGAAATCAGATCTAGGTTCTCGCTGCTGCTAAACAAAGATCTGAGGACATCCCATTACGGGTCACGTCAGAACGACCTTTCGCGAACTTTGACCAACCACTGAAATGACTAACAAGAGGTCGACATCAGCGATGAAAAAGCAGCTTTCTCGAGCTTAACGGCACTCGTTTCAACCTGGCGACTTCCATTTCAGACTACACTTGAAAGATATGTTGACACAGTTCTCAATAAAGATTTTGAAAACTGAACAAACGAACATTCCAGGAATGTCTAATATATGGTTGAGATTGTATGGCAGTGCTTCCCCCACGTACTATGCAATCCCTTCGTATGGGTCGTAACTGTCGTTCGGAATACCCCGTGTTAACATTTTCGAGGTTGCATGATTAGAAAACACAATTCACTTTCACGATCTGGTAAGCGACGCTTTGATTGGTCGGATGAAAGGTCGCTCTAACGTGACCCGTAATGGGATGTTTAGCGATAGCGAGAACTAAGATCTGATATTAATGAGATTGGCCTTACACAACTGAGTCTGAACCATGTTATAATGAGCATCATCCCAAGACATCAGGGTCAGACGATACACCATCAACAAGTCACCAAGTCTCACCCTCCAGTTGAAAGGATTCACCTCTTCTGACAAGCAATGAGAATTCAGGGACCTATCCTGACCAGGAATCGACACGGCCTTGTCTGATGAAGGAAATACTGCACCTACCTGTTCCAGGATCCCGGAGAACTGGTGCAGGTTGCTCAGCTCCACCAGGTTCAGCCAGGTCAGGTCAATGATCCACTTGTGAGGCTTCGGCTGAACCACGTTCAGATCCAGGGAGGCACCACCTGCAAGAGGAAGATCATAGTGAACGCGGGGGCGGTCGGGTAGCCCAGTGGTTGAAGCGTTCGCTCGTCACGCCGAAGACCCGGGTTCGAATCCCGACATGGGTACAATGTGTGAAGCCCATTTCTGGTGTCCCCCGCCGTGATATTGCTGGAATATTGCCAAAAGCAGCGTAAAACCATACTCACTCACTCATAGTGAACGCCATCGACACATCGAGTACCTTTCCAATCATTGATAGAATGACGGTTAGAATTTGGGATCTAGTCCAATGACACCCAAAATTATTGACAAACTGCCCTCACCCCATTCCACAAAGTAATCCCAGTGGTCTGACTGTCACAAGTGCTTTGCAGAAAAAGGTCAAATATTTAAGTTTGCACAATTATCAGACAATGTTATTTCAGGCATATTCATTCAAACTGAACGTAGGATGACTAAATCTGCCATGACCTTGTGTCTTGTGATATCTTTCAGGAAACCCTGGGATGAACCAACAGCCAGCAGATCTTGGCATGGCTATTGGGTGCAAATTTTCCCTAGTCCACTAGGCCACTCATATCAATGACAGATGGTACACGACCCATGATAAGGTGGAGAACGCCTCATCTTGATCTATGACTTAGACCGCTTGGCCACCTTCATCATTGACAGATGGTATATGACCCATGATAAGGTGGAGAATGCCTCAAGCTTAATCTTGTCTTAATCATAATCTATGGCTAATCATGTCCCAAAGGAATAGACAGCCATAATGGAACAGGAATGTGCAAGTACTAACACTTGATAAGTGTGGAGAATGCCTCAAGCTTAATCTTGTCTTAATCTTAATCTATGACTAATCGTGTCCCAAAGGAATAGACAGCCATAATGGAACAGGAACGTGGCGGTACTTACCCTTGATAAGTGTGGAGAACTCCTCATGCTTGATCTTGGTGCAATGAAGGTCAATCTTCAGAGCCAACAGCAAGGTGAAGGTCATCTTGTCTGTCTCATACAGACCACGTACCGCATACTTGAAAACTTCAAACGTCATGTACTCGATGATGTTGGTGATTCTCTTCTGTGTGATGGGAGATTTTTGTGACCTGAAAAAAGATAAAGAAAGGATTAGAGACAGACTGATTAGCCAGGAGACGATAATAATCCAGATCAAAGAAAGGAGTGAAGAAGCATTGTTAGTCACATACACACCATGACTGATTCAATCATATTCCCCAATCTCATTAGAGACAGATCTTAATTCTCGCTACCGCTAAACAAAGATCTGAGGACATCCCATTACGGGTCACATCAGACTGACCTTTCGCAAACTTTGACTGATCAATAGAATGACTGAAAAAAAATCACCATTAGCCAATCAGAAGGCAACTTTCTCATATTTTACGTCACTAGTTTCAAACTGACAACTATGCTTCGAAACATATTTTGATAAATTCTCGATCAAATATTTGCAAACTGAACAAAAGAACCTTCTGGAATGGCTAATAGATTCCCTAGATTGTATGGATTCAGCCATAAAGCCTGTAACTGTCAGAATACCCTGTGTTATATTTTTCGAGGTTGCATGATTAGAAAACACATTCAGAATGTCACTTTCCTGACCCGGTAAGCAACTCTCTGATTATTTGAATACAAGGTCGTTCAATACACATAATCAGCTGACAGTACGAATGTAGACTCACTTTTTCATGGACATGTCAAAAATGTTGAGGAACTGTCGTAGGGATGTCTGGTACATGACGTTGACGAGACTCATCTCTACAATCAAGAAGTACAAGATACTCCCCCTAGTGGCCACAGGACGGAACTCTTCTCGGGCAGTGTTGATCTTCAGCTCTGTCTCCTCTGCGATCTGAAGCTTCTGGCGGACATCTTGTGATGTGGTCTTTGTGACATTCAGCACATTGATCAAGTCTTCATCATCGACCAGGGAACCCTAAAATACAAGTGTTACATTTATATCAGACCTGTGGATGGTCCATGCAGTCCTATCTTGTAGTGTAATTGAAGATGAAGTGAAATGGGGTTTCATGCAGCATCCAAGATTATTGCATGTGTGTATGCACATGTTTGTACTTGTCAGGAATAATGCCCACTGAGAAACCATGCCTCAGTTTAACATGAATACCTCACTCAGACACAGTGTACTGACTCTGAGCCGACCAGTCCTTGTTTTAGTCTCATAATGCCGAGTGCCAGGCAGGGTAACAATAGGTACCATCTTTTAACATCTTTTGGTATGACGCAGCCAGGGATCCCCGAGCAGACGCTCTACTACAAGGCCACAGAGGCGGTCAGTTTTGTATATGCACAGTACAGTGATTTATAACTCAAGCATTTCCCCCAAACCACTGAAGGATTTTGACAGTGCTTTGAACACATTGCAGTAATATCACGGCATGTCAATTCAACCATGAGGAAAATTGATGCAGTGATGCAGGTGACAGATCTTTACATCTTTGATGAAATCCGCAAGCACAGTATAGTGCTGATCACAAAAGGGTCAAATCATGGATTCAAATAAATACCAGCGTATCCTGGCATAGGGAAGGGGTACAACTCCACACAGCAAACTAATCTTTGACCCCCAGGTCTCCTGTGCCTGGTAATATAGATGAAAACTGGAGACATTGGAGATCCTCACCTCGCAAGTTGAGAGCATCATGTATCATGAAGCCCACATTGAGAAGCAGGACAGCCCATTGCTGACTCACTGGTTGGTTGGTTTGTTGTACAACGCCGCACTCAGCAATATTCCAGCTATATGCGGCGGTCTGTAAATAATTGAATCTGGACCAGACAATCCAGTGATTGTTATCATGAGCATCGATCCACGCAATTGGGATCGATGACATGCATCAACCAAGACAGAGAGCCTGACCACCCGATCCCGTTAGTCGCCTCCTACGACAAACATAGTCGCCTTTTACGGAAAGCATGGGTTGCTGAAGACCTATTCTACCCCGGATCTTCATGCTGACTCGTTTTCCCACCTGTGTGCTGGTGAGGCGATACAACAGGTTGTCCTCGAGCTCCTTCATCTTCTTGTTGTTGGCCGTCACCTCCTCCATCAGCTTCACTCGTTCACTCTCCAGCTCCTGGAGGCGACAAAGTCACGTGTCAATATAAACGTACACTTAAAAATTCAATTTCGATAAACAAAATTTATAAAATGAATGAGTAGTATTCACAACAAAGGACCCAATCAAAGACATGTATTTTCTCACCATGTCATAACTTGGAACTAATACATTCTGTCACATACAGAATGGAAACGCAATGGTAATAAAAAATAATCTTGAAGTATATATAACTTGCTCTCCTGATTTGACCAGACAGAAACTACCATAGCCTATAATAACCTGGGACAGAAAGTAGGAGGCAAACTTTAATAATTAATTCGCTCATCCTGCCAAAGATCTGGGTTCGATTCCTGACATGGGTACAACTTGTGAAGCCCATTTCTGGTGTCTCCCGCCGTGATATTGCTGGAACATTGCTAAAGGTGGCACAGAGCTCCAGATAACCTTCTTTTTTTTTTACTCTAGGGTTTCTATTTTAATTGGGTTATAACATTTTGCATTGGGTAACCAATATTATTTCACTCATCCATTCATCACTCTATTGGGGTTTTCCCAAAATTAGTGAACATTTTGAGATTTAAAAAAAATGAAATAATGTTTAAGATGTATAACTATACTAAATATACAGGCTTGACTCAGAACAATGTCAGAAAGTAAATTAACTCATAATTGTGTTTCGGTAATTAGCTCTGTTGTATGCATGCTGAAAAAGCTTTGGGTATTTACACGTACTGTTTTTATACATTTGAGTTTTTCGTTTAATGCATGTGTTTTACGCAAGATAATTGAAAGTAATTGGGTTTTGAATATTTTTGTGGAGTACTTTACACAAATACGTAGCTTATCTGTAGCTCTGCCGGCATAAAACCATACCCACTCACACCCTCACTGACTCACTCGTAATCTTAGTAATCAACTTTTTGGCACAAGACAATATGATGATGTATTTATTCACTACATGTTGCCAGTTTTGAGCAGAATGTTAATTTCCTAAAATAAAGTCTTGATATAAAAGCTTTAACAAAATTGTATACAAATCAATTTCAATAAAAATTGTATTTAATTTTAGGGGGGGTATGGAGTTTGTTAAATTTAACATAGACTTGTCCAAAAAACAAGAAATTTACCCTGAAAAGAACTTAAAGGACAACAAATGTTGTCATATTACTTCCGTTAATCTGTCATGACATCACACAGAGGAACACTAACCACTTTCTCTGTGAGGATGACACGTCCTAGGAGCTGGTCCTCCAGGCCTTTCATGGTGACAGTGAAATCAATGATGGAAGTTCGGGCCGATATCTCAGGAGTGTAGGCAGGGTTGGGCAGCTTCGTTGTTATGTAGAGCGTGAAGCCCTTCATGATGTCACACTCTTTGTCTCCAACCTTCACCTTCAGGGTTGACCCCACCTTAATGAAGTTCTTCTCAAGGACATTGTCAAGGGCAGGGTCAAGCTCTTCTGCCACGTCTTCAAGAAGCAGTGGTCTCCCCAGGGACATGGAGTCTTCAAGATGTGTACGGAAATACTTGTGATTCAAGGATGTTATCTGCAAAATAAGAACAAAGTATTTTTACAGATCATCTTGTATCTGATGCATGTAGTAATTGTCGCATTTGTTTACTCATGTTTGTTTGTTTGTTTGTTGTTTAACACCGCACTCAGCAATATTCCAGCTATATGACGGCGGTCTGTAAAATAATCGAGTCTGGACCAGACAATCCAGTGATTGACATCATGAGCATCGATCCACGCAATTGGGATCGATGACATGTATCAACCAAGTCAGCGAGCCTGACCACCCAATCCCGTTAGTCACCTTTTACGACAAGCATAGTCGCCTTTTACGGCAAGTATGGGTTGCTGAAGACCTATTCTACCCCGGAATCTTCACGGGTCGTTTACTCATGTCATCAGTTTGATAGTTGTAGTAGAGGGGTGGTGCTGTAGACTCGTGGTTAAAGTATTTGTTTGTCCTGCCAAAGACTAAGGTTCACTCACTCTCACTTATTCATAATCTTAGCAATCAACTCTTTGGCACAACTCAATTTGACGATGTATTTTTTCATTAATGAGGGGTGGTGGGGTAGCCTAGTGGTCAAAGCATTCACTCACCACACCGAAGGCCCAGGTTCGATTCCCCACATGGGTAAAATGAGTGAAGCCTTTTTCTGGTGTCTACCGCCTTGATATTGCGGTAATATTGCTAAAAGCAGCATAAAACCATACTCACTCACCCATTACTGGAATGTAAAAGTTTTGTAAAACAAGCAGATGTCTGTAGGATAGCATTGTTCATGTCTGCTTCACACATGGCAACATCATCACAACAAGTTACAAGTCTGACCTATAGACTTCTACGTTCCTACCTCCAACCGTCCAGAGTAACTTCTGACTCACCTGCAGCTCGTTCTTGGCCTCCCTGTTCTTGATCCAGATCTTGCCCTGGCCCTGGGGGTCGATGAGCAGAGGGTAGCGAGCCGCCTTGGTGACGATGATACCGTTCTGGACTGACAGCTCGTCGTTGGGGAGCCCCTGGAGATTCCACTCAGCCACCTGGTGTCGAGAAACAACACAACAAGAATAAACACAGGAATATAAACAGGAATTTACAACGGGATAAACAACAGCATTTACAAATGAAATCACTTTGACGCTAAACATTTGGGTAGAGAAGTAGGCATTTCTTCTTATCACTGAAGATTTGCTTTACTAAGGCAATACTGTTTGAAATGAAACAGGAAACATCTCGGTTCACAGATACTTCAATAAATTGTTTGCATTTGTATCAGTGATCATCAGCCATAATTGTCAATCATCCATTTGAGCTGAAGAAGGAAATTATATCAAAACTGGAAAGATAATTTTTCATTGTATACTTTCATTCTGTTACCAATAAGTTGGGTGATAGTTTTCACTAACGAATGATGCCCATTTTATATGATAGTGTGTCGACATAATGTGAGAGGAAAGCCTGAAGTCGAAACAGGCAAGAAAACATTTACTGCCCTTACGACACTGATGACATGGTGCTGATAAACCAAGGATGATAATCAGAGCAAATCTTGGAACAAAACCCATGACCACCATATTCAGGTACATCTAAGGGGCACAACTCTTCACACCTAAAACCAGTGGAACTCTCCTGCCCCTAATGATTGAAAATTCAGGTTGTTCTCGTACATACCGTTGTAGGGTCTGTGAGCATGGTGGTGGTGTTGAGGTTGGCGGAGTACGGGATCTTCCTCGTCTTCATCTCCTTCATCCACTCCTTGTTGAGCAGGCTCCGGTAGTCCTGGTTGAAGGGCCCCGAGTAGGACAGGAAGGCCGTGCACGCCAACACGTCACCCACCAGTCTGGAGGGAGAGCAAGTTCACCATATTACTCTTTGAACTGTTACCACAGGAAATCTAGGTTCCTTTATGGGTACAATGTTTAACACTCTGGAGAGAGTCGACGTCAGGATCCAGATTCTGGATACTCAGATTCTCAGAACCATGGGAAAAGGTCATGGAGATCACCAAAATTATGTCATGTTCTCCATAGTTCAAGATGAGCAGGATGCCAAATTAGACCACAGTGCCCAAATTAGACCACAGTGCCCATATTAGACCACAGTGCCCAAATTAGACCACAGTGCCCAAATTAGACCACAGTGCCCATATTAGACCACAGTGCCCATATTAGACCACAGTGCCCAAATTAGACCACAGTGCCCAAATTAGACCACAGTGCCCATATTAGACCACAGTACCAATGAGACCACTGTGCCAATATTAGACCATTGTGCCCACAGTGTCATGCCTGTGTATCATCAAATCAAATTTTTCGCGAGCAAAGCTAGCATTATTTTTAAGTCAAAAGGGGCGATGGGGTTAAAGCCTTCACCCGTCATGCCAAGGCTTGAATACCCACAATGCCTATATCTGGTGTCCCCTGCCATGACATTCATGGAATAATGCTTAAAGTGGCCATAAACATAAACTCAGTTGTTTTGGTCTACACCCATATATAGAAACCAATGTGTTTGTGACTAGTTGTTCCAATATTCTCGTGTAGCTCACCTTCCAATCTGAGCCTTGAACTCCTTGCTCTGCTCCGTCCATCTCTCCTTCTCCCCAGCCAGGCCGTTGATGAGAGCAGACGCGGCATTCATCTTCCGTCTGCACGTCTCAGCATCATCCATCAGAGCCTACAGCATCACATCATATCAATGAACTGCAAGTGTTTCCATAGCATTGGATTGGTTAACCAAGCAATGTCATTTTTTTGTTTATAATTCCTAAACAGAACAAAAATGAGCCATGTCCAATAACAGACTACTGTTTACCGATTGGCTGTTTTTAGAATGGCCGTCTGATGGCAGTCCGGACTGATGCCGATTTATAGTGCTAGCACACTGAGATATCATGCCACAGTTTAACATGGATACCCAACTCAGACACAGAGTCAGACAGGGTAACAACAAGTACCATCTTTTAACGTCTTTTGGTATGACGTGGCCGGGGATCGAACCTCGGACATTCCGCTCTCTGGGCGGACGCTCTACCACTAGACCACGGAGGTGGTCTTATACACAACAACCTATCATCACATGGACCAATTCATACAGTACAGACATACAATAAAATAAATACAAATAATTCTTAATTCAGTTTATGTAACTTGCAAACCATCGATTGAGAACAAATTGGAAAAGAAAGTAACCCTATGCTGCCAACAACTCCTCAGATCTGCCTCTTACGTAATGAACCATGAAGTTAAAGTATACTCCAAAAGATACGTGAACCATAGAAACATGTAGAGAAGTATGTATGTTAAGAAGAGATGTATCCAATGTGTATCAATTAATGACAAAACTAACAATCAGTCAAGTCTTACCACAGAGTGACTTTATTCTTCTCACGATATGCTGCACGTGATTTCCAAACTTAACACACTAATCCTGCACAAGACAAATGGTGCATCTCAAGTCATGGATCTATGACGTCACATGTGATGCATTCATGAGCATTGGTTCAGACATCATACCAGTATGTTTGTTGTGCATCGTACCAATCTAATATCTTTTGAATAAGATAGGTCTTCGTATATTAAGCAACATGTATGGTATTCGTGTTTGTTTTGGCTGGTGAGTACAAGTATTCGACGTGTATTGTATAATTCTCAATTAACTAGATTTCCTCACCTGTTTCTCGCTCATGGCCTTGTCGTACTGTGCTCTCACAATGGCCAGCTCGGCCTCCTTGGCATCCAGCTGCTCCTGGGCCGTCTGCAAATCTCCCATGGCAACCTGAAGTCTTGCCTCCTGTACCACCAGATTGGCCTGGGAGACAAATGGACGAACATTAGCAATGGCAGCACAATATGTTCATACATTTGTAGATTTACCCAAAGCTGTGAAACATCCATTGGTTTGTGAAATGATGTTATCTGGTTTATTCATGATACTGTCTCCATCACCATCCAGTAAATAACCTTCCCTTAGTTCTTCCATTTGTGCTTCCTGATGAAGAGGGGAGGTAACTCTTAACTGTTTTATTGCTTTTTTAAAAGTTTGTAAGTAAATAAGAAAACTTATAAACCTCCGGTGACGTCATCCAATGTTCTCCAGTTGGGTTAAATCTCATAAACAGGGACGTTGTAATGTCCCTGGGATTTTATATAATATCCCCGGGATTTTATAGGATATTCAAGTCATATTTGCTATATAGTGTGTTATAATATCCCAGGGATTTTAACAGATATTGTACGCCCGTTTCCTAAGGTTCATGGAAAGTATGTTCGAAACATAAAAATGTTGATAAATGTTGTTTTAAGTTTCTTTTTTCGGATCATAGGTTAGACAAAACACTTCCCATCGGGTTTTTATCATATCTAAAACCGTTATCCTTGGGATGCGTGTTTTAAATGTGATAAGAACCCTTGGACGTGCTTTATTGTACACTTATAATGGGTTGAAATTTAGTTTAGGGATAATTTTAAGGTTCAAAATCGGTTTATAAGTAAGATAAAACACTTCCCCTCGGGTTGATATGAAATTTAAAACCCTTTCCCTCGGAAAATCCCGAGGGGCTTACCGCTTTTAAATATCATAACAACCATCGGACATGTTTTATCCTATACATACAACTTTATGGAGGACAACGTTTGGTTTATTGTATCAACAAGCAAACACTTTAACCACTAGGCTATCAGATCGCCCCTGATTACCAGTATAATAATCATAACTCCCTGTGTAATAACACAGTAATAACAATAACAACATCTATGAAACATAAACAAGGACACATTTAAATATCCACAATAAAGACCTGACCTGAAAGCCAGTATTGATTAGTTTATCTTCATTTAAACATATTTCTCACCTTGAGAGGCAACACCTCTTTGTTGATGGCAAAAAAGGAGGCCATAGCCTTCGTCCAGGCAGCCAGACCCGCGACGTTGCCACACACTTTCTTCGCTGTCTCCAATGTGTAATCCTCAGAGGAAAAGTAGGGTGTCAACAGCTCCACTGTTTCATCGTTGATGGTGTCCTTGGGGAAGGTTATCAGGGACTGCAGGAAGCCTGTGCCTGCCATCATCTGGAACAGTGAGGGAAAAAGGGGTTTGAAGCTGCTTTTAGCAATATTCCAGCAATATCATGGCGGGGGACACCAGAAATGGGCTTCACATATTGTACCCATATCGTGAATCGAACCCCGGGTCTTCGGCGTTACGAGCGAATGCGAACCGACCGCCCCAAAGCTGCTTTGAAGGGAATCATGGATTGATCCATCATGCTGTTAAACCTAGGATTATGATAAGGGCAAGTGTGGCCTTCAACCCTAAGATTGTGGAAACTGAGTGGTAAGGGACACAACTCTGCACAGCTAAAAAAATATGTCATTGACCAGTGAACTACCCATGCTCCATATATGGAAGAAGGTACACTTATTGATTATACCCCACTTCCGATCTTGTTGCCATAGCAATGACAACGGTCTTCATGCAACACAACGGTCTACAGGTAACACAATGACCTACATGTAACACAATGACTTACAAGTAACACAAAGGCCTACAGGTAACACAATGACCTACTGGTAGCACAATGACCTACATATAACACAATGACCAACAGGTATTACAATGACTTACAGGTAAAACAATTACTTACAGGTAACACAAATGACCTATAGATAACACAATGACCTACAGATAACACAATGACCGACAGGTAACAATGACCTACATATGACACAATGACAGACAGATAACAAAATGACCTACACATAACACAATGACCTATATGTAACACAATGACCTACTGATAACACAATGACCCACATGTAACACAATGACCGACAGGTAACAATGACCTACACATAACACAATGACTGACATGTAACACAATGACCTACACATAACACAATGACCTATAGGTAACACAATGACCTACATATAACACAATAACCCACGGGTAACACAATGACCGACAGGTAACACAATGACCTATAGATAACACAATGACCTATAGATAACACAACAACCCACAGGTAACACAATGATGGACAGGTAACAATGACCTACATATAACACAATGACCGACAGGTAACACAATGACCGACAGGTAACTCAATGACCTACACATAACACAATGCCCTACAGGTAAGACATTACCTTCAGTGACTCCCCCCAGGAGGGTTTACTGAACTCTGGCTTGTCCACGTCCTGTTTGACGGGCTCCAGTCTCCCCTGGAACAGCAGCAGCACACAATCCATGATCCTCATGATGAGATGTGGCGGCCGACCCAGCTTCCTCACTGTGGCAATGTCAGCAGGCTTGATGGTGTTTAGCGCTGCCTCGGCCTCCTCCAGAGCGGGTTTAGCAGCCTCTAGCTTGCCCATGGCTATTTTCTTGTCCTTCTCAATAACGTCTACAATGGCTTGAGCTTTGTCCTTAACCTTCTGAACTTGTTCTTTGACCTTCTCAGCAGCCTGTGCCTTCACTGTCACTTCCTTCAGGACCTTCTCTGCTTTGTCGTTGGCAATAGCAAGCTCCTTTTCCTTGACTGCCAACTCCTTGCTTAGTTCTGCGACAGCTAATGATGCTTCAATCAGCTTCTCAAGACCTGGAACAATGGCAGGATGGAACAATGGAAGGATGGAACAATGGAAGAATGTAACAATGGAAGGTTGGAAGAATGGAACAATGGCAGGATGGAACAATGAAAGAATGGAACAATGGAAGGATGGAAGAATGGAACAATGGAAGGTTGGAACAATGGAAGGATGGAACAATGGAAGGTTGGAACAATGGCAGAAGGTGACACAGTATACTGACTCCAAGCCGACCAGTACTTGTTTAAGCTGCTGATTGCTGATCACCAGGCAGGGTAACAACAAGTACAATCCTTTAAAGTCCTTTGGATTTACGTGGCCGGGGATCGACCCCCTAACCTTCCACTCTCTGGGCAGACGCTCTACCACCAGGCCACGGAGGTGGTGAGGCGACATTTAAAAAATACAGGGACTTAGGGGTTGATTGTTGTATATCATTTCAGGGTCAGAAATGTAGATGCGGAGTTGATGAAGTTACAAATTGGTTCACAGTTGTAGTAATTAGGTCTTTACTCCCTAAACATTTCAAATGCAACTTCATATGGATTTATACATTTAAACATAATTTCAGACTCCACTTCTTCTACATGATATTATTTTAATTGCTTACTTAATATTCTACTGAAACCTTTCTCTACCCTGGACATTGGTCCCTTCTGTCTAAGGGGGGTCTGGACATTGGTCACTCATGTCTAAGGGGGTTCTGGACCTTGGTCACTTGTGTCTGAGGGGGTTCTGGACATTGGTCACTCATGTCTAAGGGGGTTCTGGACCTTGGTCACTTGTGTCTGAGGGGGTTCTGGACATTGGTCACATGTGTCTAACGGGGTTCTGGACATTGGTCACTTGTGTCTAAGGGGGGTCTGGACATTGGTCACTTGTGTCTAAGGGGGTTCTTGACATTGGTCACTTGTGTCTGAGGGGGTTCTGGACATTGGTCACTCATGTCTAAGGGGGTTCTGGACCTTGGTCACTTGTGTCTGAGGGGGTTCTGGACATTGGTCACTTGTGTCTAACGGGGTTCTGGACATTGGTCACTCATGTCTAAGGGGGTTCTGGACCTTGGTCACTTGTGTCTAAGGGGGTTCTGGACATTGGTCACATGTGTCTAACGGGGTTCTGGACATTGGTCACTTGTGTCTAAGGGGGGTCTGGACATTGGTCACTTGTGTCTAAGGGGGTTCTTGACATTGGTCACTTGTGTCTGAGGGGGTTCTGGACATTGGTCACTTGTGTCTCAGGGAGGTCCGGACATTGGTCACTTGTGTCTGAGGGGGTTCTGGACATTGGTCACTTGTGTCTAAGGGGGTTCTGGACATTGGTCACTTGTGTCTAAGAGGGTTCTGGACATTGGTCCCTTCTGTCTAAGGGGGGTCTGGACATTGGTCACTCATGTCTAAGGGGGTTCTGGACCTTGGTCACTTGTGTCTGAGGGGGTTCTGGACATTGGTCACATGTGTCTAACGGGGTTCTGGACATTGGTCACTTGTGTCTAAGGGGGGTCTGGACATTGGTCACTTGTGTCTAAGGGGGTTCTTGACATTGGTCACTTGTGTCTGAGGGGGTTCTGGACATTGGTCACTTGTGTCTCAGGGAGGTCCGGACATTGGTCACTTGTGTCTGAGGGGGTTCTGGACATTGGTCACTTGTGTCTAAGGGGGTTCTGGACATTGGTCACTTGTGTCTAAGAGGGTTCTGGACATTGGTCACTTGTGTCTGAGGGGGTTCTGGACATTGGTCACTTGTGTCTCAGGGAGGTCCGGACATTGGTCACTCATGTCTAAGGGGGTTCTGGACATTGGTCACTTGTGTCTAAGGGGGTTCTTGACATTGGTCACTTCTGTCTAAGAGGGTTCTGGACATTGGTCACTTGTGTCTAAGGGGGTTCTGGACATTGGTCACTTGTGTCTAAGGGGGTTCTGGACATTGGTCACTTGTGTCTAAGGGGGTTCTTGACATTGGTCACTTGTGTCTAAGGGGGTTTTGGACATTGGTCAATCGTGTTTGAGGGGGGTTCTGGACATTGGTCACTTGTGTCTGAGGGGGTTCTGGACATTGGTAACTTGTGTTTAAGGGGGGTCTTGACATTGGTCACTTGTGTCTGAGGGGGGTCTTGACATTGGTCACTTGTGTCTAAGAGGGTTCTGGACATTGGTCACTTGTGTCTGAGGGGGTTCTGGACATTGGTCACTTGTGTCTCAGGGAGGTCCGGACATTGGTCACTCATGTCTAAGGGGGTTCTGGACATTGGTCACTTGTGTCTAAGGGGGTTCTTGACATTGGTCACTTCTGTCTAAGAGGGTTCTGGACATTGGTCACTTGTGTCTAAGGGGGTTCTGGACATTGGTCACTTGTGTCTAAGGGGGTTCTGGACATTGGTCACTTGTGTCTAAGGGGGTTCTTGACATTGGTCACTTGTGTCTAAGGGGGTTCTGGACATTGGTCACTTGTGTCTAAGGGGGTTCTGGACATTGGTCACTTGTGTCTAAGGGGGTTCTGGACATTGGTCACTTGTGTCTAAGGGGGTTCTGGACATTGGTCACTTGTGTCTGAGGGGGTTCTGGACATTGGTCACTTGTGTCTAAGGGGGTTTTGGACATTGGTCAATCGTGTTTGAGGGGGGTTCTGGACATTGGTCACTTGTGTCTGAGGGGGTTCTGGACATTGGTAACTTGTGTTTAAGGGGGGTCTTGACATTGGTCACTTGTGTCTGAGGGGGGTCTTGACATTGGTCACTTGGGTCTGAGGGGGGTCTGGACATTGGTCACTTGTGTCTAAGGGGGGTCTTGACATTGGTCACTTGTGTCTAAGGGGGTTCTGGACATTGGTCACTTGTGTCTAAGGGGGTTCTGGACATTGGTCACTTGTGTCTAAGGGGGTTCTGGACATTGGTCACTTGTGTCTAAGGGGGTTCTGGACATTGGTCACTTGTGTCTAAGGGGGTTCTGGACATTGGTCACTTGTGTCTAAGGGGGTTCTGGATATTGGTCACTTGTGTCTAAGGGGGTTCTGGACATTGGTCATTTGTGTCTAAGCAGATTCTGGAATAAACATTTCAAACAACCACATCATACAGACACAATTATTACACACCTGTGTTCATTCTCTGGGCCAGTTCACCCACTTCGTTCCTCTTCTCGGCATAGATGCTCTTGTAGCCGTTGATGAAGGACAGGTAAGACTTGGGTGTCACATGAGTTGCACGTCGGTATCTGAGTCACAGACACACAGATACTACACAAGTGGTTACCATGGTTACATGCAACAGTAGGAAGCAGGCGATTTCCAACAATCCATGCAAATGGTGTCAAATATTGTGTACATCAACATCGCTGACCTTTACCTTCAACGATATTCATTCAAAACCTATCCATGCCTGAAATATATACAGTGAAAGCTCGTTGGTTGGGACCCTGTTTGTCCCCCACTTCCAAACAATACTGGAGTGGAGTGTGGATACAAAACCTTAAAAACATAACTCTGAACCAGTAAGACATGTTAACCTGGAAATTCAGACAATTTCACTGGAATGGCTCCTACACATTAATGAGGTTCACTGAGATGCTTCCTACCTTAATGAGGTTCACTGGGATGCTTCCTACATTAATGAGGTTCACTGAGATGCTAACTACAGATTAATGAGGTTCACTGGGATGCTTCCTACATTAATGAGGTTCACTGGGATGCTTCCTACATTAATGAGGTTCAATGGGATGCTTCCTACAGATTAATGAGGTTCACTGGGATGCTTCCTACATTAATGAGGTTCACTGGGATGCTTCCTACACATTAATGAGATTCACTGGGATTCTTCCTACAGATTAATGAGGTTTACTAGGATGCTTCCTACATTAATAAGGTTCACTGGGATGCTTCCTACATTAATGAGGTTCACTGGGATGCTTCCTACACATTAATGAGGTTCACTGGGATGCTTCCTACATTAATGAGGTTCACTGGGATGCTTCCTACAGATTAATGAGGTTCACTGGGATGCTTCCTACAGATTAATGAGGTTCACTGGGATGCTTCCTATACATGTATGAGGTTCACTGGAATGGCTCCTACACATTAATGTGATTCACTGTGTATGTAATGTGATCTCACTGAAATAGTTTCTACAGATTAACAAGATTTCATTCAATCTTACTATATCTCTTATTACTACAGGGGCGGTCGGTCAGCCTAGTGGTTAAAGCGTTCGCTCGTCACGCCGAAGACCCAGGTTCTATTCCCAACATGGGTACAATGTGTGAAGCCATTTCTGGTGTCCCCCGCCTTGATATTGCTGGAATATTGCTAAAAGCGGCGTAAAACCATACTCACTCACTCACTGTTATTACTACAGAATCATTTTCTGGAGCCATGTCCGTAAATTGACATGATTGTCACTGGTCTTATATTGAACTTCAGATCACTGGATACATTTACATACGATCTTGCATTCATTAGGTTTCACTGTAACTAGTCTACACTTGATTTTACAATTCTTCTTTCTTATCATTATTCAACAAACAATCCACAAGAGAACATCTTTGCTTCAGCATCAATGTCTGTAGGCAATGTTTTCATATTGCTTTTTTAGCAAGGCTCCGGAAATAAAAAATACCCCAACTGTTAACATGACCGTCTTCCCGAGGCAAGGGAATTAACTGACCCTAAAAGTCAAGTTCCTACCCTTGCTGAACTAGGCTGGAATTTCTGAGATCAATTGTAGCGTCACGAGTGGCTATATCAGAGTTATGTCCCTTGCCTCGGGAAGATTCGTAACATGACCAGCCCTTATGAGATTAGTCACAGTGCTATCTCATCCAAGCACACCTTTAGATAAATGAACCCTCCCAAAAATGACCTTGACCCACCTCTGGAAGTAGCTGACACAGTTCTCCGCGACGCCATCATGAATGGTGCCCATGGTGTAAATGACCTGCTTCTTGACGTCTGCACTGCACTCAATGTCGAACTGGGACAGGAAGTGGTCGGCCACAGCAATGAGAGCATCCTTCGGCCATCGTTGGAACCAGTCCATTGTGCAGCCTGAGATGAGACCAGGGAACTTCAGCGACCTCTGTCGGAACTTTTCACCAACCTGAAACACATGCATCATTGACTAAAATGCTCTCAAAACATTTAGATACATTGTATAGTGCAGAACAACATTAACTTCCTCAGTGTCAGGACACTTTCAAAGACGTCTTTCCTTCTACAGCTGTTTCTACAGTGTCCAAATGGTGAAAATGTGTCAACAGTGTCATCAGAAGAACAAACCAAACACTTCCACTTGTGTAAAGGTTTCCCGGGTGTCCTCAGAAGAATAAACTTCCACATGCGAAGAAAAATCTGGATATTTCCACATGTGAAGAACGTTGCAAAAGCATATCCAAAATGCTTCTACAATGTCATCTACTGGTGATTGCATATCTGAAGATCTTCCAGGACAATTTTTCCTTCAGAGAAATATCTACAGCACACCTTCATTTTCCTAATCGGCTTTCTCTACAGTCAAACCAGGACAAGACCTTATTGAACGTTTTGTGATGCTGCTGATACAACTGTATGACTGACACACTGTTCTTGTTGGAGATTGTTGTAATATTCACTTCAATTTTGTTTTCCTGCAACTGTTTGTAGGTTTACTTACAGGAGAGAAGCAGAGCGTGACATGGAGATTGTTGCGAACACGGGACAGGTAGTACTCGTCTAGGTTCTCATTGGATGGTGGTCGTCGTGGAAACTCTTTCTTCATGATGGGGATGAGGTCACCACGAATCTCATCAATTTCATCTCTGGCAAATAAGTTAGCCACCTAGAGAAACATAAATATGATTATCAAATACCCGGTAAATTGACAAAAAAATCTTTCCATATTCATAAGAAATATCTGCTACACGGAGAGTCAATTTCAGGATTCCGAATGTATTATGGGCTTGTGTTTATGAATCACCATAAAAAAGAAATGACACTAGGTGTTCGCGAAAATGTGAGCGCATCCTGTCCCTCCAGTGGCACCCATCACAAACACATGCAAAGGCAAGTCAAATGTTCACCAGAAAAAACATGGGAACACATAGAAATTGCATTGGACATCATTTTTGTCACTGATGCACCAAGATTGGAAATGTCCCCGACATATCTACCACAAAACATTTTGAAAGCTTTACTGAGGCCTTGAATGTTGTAACCCTGATCAAACAACTTTTGAGCATCCACATCACACACATGTCTCAGCCCAGAGCATTCATATGTATATATAGTTTAACATATGTCCTTGGTGTAAGACTAAGGACACACGGCCTACTCACCACACCAGACGAGAGCATGTTGTTGAGGTACTCCAGGAAGCCCTCGTCCTTGATCTCCTGGTCGGTGAAGATGAAGGTGATGCCCTTGCCCTGCTGCCCTGCAGTGCGGTACAGGTACTTCAGGTCCTCCAGCAGGTTTGACATGTTGTACGACCTGAGGGTAGAATCACAGCAGTATTAATAATGGTATTGTGAAAACCCATGTTATTTGTTTTCCAGACACACTTTGCTACACAGCTCTGGCACCCGCAAACATTGCCAGTCAAAGACATGTGAGAGAGCATGCTTGAAGAAAAAGGCATATAAACGGTGTAATGGTGTGTACCTTTCTGGTGCAGACAGACCAACCATAATAATCAAAACAAATCTGGGATTTGAACTCGCAATCAGTGGACTTTGACAATCAAATTGCAATACCCAGGAGCACAGGACCATATGAATCTAACTATCAGATTTGTTTGTTTGTTTGTTGTTTAGCATCACACTCAACAATATTCCAGCTATATGATGTCAGTTTGTAAATACAATGTAATCTAGTCTGGACCAGACAATCCAGTGATTGACATCATGAGCATCAATCCACACAATTGGGATATGATGACATGCACCAAGTCATCAAGCCTGACCACCGGATCCCACCAGTCCCCTCTTACAACATGCATAATCTTCTTTTACGGCAAGCATGGGTTGCTGACGACCTGTTCCACCCCGAATCTTCATGGGTCTTTCTGTATCAGAATTGTGAATTCTACAACCAGAACCAACACATACCTTGTCAGGGTTATCTGGAAGGTTTTATATCCAGCAATGAATGATGCCAGTCGGGTGAGGGACTGCTTGCCTGATCCGCCCACACCAACAAGAAGGGCGTGGCCACGTGGGGTCCGGATGATACGCGAGATCTTCACCAGATGTGTCATGGCGTCCTTAAAGAACACCAGGTCCATACCGGCACCACGGATACTGTCATTGTACTGTTGCAGGAAGAAGTTGAGGCGCTCTTCAAGAGCTTCCAGAGACTCACACTAGGACGAAAATACGAGAATTTATCTACCATGTCAAGTAATCCATATTCACCAGCAAGTAAATATATGAAGCATGTGTGTAATAATTATTTCAGAGGCTTCCACAGACTTGGACTAGGGAGGAAATACAAGAATCGCCATTCATATGGAAGTTTACCCATATTTTTCACCCTTCATAACAAGATCTGTGTGAAGCACGTGTGTAATACTGATTTCAGGAGCATCCAGAGATTTGCACAGGGACGAATATAGCAGAATTTGCCATTCAAGTTTATCCCCATTTATCACCCTTCATAAAAGCATACGTCTATAGCACATGTATGATAATGATTCTATGAGCCAAACAAACATTAATATCATTCAGAACCATCCTACATCGGACTACTCACTGCCTCGTAAACTTTCGGCATGTCGAAGTCTGCATCATCTGGTTCATCACCAGTTGCCTCTGGGGCATCCCTGTGAGGGGGAACAAAGGTCAAGGTCAGTGATGAAAGTACTGGTAGTTGTCAACCAAACAGTATATATAAGAAATAAATATCCAATGGAAAAAAGACAGTTTGAAGAACAGTTAAATTAATTCTTTTCAAATCAAATCACCTTAACATTACAAAAACATTCTTATCAACACAAGCAATTTGAATGAAATATGATCCTGCAATATCAAACTTCATTACTGGGTGTTAGTGTTGGACCACACAAAAACACAACTAATCTAGACTTTCATAAAATGGAATGAAAACGTGTTACAATAAGTAGTTGTACATGTTTGTGACGTTATCACACACGCTGCAGTGTTAAGCTGGTTATCTTATGGTTTAATATATTAAATAATGTGCATTTCATGTTAAGATATTAACATCAACACTCAAAAGCTTAAATCATGGGCAATATTCAAGTCACCTTTTAATTCAAAATGAATGCAGATTTCAATTTGGCCTGAACATTTAACAATGAATTTGACTGTATATCTAAATGAAATATTCATTTATTGCATTCATTTTTAACCTTGGTGTACATTAATTTCCCGCAGTGCAAACAACAAACAATGGTGAAAGCATTAAAACACACACAAAGAGGATTAAGAAAAAAAAAATCTTAATGAAAGTAAATATAACAGAACTGAATCCCCCGAAATTAATACCAGTAAACAACACCAAAACAGTACCATGTTAGCCATCAGTCTCTGAAACAACTTCAAGTTTAAGATAAGTTCACACTGCATGTCCTGGACTGTCTACACTCAATAGTGGCCACACGAAGCTGCAATATTGCTGATGTGGCATAAATAATTATTTCATCACTCCATCAATTTTAGCATGTTTGTGACTGAATATCAACATTTAGAGGGACTAGTAAAAACTGAATTCACTTCAGTTATTTAAAATTATCACTAGTCTCTTAATGGTAAATTTATCAAGAAAAACGTTCAGAATTTCCAATGCCCTTTTTCACATACCGGTATTTGGAGAGTATGGGATAAGAAGCACAATTGAAATGGAATGACTCTAAGTTTGAAATTGCCTTTTTTATCTTCAATTGTGACTTGATTTAAACCAAATCAATAAGCTACATTACCATTCCTCCATCTGACTTATTACGCAGATTGTCAAATATCCATGTAAGTTTGTGTAAGTTCAACATCAACATGAGTTATCAGCCATCAACAGAATGGCGTCAGTGGAGGTTACGCCATGTTTGTTATTCACCTTCACAACAAGAATATCACAACAACGTCAACACGGTGCATTTCCTTCTCTAGCCACAGGTGGACGTCAGTGACGACTAGTTCAATATTGTGTACAACAATGTGTGGCGGGTACATCATGTCTGGGTTGTATGTGTAGGTCATTTAAAGAAACAGGAGGACACTTCTTGATTCTTATTGGTTGAATTGGTTTTTGAAAACCCCAACAAAATGAGCCCTTACCCATAATTCACTGAAGATAAAACACTCAACGAAAATAGAAATGTGGTGATTAGAAATATGCTTCCCTTAACAAGTTTGACATTTGACATTGGTCTATTGGATAATGAATGTCAAATTAATCCTGTTAATTAATCTTTTTGACAAATATTATCTAAAATAGGTCTTCAAATCATCCATCATTACAATCAAAATGTTTCAACCCAAACTACCGAATTCGACGTAATAAGCACCCCGCTCTAATAAGCGCCCACTGCGTTATTTGCTGATATATTGGCTAGTGAACAAGCCCAATTCGCATCCCTTCTGATTGATCAATGTACACAAGACTTAATTATTCGGTATAATATGCACACGTGTGTTATATGCACCCTTATTTATGGGCAATTAAAATCTGGAAAAATATATCTGTCGTACATAAACATTTCAGGCTGTCAGCATAAACAACAAAATTAATCTTTCAACTATGTTGTTTTCACCAAAATAATATTCTAATAAGAGCCCCCTATTTCTAATTATGAGAGCGCCCCGGGCGCTTATTACGTCGAATACAGTAAATAAAAACAGATAAATCAACAACATTCAGAAAATGTCCAGCTGCTTCTTCAAATACGGTCGTGGTAGAATATACTCAGTGTCCATTTATGAGCATGCAGACGCATCTCTTGATATCAACAACATCTTCGTTGTGAGTGGACAACAATCTGACACATTAACTGATGAATGTTGTGTCGTGGGACCAAAGCGTTGTATTGTGTACTATTGTGTTCATGGCATTGTGTTGTTGGAGCAGTCAGTGAAAGTACCTCAGGAAGTCAGTAAACCAGTAGGTTGGGTTAGCTAGTTGTTGGATTTCTTCTGACATTTCGCATTCACCCAGCACCCGCTTCAGCGTTTTGTCGAACCATACATAATCTTCAGGTTGTACAAATCTAAACATAGCAGCCACAAAAATATAACAACCGAAAAAAAGAGTTAGAGTAAAAATAGAATAAAATTCAGACTGTTTCCATTTGATAACTGGATTTTGTTCCGTAAACAAATTCATAGTCATTTGAATATCTATACCAATTTCAGGCATGATTTGTAATAAACCAGAAGACAATAAAAATTTCACAGTTATTGGACCAGAAACAGTCTGATTTTAGGAGTAGGAAAAGGTAACTCTCATACCAGATCTGATTAGTAATATAGAGTTACCTCCCCTTAATATAATCTCTACAAGCTCCCCACAGTGCTAAGCTACAGATCAGTGCAGTCACACATAGCAGTACACTGTACGGAGTAACCATGTACCTCATAAAGTCTACAAAATAGTCACTGCGTTCAATCATTGCAGGGAAATGCTCCCCGAGATCCTCTGAGGCAACACGATTCATTGTCTTCAAAAACCATTGCAAATCTTCCACTCCTGTAAATCTTTGGTTTAAACAGACACATGTCAAACATTTATCCATTATCATACAAGTCACACATCTGAAAGGACCCTGAGCCCTGAGCCACTAGGCAACCTTAGCACAACGACTGTTGTAAGTCCATGTTGAAATGGGAGTTAAGATTGCTTTGTAGAAGGGGCCCCTGATCTGATCAGTGAGTGCGTGAGTGTGTATGGTTTTACGCCGCTTTTAGCAATATTCCAGCAATATCGGGGAACACCAGAAATGGGCTTCACACATTGTACCCATGTTGGGAATCGAACCCGGGTCTTCGGCGTGACGAGTGAACGCTTTTACCACTAGGCTACCCGACCGCCCCTGATCTGATCAGTGTCAATAGTTAATATTGATTTATTATACCACTTTGCTGGTATGGACAGGCGACCTAAAATAAAACAAACATCATTAACATCATACACTTTAGTTACAGCAATGTAATAAAAGCCAGTAGAAAGTAATTAAGAAAAGCGTACAATGTAACAATTGACCAGAAGAGGTTATCCATAAAGTTGTACGTTTTTCTTAACTATTTGCCAACTTCTACAAAGTAATTACTGAATTAACATCTATTTTTTTCTGCAGATTTGGGCTGTTAAGAGGGAAGCATTTTATTTTTCAATTCCTTTAGACAAATTGTGATATAGATTTCAAATGAGTCTGACACATGAAGAACTACAGGAGCAGCAAGTTAGTCTCCCCCTCAAACATGTTTGAGTTTGAGGGGATAAAATTAGAAGGATCAAATCACAAAGATGAGGTGAGGCAGTAATATTAAATAATTACTTTATATTGGCCTAACTGAAAAATAATAATAATTTCAATAACATTAATCATAGATCTTCATGTCAGGATGAGTTAGTAATTACTGCTTAGCACCAAGCCAGCAATTTTGCAGCTAATCATGGCCATTGATTATAACCAGCTTCTTTTAAGAAAACAGTTAGTCCTCCCATATTGTCAAAAGTTTCAGACAAGTAATAACATTCACGCCTAACCCTTGTACGACACATAAAACCCAATTATGATGACATATTTTCTCAAAAAAGTTTTCAGAATTTTAAACAGTTGTGCATCATAACCTTGACCCTATGACCTTGATGTCAAAGGTTACCTGTCTGAGATGACCCTGGAACACTCGTGTTTCCATAGCGCCATGACACTCTCCTCTGACTTGATGACAGTAGAGGTAGTGTTCAACATGCCCTGCCAGATGCGAGACAGATCTCTCAAGTTGAAGATGTAGTGGAACTTGGCTGGGGTCGGCAACATCTTGATCTATATGGAAAACATATATTGATTGTGTAGGGTTTAGTGCTGATTTGAATCATATTTAAGTCATATTATTGCATGTCCATTTCTGCAGAAGGAAAACCTAAGATAAAGTAGGTCATAACCACTGACATCTGTTCAGAAACTTTCAAGGAACCCTCAAATCATGGATCATAACTCAGTCAACTATAAGATTTGGACCCAGGGCCTACAGATCCAGGCTTAGCAAAGGGGCACAACTCTTGTTGATAAACATTGATTCAAGAATTAAAAGATGAATAGAGTATCAGCATATGGTCTCTGTTAAAAAAAACTAGAGCATTTCGAAAAGGTTTGTTGAAATCAAATCTATCTGTTAATAGATATTTTTGACCAATAAACAAGCAGTAAGATTATTCCATGCTGTTTACCCAGAACATAAAATGATTCTACAATACAAAGCTAAATTAAAATTAAAATCATTATTCAGTAAAATAAACTATTAATAATCACTGCTGGAAAGTGACCTTGACATGACTTGACATTGACCCACTGACCTTTGTGAGCTGCCAGAGCCTTCTTGTGACTGGAACAAGATTCTTCACAAGTTTCTGGACACTTTCTGAGAAGCCACGCTCTTTGCAGAAGTGACCACAACCAATAACATTGAAGATCTTGTCGATGGAGGGGTTAGACGGCAGTGTACAGTTGAAGATGGCAAACTGTCGCTTGAGACGTTGGGGAATGTCGTTACGACCGCCTCCTGGTTGGATCATAGCGGCCAGGAACTGAAAGAGAATAATTATTCCCAGGGATAGAAATGTTTTGTTATTTTCAAGTGTGCCACAGTTGTAATTTAGACAGTTTGCCCCTTCCCTGTTCAGTGAGATTGATAATATCTTTACAACTTCCCCATCCAGGGTTTATTTCGGGAATCATATTGTGCATTAAAGATATTAACATGGCCATCATCCTCCACGTCTTTGCCCAGTTTACCACTAAACTCAATCACTGGCTTGATATCATAAATATTGACAAAAAGCATTCTTTTTTAAAAAATAATTTCTAAGTGTGCCCTTATCGCACCATGAACATCATTTAACCGTGGTTAGATATCCAGGTTGGATATTTTTGATGATTTCTTTTAAGGAAGCATGTTTCATGCCAAGTTATTTCATAAATCCAGGTTTATCTCAGCTTGTCAGATGAAGGCAGAAGGCCGCAACACGGCCTGGGGTGTTGTAGTGACAGACCAATGACAAGAATTTGGGCTAATCAGAGATTCAACCGATATTCAGCAGATCCCTCTTTGGCTAAGGGGAACAACTCTTGAACAACATGGGTTCAAGATGAACAGATAGGAAGAGAAGATCTATCAGGACAGACATGGCACATGACTAACACAAAATGATGGCTAAAGGGAGACTACTGGGACGTGAAGCCGCCTACCTGGACATCCACAATGTTCGTGAAGTCTCCAGGCTTCTCCAGGTTATAAAAGCCACCGTTCTCCATCAACTGTCTCACGATCTCGTTAGCGACCTGGTCGCCCCACTCGTTAATCACTGGCATGTTGATATCATCGATAAACACTGACATCTTCTTGCCAGCAGGGGGACCGTATGTTGAGCCAACTCTCTTGTCCACGTAGCTCTCAATGGTTCTCTGAAACAGGAAGTGAATGAGTGAGTGAGAAACAAGTATTTCGATCACTGATGCCATGGCAGTGTAAATAAACTGCAAGTGATTCCATGGCATTTGATTGGCTAGCCAAGAAATATTTTTGCATGGATAAATAAGGCCACACCCACTAGCCGTTTACTGTTTCCGGATTGGCTGATAATAGGGTGGGCGGGGCTTCGACTGCATTATTGTGCTGAACAACGCCACTGATTTCATATTGTATACAGTTGTTTGGGCTAATAAATACATAGGCAGGCTGTGAGTTATTATTGTTGACTTGTTGATTTATAAGAATTTGTCTTAAATACGTTTTGGCGTTTACTGGGGTATTACGTAAAATATTGTGTGCACACTTACCGGTATCCATACATATTTTCTATGTTAACACCCTATAAACGCAAAAATTATTTTCGTCAATTTTTTATTAGCCTGTGATGAATTTAAGTGTGATGCATGTCGTAGATGTTTACTGAATTGTGAGATGGAAAAGTACAGGTATAGTGTTGACAGTCCAATGTTCATAATCTGGACAATTTCAACCCACAGAGAATCCGGACACAGATGCATGTCACGAGAGTTGGAACTTCATTTTCAATCATTGTATTTTCCTTTGCCAGACCCTGGGAGCTTCTTAACTCAGCACCCATGTTAGAGGCTGGCTCTCACTCCATTCCAGAGTGAGAGAGTATGTATTTTAGCCATCTTTCAGCAATATTCCAGCAATATCACGGAGGGGGACACCAGACGTGACAAAGAACAACCTAGTTCATCAAACATAATGCGATCAAAATTTCTTGTGGATAAATTATTAACATTAATTTTTTATCACTTTGAACAGTCACACAATAAGTTGATCTGTAATCTTACGTATCTTCTCATCATCAAACCTTCCATATTGTTTCAGAGAAGAAGGATTTGCAGTTTAAACAATCCTTCCCACTCTACTCTCCACAGAGAACTCTTAACAACAGAAATTATTTTCTATTCCACATTTGGCGAAAGAACCTTCACTATTCCGCAGCGATTCTATGAAACTCTATTCCAGATAGTGTGAAAGTATCTCATTCAATCCCTGCTCTTAAAGCCCACCTAAGACCCACCTTTAGAACAATAACTATCAATGCTAAGCGTACTGAACACAAAGTTTTGTGCCCTTTTAGTGCTGTATTAAATTATTGTGCAAGCATTATTATTAGTAGTATTACCTGGAACATATACGGCGTTGTGGCGGAGGAGAAGTTAAGTGACTGTCCGACGTGTTCCTCTGGGTTGTACTGGTTGAGGTAGTTGTTGATCATCACAGTCTTTGCCGTTCCCTGTTCACCGATCAGCAGCACAGCTTTGCCCTGCTTGGAGATGGTGTGGATGAGGAACTCCGTCCTCACGTTGTCCACCATAGGGACCAGGATGTTGCAGTACTCCGGCTCATAGTCGGTCGGGTAGAGGAAGTCGGTCACCTTGGAGTTCCAGTGCACCCAGCTCCCTGCGTGGAGGACAGGCAAAAATATAGTCAAGGTCGTCGAGTCAACACAGTGGAATAGGTTTACAAGGTTTCCATAACTTCTGTTCTTTTGTTTGTTTGGTTGTTGCTAAATGCTGCACTCAGCAATATTCTAGCTATATGATTGCGGTCTGTATATATCTGGACCAGACAATCCAGTGATTGACACCATGAGCACTGATCCACACAGTTGGGATATGATGACATGCATCAACCAAGTCAGTGAGCCTGACCACCTGATCCTGTAAGTCGCCTCTTACAACAAGCATAGTCGCCTTTTACGGCCATAATGCGTTGCTGAAGACCTGTTCTTCCCCGGATCTTCATGGGTGCTATCACTTCTGAACAACCTAGGCCCTTAAAGTACACCACAGGTCCATTGGAAGGGAATATTTGTCCTGTAAACGTTCTATTCATCAATTAGATCTCTAAAATACAAGCGACCAAAACATCCGCCTACCGTTGTTGTCCACCATGTAGTCAAACATGGTGTAGTCGGCATCAGAGGGGATGTCAGGGAGGTCCAGTTTGATCTCCTCATGGTTCTTGAGCCACTCCTGCACCCTGTACCTGTCGTCCAGCTCCAGCAGCGCGCCGATGCTCCACATGAGCGTGAACACGTACAGCTTCTCGTAGTGATCCCGCGTGATCTGCATGCCCTCCTTCTCATCCTTCACTGGGATCAGCCCGGACAGCAGCTTCGTGCACTGAGGGGCAGGACAACACACACTTGAAATGTCGGACATGATTCTTGTTTTAGGGATTATTACTTGTAGTTCCTTATAATAACAACAACAACAACAATGACGTGTGGAGTGTGGTGAGAGAGAGTGTCAACGCTCCGTGTGGAGTGTGGTGAGAGAGAGTGTCAACACACCACGTGGTGAGAGAGAGTGTCACTGTTCCGTGTGGAGTGTGGTAAGAGAGAGTGCCAACCCTCCACGTGGTGATAGAGAGTGCCGTGTGGAGAGTGGTGAGAGAGAGTGCCACCACTCCATGTGGTGTGAGAGAGTGTCAACGCTCCGTGTGGAGAGTGGTGAGAGTGTATCAACACTCTGTGTGGTAAGAGAGAGGGTCAACGCTCCGTGAGCAGTGTGATGAGAGAGAGTGCCACCATTCCATGTGGTGTAAGAGGAGTGTCAACACTCCGTGTGGAGAGTGGTGAGAGTGTGTCAACACTCCGTGTGGTAAGAGAGAGTGTCAACGCTCCGTGTGGAGTGTGATGAGAGAGAGTGCCACCAACCTGGGAGATGATGAAGGCCTCCAGCATGTCCATCTTGAAGACAAGGTTCTGGGTGGCGAAGCGGTACAGAGCCGGGAAGGAGTTCTCAAACAGAGTCAGGATGATGTCCCGCTCGTAGCTAGGACGGTTGTTTAGCCAGCCCTGGAACAAGCATGTAGATAATTGTACATGTAAGATTTTCCTAATCCAAATATCAAACCCACTGATTCCTGTACCCCATTTCTCCCCTACACCCACAGTCACCTCACCACACTGATCACTTTTCCAACAGCTCCCCTCACACAGCTACTCTTCCCTACCCCCAGATCCCTTCCCCTACACCCACAGTCACCTCACCACACTGATCGCTTTTCCAACAGCTCCCCTCACACAGCTACTCTTCCCTACCCCCAGATCCCTTCCCCTACGTCACCCCTCCCTTATAGGTCACTTCATGCATCTTTGATTCCCACCACCAAAGCCAGTCTACAGCTCCTCTACCACAGTTCCCATCCAACACTGCTGCTCTCCCAAATAGCTCCCCGCCCACATGGCTCCCCCGGTCCCCCCCTACAGTTCCCCTCCCACATCCCCCACTCGCCAGAGTTCCCCTACCTCCAGGATGGGCTGCCAGTGTAGTCCCCATCCCCCTCCCCCCAGTTCCCCTACCACCAGGATGAGCTGCCAGTGGAGTCTCGCCCAGCCCCCACCCCCACCTCCAGGATAGGCTGCCAGTGGAGTCTCCCCCACCCCCCACCCCCACCTCCAGGATTGGCTGCCAGTGGAGTCCCCCCCAGTCCCCCTACCTCCAGGATGGCCTGCCAGTGGAGTCCCCCCCCAGTCCCCCTACCTCCAGGATGGGCTGCCAGTGGAGTCCCCCCTACGTCCCCCTACCTCCAGGACGGGCTGCCAGTGGAGTCCCCCACCCCCCCAGTCCCCCTACCTCTAGGATGGGCTGCCAGTGGAGTCCGGAGCTGCTCATGTACACCATGCCGTTCCTGGACACTGTAGCTGGGGAGGCGTTGTCGATGTTGTGAGGCTCGAAGATGATCTTGCAGTTGGGGGCCATTGGGATTCTGTCACCGTTGGCCAAGGTCAAGGTCTTGTTGTCATCCAACACAGAGTTAAGGTTCTCAATCCAGATGGCATCTACTGGGCCATCAAGCACCAGCCACAAGTGTTCACCTGGTAACATTGAACATACATCCCTTGATAGATACACATCTATACCAGAAATCTGAATACTGGGTTGGAATTTTAATGACAATGTTAGCAACTTAGCAGCTTTTAGTAGAAAGTAGTAAGTAGTGAATGGATAAGATTGTAGCTCTATTAGCAACCATTTCAAAGTGGGGGACACCAAGAATGGGCAGTACACACAATACCCATGAGGATAATAAAACCCAGGTTTCGGCATGTAAAGTGAATACCTGCACAACTAGGCCGACCAATGGCCCCCATAACTTGCTTGGCTTGGCAGATTAATACCAGTTTTGTAATGATCTTGTGAATGGATATGAGAACAAAATTAAAAACTTTTTTTCGTTCATTTAAGATCATCCAACTGTGAATGAAACAGAAAGAGTTACCTTTCTTGACTCGAGTAGTTCTCCTCCAAAGAGTAGAGAAGATACCATCGGTCCAGTCGTTGGTGGCGACATCAAGGCGACCAAACATCTGTGGGGCTGTGATGGCCTTGGGGTTCATCCTCCACTCCTTGTGTGGGTCTCCGGTGTCGGTCATGGCCTTCATCAACATGTGGATACAGCACGTCTTGCCCGCGCCACTCGGCCCCAGCGCCATCATGCCGTGACGGACCCGCTGGGTCTCAAACAACTGGAACAGGTACAACATGGATGACCCTCTACGTTAAATAGTGTTCGAAATAAGTCCAGGGCCCTGTTCCACAAAGTGATCTTAGCGCTAAGATGATCGTAACTCCCATACTTTATCATAGGCTTACGACAGTTGTAGTGCTATGACCGCTTTGTGGAACGGGGCCCTGGCCCATAGGCCCGTGACATGTAGAATTTGTATCAGGCCCATACAGTAAAGTACGGTTATAACGAACTCAAAGAGACCACAAATTTTAGTTCATAATAACTGTAGTTCGTTATAAGCATATATACAGCATATATACAACAAATGGCTTGGACAAAAAAATAAGTTTGTTATAAGAGTGTTCGTTATAAACATAGTTTACTGTAGTTTTCAAATTTGTCTTATGGCCTACAGTAAATTTACGTCTGGATTTATCTCACAATAAGCTGCATTTTTTTTTAAATGAGGGCCTGAAGAGTTTAGTCAGGGCTTGAAGAGTTTAGTCAGGGCCTGAAGAGTTTAGTCAGGGCCTGAAGAGTTTAGTCAGGGCCTGAAGAGTTTAGTCAGGGCCTGAAGAGTTTAGTCAGGGCCTGAAGAGTTTAGTCAGGGCTTGAAGAGTTTAGTCAGGGCCTGAAGAGTTTAGTCAGGGCCTGAAGAGTTTAGTCAGGGCCTGAAGAGTTTAGTCAGGACCTGAAGAGTTTAGTCAGGACCTGAAGAGTTTAGTCAGGGCTTGAAGAGTTTAGTCAGGACCTGAAGAGTTTAGTCAGGGCCTGAAGAGTTTAGTCAGGGCCTGAAGAGTTTAGTCAGGGCCTGAAGAGTTTAGTCAGGGCTTGAAGAGTTTAGTCAGGGCCTGAAGAGTTCAGTCAGGGCCTGAAGAGTTCAGTCAGGGCCTGCAGCTTCTAAAGTTTGTGGGTCCTGATGGCAGCCTGGCAAAAACATTTTATTTCGAACACTGACGTTAAGCTTTCAGTACAAGGGGCGGTCGGGTAGCCTAGTGGTTAAAGCGTTTGCTCGTCACGCAGAAGACCCGGGTTCGATTCCCGACATGGGTACAATGTGTGAAGCCCATTTCTGGTGTCCCCCGCCGTGATATTGCTGGAATATTGCTAAAAGCGGCGTAAAATCAAACTCACTCACTTTCAGTACAATATTATTTTGTGGCAGTATTTGTCACAACTGCTTTTTGACAGAATTGTGCCATATAATCTCAAATCTACCGAAGCCTTCACCAATATATCATTAAGTTACACGTTTGTCAAGAATTCTGTCCTTTGTGTTACTTATCTCCAAGGCCAAGTTCACCACTGATATTGAAGTATGGTGAAGTGGGATTTAAAGTCACATTCAAGTTTATTGCACTTATATATGTGTGTTTATGAGGGAGGAACTGCTTGTACTAGTCCAGACTAACGCTGGTGTTATAGTGCTAGCCCACTGAGATACCATGCCACAGTTTAACATAAATACCCCACCCACAAAGGCCACAGAGGTGGTGTTATTGATTATTGATATTGACTCCAGGGGAATGTTAAACATACCTGAATGAGTTTCAGTATCCATGACGGGTGACACACCAACTTGGCATCCTCAACATTCTTTGCAATGGCCGCCTCCAGCTCTGGGTAGCCTGCTTTGTCCAACGTGATGCCGGGGAACAGATCATTGATGAGAGACAGGAAGAGAGGCTCATCCTGGTCGACCAGTTTAGACAGGTTCATGTCTCGCAGGACCCTCATCACGATCGTCTGCTCGGTGTCCTCGGGGGACTGGCGCTTCACAGTTCCCAGGGTCCTCAGCACAGACAGGATGTTACGCAGACCAAAGTCATAGTGAACCTTGAGACAGCAACAAGTACAGTAATAATGATGATGATGATGATGATGATGATGATGATTTGGTTTGGTTTGTTTGTTGTTTAACGCCGCACTCAGCAATATTCCAGCTATATGACGGCGGTCTGTAAATAATCGAGTCTGGACAAGACAATCCAGTGATGGACATCACGAGCATCGATCCACGCAATTGGGATCGATGACATACATCAACCAAGTCAGCAAGCCTGACCACCCGATCCCGTTAGTCACCTTTTACGACAAGCGCAGTGGCCTTTTACGGCAAGCATGGGTTGCTGAAGACCTATTCTACCCCAAAATCTTCACGGGTCTGATGATGATGATGGTGATGATGTTGGGGGGGGGGGGGGGGGGGGATAATTACTGCAACAATGATAATAATAAACTGAGCACAGATACTGACACTGGTGTATGCTTTGTGAAATGTGTTTCTTGAAGACAGCATGTATTTGCTGTTTAAAGTTACTGACATACACACGTCTTGTCCATACCTACTGTGTTGTGGTGATGATTGTTTGTTGTTTAATGCTGCACTCACCAATATTCCATCCTGGATATAATCTAATCGGGACAAGTGATTGACATCATGCGCATCGATCCACGCAATTGGGATATGATGACATGCATCAACCAAGTCAGCGAGCCTGACCACCCGATCCCGTTAGTTGCTTCTTACGGCAAGCATGGGTTGCTGAAGACCTACTGGTGATGATGTGCACCTGGTTGTCACTCCCTACTGAGTTGTGGTGATGATGTGTGCTATACAGTAGTGATGCGTACCTGTTTCGTGAGCTGCTCCTCACATAGTTTGTACAGGGTGTAGAACTTGCGAGCCAGGATGATGTGTGCTATACAGTAGTGATGCGTACCTGTTTCGTGAGCTGCTCCTCACACAGTTTGTACAGGGTGTAGAACTTGCGAGCCAGGATGATGTGTGCTATACAGTAATGATGCGTACCTGTTTCGTGAGCTGCTCCTCACATAGTTTGTACAGGGTGTAGAACTTGCGAGCCAGGATGATGTGTGCTATACAGTAATGATGTGTACCTGTTTCGTGAGCTGCTCCTCACATAGTTTGTACAGGGTGTAGAACTTGCGAGCCAGGATGATGTGTGCTATACAGTAATGATGCGTACCTGTTTCGTGAGCTGCTCCTCACGCAGTTTGTACAGGGTGTAGAACTTGCGAGCCAGGATGATGTGTGCTATACAGTAATGATGCGTACCTGTTTCGTGAGCTGCTCCTCACACAGTTTGTACAGGGTGTAGAACTTGCGAGCCAGGATGATGTTGTCCATGAAGCCGACGGCGGCAAGTTTCACCCGGATGATGATCTGACGATCCGGAACCATCATGGCCACAGTACGGAAGTTGATCTTCAGGTTCTCAGGCAGCTCTTGTCGGCCGGCATAACCGGGGTTCTAAAAGGAGACATTATGACATCATTGAGACCCGTTTATATCCATGTCCTGAAACCACTTCTCAACAACACGTAGTGAATACATGATTAGTGACCTTTCCTTTCCTCGTAAATGAACAAAATCTGGTTTCAAATGAGCCATGATTTGGATAAATAAACAAAGTGTTATATAGTGGGCCACATTTCTAAGGCTCATCAATGTCTAGAATTAGAGTAGAATATACGAACTCTGCAGGCAAGATGTCTCACTTTTCTGGATAAAAAAACTGCCTTAATTTAGACAACAGGCATTAAACTGACAACTTTCAATAAATAAGTGAATAAAGAAAATGTTATCAGACTTTGGTGATGTTAATACATTGCTCTTCGAATCAGAGAGCCTAGAAGGTTCGAGAGCCTCACCATAGTCAAGAAGATGCCGAATTCTGGGTTCATGTCGACATTGTCACCATCAGTGAAGATGAAGTTCTTCTTGCGCTCCTTTTTACAGGCGAGCACAATCGCGATCTGCTGAGCTGCCACGGACAACACTGGCAGGTCAATACGGTTAAACTCATCAAAACATCCCCATGAGCCGGACTGGGCCAGACCTGGAACAAACAGGGAACAGTTCAACTGAAGAATAGCAGACGCCATATTGCAAACACAAAGAACACATATATATGCAAAGAAAGTACAAAACTGTATAAAACAATAAGAATTCAAAATATTTTGTAATTGTTGCAAATAGTTAAAAACTTGCTGTTCTGGAAATATTTGGTATTAAACAGAGCATAATATGTGAACATATATAAATTAACCCGAAAGCAAAGAATTCAAAACTTGAACCCATCCCGAATCTTGGGTCTGAACCTGAATCCTCACTGCCCTAGGCCACTGGGCCATGATCACCTCTGTCATACCAAGGAAGCTTCCTCACCTTTGTAGATACGTCCCAGACCTCGGAAGTCCATCTGATCTGAGCAGTTGAAGACAACAACGTATTTGCCGAGACATCTGCCCATGTCCTTGACTGTCTCCGTCTTCCCCGTCCCTGCCGGGCCAGCTGGGGCCCCGCCCATGGACATGCCCAGCGCCTGGGACAGTGTGATGTAGCATCTGGAAACAGAGTGAGTTTGACCTTAACGCTGCTTTGAACTGTATTCAGTTATATCACGGTGTGTCAGTTTGATGTGGGAGGAAAGTGATGCAGGTCTGAGATGTTTACCACTATGAGCAACCCATAAACAGGGTATGGTGCGGACAAACCTAGAAACCTAGAACGGGATTTGAACAGACAATTATAGGTTCCTATCATGCCTAAGGGAGACAACTCTGTACAACGAATTGCGGCACCAACGATGACATCCATGTCCCCTTCAAACGGAGAAAATAGGGCCAATGCACAGTTTCTTACATGTAAAATGAATAGAAATAAATATGTCAAGTCAGTGCTGTAGTCGTGTCTAACTCACCTGTCAGTGAGGGGGTCATCTATTTAACTCACCTGTCAGTGAGGTGGGGATCTAATTAACTCACCTGTCAGTGAGGGGGGTGATGACCAATCTCTCGGTGCAGCCAAGGACCTCGTTCTGGTAGTTGAAGTCCACATCCGTGATGGAGATGAGACACTTATCCTGGTCCTCGATGAAGTAGAAGCGAGACTGCTTCAGCCACTCAAAGTCTGTTGGCGACTTGATGTGTTGACGACACTACAAGACAGACATAAGTTGCTGCATGACAATGATCACAAAAAGTAATATTGTTTATCCTAAACCTCAACAATCATTTAACCTCTGTTCTAAAACAACAACAATGGTCTACCTGTCTCCTGTTCAAGAAGGGTCCACTAACAAGAATTGTACAACTGATCGAACTATTGCAATTAATCGTCAGCTATTGGCATAAATTGATGACAGGGGAAAATGTCAGTGCAATTATTCCTCAGCCATTGGCAATAAATTAATGACGGTGAAAATATCAATAAATGAGATCCATACCACACTAAACTATCAATGGTGTATCACAATTGTGAGACAACTAATGCTCTTGCATCAGAAAAGTGTTTTTAAATCTTTAAATCAGTACTATACTGCATTATTCAAAAAGTCACCACTCAGTCATCACATGATTCTGGAAAATAATATCAATAGTTGACATCAATACCACAATAAACTCTGGTGTGTTAGAATTACTGCATGTGCATCACAAAAGTGTCTTTACATCTTGCAATACTGTATTGTATTATTCAAATTGTCACCCTCCCAATAACCGTTCTGACACACTCACCAATTCCTCAAAGATGTCTCTCTGATGTACGTGGATGGTGATCAGAGTCTCAAACTTGGTCCTCTCGATCTTCTTCAGGTCCATGGTGGTCTGGGCGATGAGAGTGTTGAGGAGCTCCAGGAACGCGTTGTTCGTCTGCTGCATGATCTTCTTGTCGTACTTGGCGTGGGTCAAGGCCTCCGTGGCATCACGTGTCCAGATCATTTGGATGCCAAGAAGCCCGACCTACAAGAAAAACAAAATAATTGTCAGAATTCTCAGATCATTAGGAAACCAAGAGCATCAACAAATGTGAAAAAAACCAATTGGTTGAGATTTCTTTCATTCAGATACCAAGAAGGCCCACAGATACGAAAAACAAAAATTGTGCAATAGATCTAAAATTCAGCAACAATATCATTTCAGTTTCTGTTTCTAAAAGATCCAAAGAAAGTAAAAAATATAGAGAACAGATGAGCTCTCTGCACTGATGTCTTCAATAATTCATAAGATATTAACATACCTGCACTCAAACACCACATATGACTTTAATTCACACAGAATCTATCTTGCAACAGAGATCTTTTCCAAACTTATACTGAGTGAGTGAGGGGGTAGTTATGCCGCTTTTTGCAATATTCCAGCAATATCCTGGCGGGGGACACACATTGTACCCATGTGGGGAATCAAACCCGGGATTTTGGTGTGATGAGCAAACGCTTTAACCACAAGGCTACCCAACCACTCTGGATATTCACACAGAATCTTGCAAATGAGATCTTTTCGTAACTTATACTGAGATGAGCAAAAAAATGCTAACAAATGTTACAGGAGATGAGAATTTATTTTGGTTGCCCATATCTTGAATTATCACGGTAGAAGTAACTAAGGGCGTGTCCCTCCCACCTGTGCTGGGAACATGTTGAGGAACTCCAGCAGCTGGAAGCTGGGGTCCTGGATGGCCATGGCCGCCTGTCGGATGACGCCGTGGACGGAGCGGTGAGCCATCTGCATCAAGGCCATCAGCCAGATCTCCACATTGCCCTCGGCCTTCACGGGCTTCTCCAGCTGGAACACAGAACAGTGGGTGTGTAGGCATACAGTGAGTGTAGGCATACAGTGAGTGAGTGAGTTAATAAGGTTGTTTCACAATGTTGTATCGGTATATCTGCAGTGCATAAATAACAAAGAAGATATATCCCATACATACGAGAAATCCTTTCCTGGGTCAGTTCCACAAAGTGATCTTAGTGACTCACCGCTACAAGTGTCGTAAGTCTAAGTTCAACTGAATGTTCGTCTTAGCACTAAGAGTGCTTTGTGCATGTCGGTCACCATTTCAATATACCGTTGGAAATAAGAGAACAGGTTTAGCAGTAGGCCTTGATGCTGCATCGTGTAGTTACTGACGAGGTCATTGGCGGGTTACACACCAGTTACTAACACTAAAAAAGCGGTAAACTTTATCCAATATATTACTATGTTCACTTATTTCCGGTCATAAGTATAACAGAAATTACCATGAGACGATGTCACTAAAAAAAGCTAGGACAACATAAACGAATAGTTCCATATTTCATAGAGGTTTCACAAAGACTGATGTTAAAATTAAACTGACAATCTTTTTACTCATAGGAGGTGAGGTGAAATTGGGTTTTACGTCGCGTCCAAGATTATTGCACTTATATAGCGACATGCATGCACGTGTATGTGTGTGTGTGGCTGCTTGTACTAGTCCGGACTGATGCCGATTTATAGTGCTAGCACACTGAGATACCATGCCGCAGTTTAACATGAATACCCCACTCAGACACAGTATACTGACTCCGAGCCGACCAGTCCTTGTTTTAGCCCCTTAATGTCGAGCGCCAGACAGGGTAACAACAAGTACCATCTTTTAACGTCTTTTGGTATGATGCGGCCGGGGATCGAACCCCGGACCTTCCGCTCTCCGGGCGGACGCTCTACCACAAGACCACGGAGGCGGCCGTTTACTCATAGGAAGGTGTATCAGACAGGATGAGGTCATAGTTTTTAACCTGTTTACTCATAGGAAGGTGTATCTGTTGAGAATTCTCACCTCAATTGACTCTCCTTCTGTAGAGGCCACAGACAGGATGAGGTCATAGTTCTTAACCTGTTTACTCATAGGAAGGTGTATCTGTTGAGAATTCTCACCTCAATCGACTCTCCTTCTGTAGAGGCCACAGACAGGATGAGGTCATAGTTCTTAACCTGTTTACTCATAGGAAGGTGTATCTGTTGAGAATTCTCACCTCAATCGACTCTCCTTCTGTAGAGGCCACAGACAGGATGAGGTCATAGTTCTTAACCTGTTTACTCATAGGAAGGTGTATCTGTTGAGAATTCTCACCTCAATTGACTCTCCTTCTGTAGAGGCCACAGACAGGATGAGGTCATAGTTCTTAACCTGTTTACTCATAGGAAGGTGTATCTGTTGAGAATTCTCACCTCAATTGACTCTCCTTCTGTAGAGGCCACAGACAGGATGAGGTCATAGTTCTTAACCTGTTTACTCATAGGAAGGTGTATCTGTTGAGAATTCTCACCTCAATTGACTCTCCTTCTGTAGAGGCCACAGACAGGATGAGGTCATAGTTCTTAACCTGTTTACTCATAGGAAGGTGTATATGTTGAGAATTCTCACCTCAATTGACTCTCCTTCTGTAGAGGCCACAGACAGGATGAGGTCATAGTTCTTAACCTGTTTACTCATAGGAAGGTGTATCTGTTGAGCATTCTCACCTCAATTGACTCTCCTTCTGTAGAGGCCACAGACAGGATGAGGTCATAGTTCTTAACCTGTTTACTCATAGGAAGGTGTATCTGTTGAGAATTCTCACCTCAATTGACTCTCCTTCTGTAGAGGCCACAGACAGGATGAGGTCATAGTTCTTAACCTGTTTACTCATAGGAAGGTGTATCTGTTAAGAATTCTCACCTCAATTGACTCTCCTTCTGTAGAGGCCACAGACAGGATGAGGTCATAGTTCTTCTCGTGGAACTTGACCGTCTTGATGTTGTCGAAGACGGACAGGAGGTGAGCCTGAATGGTGTGGGGGTCACTGGCCTGACCCAGGATCTCCAGCAGGGCGGGGTCAGATACGAAGAAGAATCGAGGGAATGACAAACGCTTCTTCTCCAGGTAGCTAGAGAATGAATGGATTCATCAGAACTTGATCAGTTTTTTTATTTCACAATGTATACTTAAACACATAAATATGGATCTGGTCAAATTTTACACTAATCTTATTGAATAGTTATATTTCTAGTTTTTCAGTAATTGCTGAACACAAAAGTAAGGGATCATGAAATATATATATTTATCGTAGACATTTAAAGAAACTCAGTCTGCACGACAAAAAAAATATCTCCAAAAATATTTAATCCTTAACTCTTTATTTTCAACGACAATGTAGAAGAACGTACCCCGTGAGAGACTTCTGGCAGAGTTCCAGCTGTTCCAGTAGATGAGGCAACAGCTGCATCAGAGTCTCATCTCCAACACAACACGTCACCACGTTGGGAGTCTCGTGAGCGCGTGTCATGATCTTCACCCAGGACTTGTCGATGTTGCTGAACCTTTTAGCTTCCTATAACATTGAGCGAGTCAGTCATCATTATAAAAATAATTATTCTTGACGAGGTCAATATGCGAAAACAAGTTTAAACCATTCTATTTCATAACAGTTACTTAGCTGGGAATGGTGAAGTGTTCATACCATACGCCATCTTGTTTCTAGCAGACAATATTCATCATGTGACAGGACAATACTGATCATGTGAAGAGTCAATATTCGAGGTCTGTGTCAGTCACATGATTTCAGGGTCTACATTGAAACGTATTGTTCCGTCACGTGGTATGGATTAACCAATGGAATTGTAACATTTTTAATAGAGGTATAACAATGTTTAACAAGTATCGGCCACTTCATGGTGCGTCTTGTTTCTATAACATTTGCTCTTTATTATACAGCATGATTACAGTGATGGAGATGGACATGAAACCTCTTCTGAAATAGGTCCATGGTACATAATAGAATGGAGATATAATACCCTTGATAACACAGGATGGTAGGAGGGTACTGTGTGTCATAGCTCTTACCTTAGGCAGCTGTTTGGCGATGTCGCCACCAACAAACACGGCTTCCAGATACACCCAGAGGTTCTGTACCGTCATCCAGTTCTCAATGATCTCGGACGAGTTGGTCAGGTTCTGAACCCAGGTCTGAATCTTGGGCTTGAAGGGAGCATTGTACCGGTTGCTAAGTAACGAGCTGAGCACCATGAGAGAGTCCTCCATGAGGACGATGATCTCAGAGGTTGTGTCGCCTCGGAGGAGGAGCTCGCCGCGGTTCTTGAAGTTGCCGAAGGTGAAGTCCTGGTGTCCCCAGTCACTGATGACTCCTTTCAGCTTGGCCTCAATGTCCTTCTCCTTCACCGCCGATATACAGATGTCCTGGAGAAACAGACAGAGGTTAACCAGGGCCCGGTTCCACAAAGGGATCTTGGCACTAAGGTGATCGTAACTCCCATACTTTAACATTGGCTTACGATAGTCACGGCACTAAGACCACTTTGGAAGTGGGTGTTTTGGAAAAAAGCTTTAATATAAACTTAAAATATTTTGTATGAAATTCTACAATATTCTAGGTTAAAATATGAAATATAAATGAGAAAGGTGATTGTACTAGGAGGAGACATAGGCCTATGAAGTCAATGATTATTGATTCTGTTTTTCTTGGTGAAAGAAATAACTTCTCATGAGTTAGCGGGAATTACCAAGATCAGGTCTTGTAATATAAGTGCCACAGAGCAAATGAAAAGAAGGAATAAATGGTCAGTTTTGTCATGACCAGAAATGGACTTCACACATTGTACCCATGTCGGGATTCGTCACTCACTCCATTAAATGATACAACTGGTAGATTCAGTTCATGCTATCAAAGGGGGCGGTCAGGTAGCCTAGTGGTTAAAGCGTTCGCTCATCACGCCGAAGACCCCGGTTCGATTCCCAACATGGGTACAATGTGTGAAGCCCATTTCTGGTGTCCCCCGCCGTGATATCGCTGGAATATTGCTAAAAGCGGCGTAAAACCAAACTCACTCACTCACTGAACTGACAGAATCTCAGATATAATGTACCAATGGCTCTTTCAGACCATCATGTGGTTCTAGAGAGAGAATGAATCTGTATAACTTTAGGTAACCAGAATTGCCTTAACTCCATACGACCCTGTGGGGAGTTTGGGTTAGAATAGGACCCCTTAACCTATGCTGGTCGTAGGAGGTGACTGGTGGTCAGACTCGGGGGCTTGTTGATAGCGAGTCATCACACTGTGGATCATTGTTTACAATGTCAATCAGTGGATTGACTGGTCCAGACTTAATCATTCACAGCTATCATATAGGTGAAATATTGCTGAGTGTTGCATACAAACAAACAAACAAACAAACACTCCATACCTCTATGTCCTCCTTGAACTGCAGCAGCGGTGCCTCCAGGATGTTCCTGAGTGTGAAGTTCTCTCCCTCGATGTCAAACATGTGGCCGGTGGTGTCAGACATACGTTTCCAGTGACGAGGCTGCATGGACTTGTTGGCCATCAGCTCAAGTAAAGGCACCATCTCGTTAAAGTCGTCAATTGTCTGTTTCAAATCCTCAAAAGCTTGCCAGTCTTTAAGGGCACGTGGCAACTTGCGGCACCTGTGTCAACATACAACATTTACTGTATATGAGTCGATAGGGGTGGTGAGAGACAGGCTTCACTATGTGTTTTGGATAGCTAATACATCCTGACATTTCTGCATATCTGAATTCTGAATCTTCAAAATGAATGTAAGCAGGCAGTTCTGAATGGAAAATGATACAGGCTTCACTATGTGTTTTGGATAGTAAATACATCCTGACATTTCGGCATATCTGAATTCTGAATCTTCAAAATGAATGTAAGCAGGCAGTTCTGAATGAAAAGTGATACAGGCTTCACTGTGTGTTTTGGATAGTAAATACATCCTGACATTTCGGCATATCTGAATTCTGAATCTTCAAAATGAATGTAGGCAGGCAGTTCTGAATGGAAAATGATACAGGCTTCACTATGTGTTTTGGTAATTATCACAGCCTGTCATTTCTGAGTCCCATAGCATCTGCTACCAAAAGGGTGTACTATTTTATGGCATATTTATATTCTGTGTCAGTTTTCTTTTCTTAAAGTCAAAACATAGTGGTCAAGAAATAAGCATTTTAGAAAGCTGACATCTGACGGGCACAAGACCCCATGCATCCTTCATTTAGACTGGGTACTATTTCACAACAATAGAGCCCTTGTGGTTGTTACTAAAAGTAATTAAACTGTTTCGTGGCTCCTTCAGCAACTTTACCTGTTTTGGAACTCCTGCAGTTCCGTATTAATCTTATCAATGTTGACATCCTGCCAGTTGATGTCGTAGTACCCGTGTACGGTGTCAATGACGTCATTGTAGAGGCCGTACAGCTTCTGAAGGAGGTTCAGTTCCTTCCTGATGCGAACCAACTCTGGGTAATCGGTCACAGGGAGGCCGAACAGCTCCTCGCCTCCAGAGTATGTCACAAACTTCCTGTTGAGCGTGTCAAACTGGTTTTGGAAGATGATGAGTCTGTCGGAGGCCTCACGCGGGGCAACTCCAGGAACCATTGGTCCAGTCTGTCAACACACATTACACCAATATTACCATTCATGCCCAACTCTTGTAATTCTGGGACAAGCTGAATAGCGACTCGTGACCCTATCGTGGCCATTTTTGTGACTGGGTTCCATCTAAGCGCAAACAGGCATACCTAAAAGAATTGTCAACTCATTGCGTAATGATTCAAGTATATATCTCCTATTTGTCATATATATGCCAGATGCTATGGAAAACGCTGGGACTTACAGTATTATACCGTATGATTGAACACATTTAACTCTGTCTTGGGTACATTTTTTTAATGCAAGACATATGTAACATCAAAAATTATTCCTGAGGAATTCTTTGACAGAAGTACTTGAAGTCATACGCACAATCCATTTGGTTTGTCATATTTTCGCACATAACATACATCGATATGAGGACGAGTCTTCTTGCAGGTTACCGAAAGGGGCGAGTGTTCATGAAACCCATATTACATGCATATTACATGCACATTACATGCATATTACACCATGATTTGAGTGTATGTATTCACACTGTGACTTACAGTATCGTAACCTCTGTAGAAGTCTGTTGTTTCCTGCTCGAAGATCTTGACGTTCTCCACCAGTTCGGACTTGAACTCAGGCTGGATAGTGAGCAGGTGCGTTTGGACCTCGGCCGCCTGGGTGTTCAACTTCTCCCACGAGTATCGCAGCGTGTCGCATCTCTCTGTCTCCTCTTTCACAACAGGGAGGTCGTGTTTGTTCAGCACTGCATAGGATTCCTGTAGGAAACAATACCAATCATTGGAGAATGCCGTAATTCATAAACCAAATCTGTTATTCCAAAGAATATCAGGATCAATTTTAAAAAGAAAATTCAAACAAATAGTATTCTGATTTTTTTATCTGGCACACCCAAAATGAGAAATATCTTGCATACATGACAGGATATTTCAAAAACTTGTCTCATTCAAATTTTAACTACCGTATTCGATGTAATAAGCGCCCCGCTGTGATAAGATATTTGCTAATATGTTGGCTAGTGAACAATCCTGATTAGCACCCCTTCCGAATGATCAATGTCCACAAGTCTTATTTATTCGTGTATAATACGTGTGTGATATGCATCCTTAATTATGAGAAATTAAATTCTGGAAATATATATGTCGTATATAAACATTTCAGGCTGTCAGCATAAACCATGAAATTTACGATCTTTCAACTCTTTTCATTTTCACCAAAATAATATTCTAATAAGAGCCCCCTATTTCTAATTTTGAGGGAGCCCTGGGCGTTTATTATGTCGAATACGGTATTGGTTTTTCAGTAGTCATGCCGCCAAGATACCATAACGAGCGAAAGTCTTGGGCCTTACACCTCCATATTGTAACACACCTCTAACATATTAATGGTCCTTTTAGGAGAGCGGAGCAGCATGGCTCTACACAGTGATCGGATCACTTTCTTAAAGGGCAAGTAAAGTAGACATCTCAACTTTGGAAATTTTAATACTTTAGGGCATACCACGGTACTTAATCACAAATGCATGACCAACATTAAATTTGAAATATGAGCGTGTGATTTCAGCACTTTCTCTTCGACATTTAAATACTTTCTATAAATATTAAGAATGTTTATCTCTTGGTTGGTTGGTTGGTTGGTTTGTTATTTAATGCCACACTCAAGCTATATGACGGCGGTCTGTAAATAATCGAGGGGTAGATGCGGTTTTATGTTTTGGTTTTATACCTTTAGCTGCTACCCCCCGTGATACTGCTACAACAAATTTATCTTGCCAACATGTTTCAACCGGTATAGGAATAAAAACTGTTGGATAAAGCTGAGGTTAACTTGCGCTGCGTCACATGACTTTCATTCATAAAAACATGTAGATTTTTGCTTCATAAAAGGGTGCAAGAGATTTACTGTCCTGTTCTGAAATCTATATGCAGTTTGTTTTCTTCCTGGCGGTGAATAAGGGACTTATTCTCCTGATGAGAAACTTACTTCCCTCCTAGGCGGGATACATTGTATTTTAGCAAGATCACATGAACCAATTAGATCTCAACATTTTGACAGGGAGTTGGGCTGGGAAGAGTCCAAATTTACCACCCCACTATTACCCGACCCTACCCGGGTACCCTCTGTTGGTCTCAAGAGATAGGTACAAATGTCTCAGATTGGGAATAGTTTGACCGTAGCCCTGGCAAAATGTATTTAGATACTCATATAGAATGATCTGGTCATGCATACACTGAAGTTGACTGAAGTTTTATCTCTATTCAAGGATATAAAGTTGGAAAAAATGCTTGCATGGTCAGAAAGAAATGCGAACATAAGTCACTTATAGTGCAACCGTGGAAGTTCAAGATAATTTTTGTCATAAAACAATATATCACGTGACTAACCACAAGTCCGGGTAGTACTCTGGGTACCGGGGTCCTACCCGAGTTACCCGTCCCAGCCCTAACAGGGAGATAAGATCATAGCTTTTATTACATGAGACCCTAATCCTCTGAAAACAAAAAACGGACTAATAAGTAGAATAATCCCAACATCGTCTCCTCACCTCGATGGGGCCGATGCTCATGTCAATCATTATCTCCCTTTCCCTGATCTCCTTCAACACAGCCATTGAGAACCTGATGTCATCCAGGTCTTTGATTGGGCGGGTCAGCCTCTTCTGGGACTCGTCAATGAAGGTGAAGATATTCTCCATCTCATCTCGGTACTTGGCGTTGCAAGCTTTACCATAGTGAAGGCGCCACGCTTTGGTCTCCGTGGTCAAACCCAGTTTCAGCTTCTCTGTAAAACACGGATTGATTGAGATTGGTTTGACGCCTCTTTGAACATTTCAGTTATCATATCAGTGATGCAGGTCTTAGACATGAAACCCACAAGCATCGCTTTGGTGCTGACAAACCAAGAATCATAATTAGGGTGAATCTGGTATTCAAACCTACAATCACAGGATTCTGGCACAACTTTGTTTGTTTGTTGTTTAACGCTGCACTCAGCAATATTCCAGCTACATGACGGCGGTCTGTAAATAATAAGGTCTGAAACAGACAATCCATTGATTGACATCATGAGCATCGATCCTTGCAATTGGGATACGATGACATGCATCAACCAAGTCAGCGAGTCTGACCACCCGATCCCTTTAAACGCCTCTCACGACTAGCATAGTTGCCTTTTACAGCAAGCATTGGTTGCTGAAGACCTATTCTACCCTGGATCTTCACAGGTCTCTGGCATAGCTCTGCACAGTGAATCGTAGTGGCAACTCTTGTACTTATATGGAGCACTGTTATATATATATTACAGGCCTCAGTACAAGTGGTGGGTGTGTATGATCAATAACTGCACCCTTGAAACATCCGGAAGGGGGACCCCTGGATCGTATCAAACTTCCAATCGTTATTGTGTTTTAGGCAAGATCTTTCAGTTCCCGATATAAACCATCGGCCCATGGAAATCATGTTTACATACTAAAAATATGAATAATTTCAAGCCCCATACCTAAAACAATTTTAAAAGCTTAGTTTGTTTGTTGTTTACAGCAGCACTCAGCAATATTCCAGCAATATGATGGGCGTTTGTAAATAATCTAAGCTGAACCAGACAATCCAGTGATTGACATAATGATCAATCTACACAACTGGGATACGATGACATGCATCAACCAAGTCAGTGAGCCTAACCACCCGATCCCGTTAGTCATCTCTTACAACAAACATGGGTTGCTGAAAGCCAATTCTAACCCTGATCTTCACCGGGGTTTCAAAGGTCATCACTGAAACTGTTTTCTTAAGCTTTCACACTTTATACAATCCTGCTCACCTGTATAGAGAGCAATGGCGCCCACATCATAGTACTCGGGCTCGTTGTTGATCCGAACCTCTTGTTCTTCGTAGTGTTTGATCTTTGCCTCGAACTCCGACAGTTTGGGGTCATCCTTCATGAATTCAGTAAGGTCTTCGTCGCGGTCGCACTCCCAGATGGCATGGTAGTGCGAGAACTTGTCCAGTGCCGTTGTCACCTCCTGCAAGGAAAACATCGCCATATTTAATAACTAACCCAACAATGTGCAGACTGAATTTACAAATAAATACAATGAAATCATCTAAATAAGATGAGACACACCTATTACCTCTGCAGTGACTTTGTAAGGTTTTATGCTTCTTATATCAACATTCCAGCAACATTCCCACAACATTCCTGCAACATTCTCGCAACATTCCCACACCGGCAACATTCCGGCGACATTCCAGCAACATTCCGGCAACATTCCCACAACATTCTGGCAACATTCCGGCAACATTCCACCCCCCTAGGTTGGTAAACTAATGTTTCTCATAAAAAAAAAGTATGTCCAAAAGTGAAATATTTTGGAACAGAAAAGGGTGGAATAACACATAGTACTGACCTTCTTGGTCGAGTTGATGGACGTGGACAGAAGGGAGGCCAGTTTAGCAATGTCCTTGTTGTCCGACACGCTCTTAAAGTAATTCTTGACTTGTTGCAGGATGACCAAGTTGCTGGGTGCAGTCTCTCCGTCGCCACGCCCCTTGCGGTCAGGGTGGGACCCCTCAGAAGGGGCCTGACTGGCCACGCTGCCCCTCCTCTCATGGGAGTAGTCCCCAGTGACCGACCCGGACCGCTCGGTCTGGGCTGGTTTCACGATTCGCTTCCGTTCCTTGCTCCACTGAGACACGCCCTTGCTGACACAGATGATGTTCTGAACGGCTTTGTTCAGGGCCTGCTGGACCTCGTCTAGGGCAGGCTGCATCGTGATGTTCGGAATCTGTAGCGTGGCGTACGTTCGGTAGAAGGGACGGCTGTCTCGCTTGTTGTCTCCAAACACGGACGTGTCAGCTGGAATTACAAGAAAAGAGGAAGGAGTGAGTCAGTTGGGTCTAATGCTGCTTTGAACAGCATTCAAGTTTTATCACAGCTTGATGTTGGAGGAAAGCTCGAAGTGATGCAGGTCTTAGACTTTTACCACTCTTACAAACCTAGAAACATAATAGTGGAAAACCAGGATTCGAACCAGCGATAATAGTTTTCTAGCATGCCAAGGGATGCAACTCTGCACAGTGAATGGTGGCACCTTTAACATTTTGGCATGCCCCCCCAATACATGTAACATTTTGTCATGAACCCCCAATACATGTAACATTTTGTCATGCCCCCATATACATGTAACATTTTGTCATGTCCCCTGCCCCAATACATGTAACATTTTGGCATGCCCCCCCAATACATGTAACATTTTGGCATGCCCCCAATACATGTAACATTTTGTCATCACTTTTGACTGCCAGACTTACTCATATAGTGGGTGATTGAACTGGAGGTGATCCTCTTCCTGAGTGACTCGAGGGTGTTGCGGACACAACGTAGGAGGGCGTCCAGGTTGCGGTTGTTGAAGTGGATGAGCAGCTCCATGGCCGACTCCTCGATGTTCTCCCTCATCTCACGCTTCTTCTTGGCCACATTGAGGGCCTTGGAGGACAGAGGACGCGATCGCTTGCTGCCGCTGTGCGACATGCGAGACTCACGTGGAGATCCATCATGGCTCTTCACCTCAGCTGTTAGGAAAAATGAGGAGGTCAATTGTGTACATGTATACCATGGAATCTTTAACAGTACCTCAAAGTTAAACAAGAGTTTGCCACTAACATGGATATATCCTCCGCACCTGTTGCAGAATTTATGACATGATTTAATCTAAAGAAACCCTAACCTATACCGAAATTTAAAAAAAAAGAAGAATTCAGAAGAAGTCCATCTTGTTGCCATGGAAACATAAAAAATAAAAATTGCTAAAATTGCTAAATAGCAAAAGGCACCAGTTCAGCATGTACCTGACAAACCTGCAAAATTTCATGAAAAAATTATTGAACGGTTTCTGAGTTAGGCTCCAGAAACGAAACGTGACGGATGGACGGACGGAGCCCATTTCTATATTCCCCGCCAACTTTGTTGGACGGGGGATAACAAGCATATTTGAAACGTGACAGGGGGAGTTATAGGAAAGTGTACCATGTGCATGCAGATGAGACAGAATGTCAACCTAGAGAAACACAATAGTGGATATTAAACATGGCGAGGTCAGAGACTGCAATACTCAATACTTAAAGCCAATTCTTTATTGTTGGTTCACAGATCTAATTTACAATTTTTACACAAGTCTTTTCTTCTTCTTGCAAATATAACAATAATATAATTTCAGTAATGCTGTATCATTTGTGTCGTCAGCGAGCAGGGAGCAAACTGACATAAGGTTTGAAAGTAATCATTACAAGAACAAGGGAGACAACTCACCATCTTCCTCCGGCTCCTCTTCTTCCTCCTCCTCTTCCCCCTCCGTCTCCTCGGGCTCCGAGTTGCACAGCATGTTGATCAGCTCATTGGCCGCCTCCTCCACGGTCTGACTCTTGGTCTGCAGGATGTGCGCTCCCTTTGCACACAGGATCTGCCACAACACAACACTTGGTAACACACTAGCATGGTAGGTGATTGTAACAATAATAACAGGCCGGAAGTCTTTGATATGCATTTGGAAGTTGGGAGAACATGAATGCATGACACTTTTTTATGGATAGCAACTTCTTTTATTCTGTGTATGATGTATGTTTCAGAGCTACTTCTTGCTCCTTCACCTGACCATAAAAAAGTGTCATGTATTAAAAAACTGGCCTCTTAAAAAGCGCCGTACTCCAGTTTATGAGTGAGTTGGGTTTAACGTCGCTTTGAACAGTATTCCAGTTATATCACAGCGTGTCAGCTTAATGTGGGAGAAAAGCCCAAAGTGATGCAGGTCTCAGAAGTTTACCAGTTTGGTGAAACCCACAAGTATGGGTATGGTGCTGACAAACCTAGAAACATAATCGGGGCGAGCCAGGATTTGAACCCTTGACTATAGGTTTCTGGCAAACCCAAGGGCTTCATGACATTATTAATATGCATTCTTATCTCCCTGGGTAGTATACAATGCAGACTAACATTTAGTACAAATAAAGGTATATTATTTAAAAATAAATATCTACAAAATAAAAAATAAAATACAAAGGATATATTATTTAAAAATAAATATCTACAAAATAAAAAATAAAATACAAAGGAGCCCAGAACTAGACTTGTCAAATCATTCTAGATTTGAGTTGGATTCCTTTTAATATATTCACTAGGGTCTGGGAGACACTACATATTGTGGCAACTACAGTGAACAGTTTTTTCAGTTATATTTAGGCAAGTCTTACACGCCTGCCACCTTCAGGACACCCACAAGGACTGACTAAGGCTCATTATCAAGGAGAATCTCAGACTGAAACCCACGACCAATGGATACTGAATAAAGGAGCAACTCACAGCCATTTGGCCACTGGTGGCCTGGCAACATGTTAAGTACTATCATAGTTCATGGTATATCTAGCAGATACATTTCCTCATATATCAGCTCAGAATGACAGTCTGGTTCTATAGGTTCTCAGTACCTGTGTATTCTCCAGGAAGTGGTCGACGGTCCAGGGTTCATCGTCCGGAAGTTGACACAGTGTTGTCATGGCCATGTCGCGCAGGATAGCGTCAATACGGAACTCGGTCAGGTCATGAGCTCGGTCCATGAGCAGCTCCAGTTCTGCCAGAGCCTTGTACACCTCACCCACATACTCATGTATGTTGATGGAGGTCCACGTCAGAGTTGTCACCCCTGGTTCAATGGCATCGTCCACTTTGGCAATATGGAGGCCCATCAGCATCTCGAAGGCAGCAGGAATCTTCCCCAGGACTCTCTTGTTTTCTTCCAACATCATCTACAGACATGAAGCGCATGTTGTGAAACTGTCCACAGTGACACACAACATCGTCATAAAATCTACAGTGTTACTCATAGTGAAGAGTTTGGATGAAATGAGGTTTAACAACATGACCAAGATTATTGCACTTACATAGCGACGTGCATGCACATGTTGGTGTGTGCGTCTGTGTGTGTGTAAGTGTGAGTGTGTCTGTCTGTCCATCTGTCTTTCTATGTGTGTGTGTGTCTGTCTGTATGTCCATCTGTGTCTGTGTGTCTTTCTGTGTGTGTGTCTGTGCGTGTGTCTGTGTGTTTGTGTGTGTGTCTGTCTGTGTCTGTGCATGCGTGTGTCTGTGTGTTTGTGGGTGTCTTTCTGTGTGTGTGTCTGTGCGTGCGTGTGTCTGTGTGTTTGTGTGTGTCTGTGTGTGTGTCTGTGTGTGCCTGTGTGTCTGTGAGTGTGAGTGTGGACATGCTAATCCAGGCTATGCAATAAATATTCTAATAAACTGTCAGTCAAAAAGTTACTTCCCTTGCAGGTCTATTTTGGAGGTGATGACAGGACTTGGCAGGAAGAAAATAGACAAGAAATAAAATCTTAAAGTGAAGTTTATGGCTTGGCTACTCCACACACACGCAAATCCATGCCTCACCTGAAGTGCATTAAAGTTGTCCTTGTACTCAATCTGTTTGGCTCTCATGGTCCGAGCGGCAGGCGGAATCTCCAGGCCAAGTCGACTCATGCACTCCGTCTCTCGGATCATGGTCAGTATTTGGGAGTCAAAGTTGACATAAAGCTCTTTTGTCTCTGGATGGCGGACCAGCAGAGACGCATGGAGGCCAGACTTGGCAGCCTCAACCTAGAGCAGGACAGGGGACTTACTGAAGGCCTCAGATAATGTGGCTTAATGTTGAAACATATCTCAAATGACAATCTCTGTCTGTTGTAGTCGTCAGGTGAGAACTTCTAATTACATGTATATTCCTGACTAATCTCAGGTTACAAAAGCTTTGTAACATTAATGAAAAAAAAAAATCAGCCAGTTTTATTCATATTCAATCTCACATTCTTATAGTCTGAGACCTAATTATATCGCTGCCAAATTTCCAAATCTCCATCATGACAGAAGATAGTCAATATGTTAATGTTGTCCATATCTGTTCATTTTTACAAAACAAAATCATTCGAGGAAGAATGTAAGATCGAGCTTCCGACTGCCATATGTTATATTTGTCATCTTTCTTGCATCATGGGCCTATGGCTACAATACTTGTCTATCGTATTTTCTTGAGTATAGTGCGCACTTATTTTACAAAAAACACAGCTGTGTAGAAGGGGGTGCACATTATACACGCAATAATGAGTTTTGATGTTTTTTCCCAAAACAGTAAGACATTACTGTGAGCACGTAACACCGGAAATACCATGTCAACAAATCCATACTGAAGTATGCAAATTAATCATGTAATTACACTGTCTGGCTATAAAAAGTGCTCTTTGTATATGTGGACTTATGTTTGTAACTTATATCATTAATTTTAAAAATAGTTTCAGATACAATTTTTGCTGATCCTTGCATTAAAATCCTGTAAAAGTTATATCATTGGGTCTGTCTTGACCGAATCATCGGTAGATTCCAAGAAAATGTGTGTACAGCTGATTGCTGTTTCCGGCTTAGTTTACGAACAAATACACAAGGTAATCTTAATCCCTGGATGTAAAACAGTGCCTAGCAGAACAAAAAATAAACGGTAGATCAACATGTCGGGTGATTTTTTATCTCAAATTCAAAATTTGTACTGACCAAATTCTCATCACTCGTTCGTTTACCGGAATTCACTGAAGGGGTACGGAAATTATTTTCTGCGCTTAATATTCAATTTTTTTTTCCTCCAAAATACTGAATCCATTTGAGGTGGGTGCGCATTATACTTGGGTGTGCACTATACTCAAGAAAATACGGTAAATAACTACTGAATATATCAATGGCTGTTTCAGTGTTGACACCCTGACCATTTCACACAGGGCAGGTGCTAGTACTAGAGTTGTCTCCTACCTGTCTGATCCATCCTCGGTGGTACAGGACCTCAAACTCCAGCAGCACCTTGGCAAGCTTGTTGAAGCTTTTGATGATCTTCTTGGCCTCGGGGCCCTGCAAGATGGTGGCATGTTCCTGGAACACCTCCATCGGCTCTTGGATACGACGGTACAACTGGCGCGCCCACGAGATCTTGCCTGCAGAGGGATTGAGCAAGTGAGTGAGGAGTCATATTTGTATACTGCTCACAGCAATAGTCCAAGAACAAAGGACACCAATATTAGGCTTAACACGCTGTACCCATGTTGGGAATCAAACTCAGGTCATCAGTAGAGTGAACACTCTTAACACTAGGCTAACCCACCAACCCCTTAAGTAAGTCAGGCAAACAGAACCTTCATCACCAGTAAGATGACCAACACTATTGTACACTATGACTGGACCAGATTCATCATGCAGTGTGTACAAGGTTCCTAGAATCCTTGATGTTTCCTGCAGTAATAGTTTACTCTAGAGGCCACCAAAATCTTCAGTTTTGACATTAGGCTAATGACAAGGAAACCCTGACCCCTCTCAAGTTTTAACACTGCCACAGTGTGTTTCAGAAAGCAAAAGTTATCAATTCAATAATTTTGTTTGAATAAAAACAACCACCACCAGCAAATGAAAACAATCTTAGCGCTAAGACTGTCACAAGTCTATGTAAACAATTGGAATTCTGACAATCATGGAGCTATGATTGCTTTGTGAAACAGGGCCAAGGACAGAGTGAGTGAGTGAGTGAGTAAGTATGGTTTTACGCCACTTTTAGTAATGTTCCAGCAATATCACAGCAGGGGACACCAGAAATCCGCTTCACACATTGTACCGATATGGGGAATCGAATTCGGGTTTTTGGCATGACGAGCGAATGCTTTAACCACCACGCCACCCCACAGGACAGAGAAACAGTGTTAGACTCCTACTGACAAGCAACTGGGGGCAAGTTTCTGTCTACAATTGATTTGTAGAACCAGGGCCTGGCCCTGTCATATGAAGCAATCATAGCGCTATTACTGTCTTAAAATATGTGGGAATTCCGACAATTATAGCGCTACTATTGCTTTGTGACACAGGGCCCAGGATAGAGAAACAGTGTTAGGCTCCAACTGACCTGCAACAGGGGGCAGGTCTCTGGCTACTGGCGGATCACTCTTGTTCTTCTGGTACAGACGGGCCACCATCTCGATGTCCCGGCCGTAGTGGTTGAGGATGCGCTGGTACTTCTCTTGGATGCCCAGGTTGGGGATGTCCAGGCGCTCAAACTTCCTCAGCAGCAGCAGTGCCCTCGCGGTGTTTGAGATGCGATCAAACTTGCCGTCCATGAAGCTCACGATTCCAGACTGGAACATACAAGCAGACCTTCTGACTGATTGGAAATATTGAAACATAGGGTCATGAAGCTCAGATGGCCCAGAGATAAAGTGAGTGAGTGAGTATGGTTTTACGCCGCTTTTAGCAATATTCCAGCAATATCACAGCGGGGGACACCAGAAATGGGCTTCACACATTGTACCCATGTCGGGAATCGAACCCGGGTCTTCGGCGTGACGAGCTAATGCTTTAACCACTAGGCTACCCGACTGCCCCCTAGAGATAAAGGGCCACTTGTTGTTTTCAGGGTCAGTGATCAGGGGCAGGAAATTGTCCCCATCCAGACAAGACCTACCCCCCTTACTTACAACAGGAGGTACAGGCCATCTTGGGCAGCCATCTTGTTTTGGGATATAAAACTTGTCATGATTTCAACATGCAGGTAGAATGTGAAATAATCCAAACGTGATATTCATTAACTTAAAGTGAAGACAAGGTAATGTGGGGTATATAGATATATATATAGATATCTGGAAACAAGAAGGAGGCTGAATCTGACCTGGTGTTGATAATAATCATATGTTACAGCCTAATCCCTATTTCATTGTATTCAATGCTTTTCATAAACAGTGCGCTGGGGTCTAGTCTGGCCCAGAAACCACAGGGGACAAGAAAACATAAGCCTCATTGTGTGAATGGATTAAAAAAGAACATAATTATTGACAGTTATTTAGCACACAAATAGCATCATCTGTAAACTTAAATCCATTTCTTACCACACCCTCAACACAAACTTTTTAAAAAGAACGATTCCAGAGAACTCAGTTCCTCAAAGACAATGGTAAGTTACAAATCTGGAATACTGACATGCAGTTCTGAGATCTGGCGCTTGAAATCATCAAAGTCCTGGTCCACCTCCATCTTCCTCTGGTCCAGATAGTCGTACGACTTCTTCTTCATGGCTGTCACGATGACGCTGAACTTGTTGGCCATGATCTCCAGACCTGCAACAGATCGATGTGCTTCACAACAATTCTACACGCACATCATGAACATAAAGCCAGGTGTGCCTGGGATACTCTTGACACACAGAGGTACATAAGAATAGACAAACCATTGTTGATATTATGAGGATACAACTACATTGAAACGCAATCAACCAAATCACAGAATCTAACCAACCCATCCTACTTAGTCTCCTACGACAAGCAAACAGGCGAGTGATTCTTCTGGTGGTTATTCTAGCCTTTGTCATGGTGTAGGACATGAAACAGTGTGTGAGTGAGTGAGTTAGGTTTAACGCCGCTTTTAACATTATTTCAGTTATATCACGGCGTGTCAGCTTAATGTGGGAGGAAAGCCCGAAGTGATGCAGGTATAGAAGTTTACCACTTCGGTGAAACCCACGAGCACTGGTATGGTGCTGACAAACCTAGAAGCCTAATTGGGGCGAACCGGGATTCGAACCCACAATCATAGGTTTCTGACGTGCCGAAGGGACGCAACTCTGCACAGCGAATTGCTGCGCCTTAGACGACTGGGCCACCTGTGACCCCAGGACATGAACCAAGCTGACATGCTGTGATATGACTGTCATACTGTACAACTCACTCAATGGACTCTTGCCTCGGAGTGATTCCAGCTTAGAATTGGTCCCCAACACCCTACTGGTATGCTGGTCATAAGACGTGACCAAATGAATTGTGTAGTCAGGCTTGATGCCTTGGCTGATAGCATGTCAACATACCCTGACGGCATACGTTGTTGCTCATATTATCAATCACTGGATTGTCTGGCCTACACTTGATTATTTACAGACCCCCATCATAAGGCTGCAAACCACACGTTCGCATTTATACACACACACACACACACACACACACACACACACACACACACACACACACACACACACACACACACACACACACACACACACACACACACACACACTCACTCACTCACTCACACTCACTCACTCACTCACACTCACACACACACACACACACACACACACACACACACACACACACACACTCACTCACTCACTCACTCACTCACTCACTCACTCACACCTACACAACACACACACACACAGTCTTGACACCAACAAGTAACAAATCCTCCCTACCTTCAATCTTGGACTCTGCTAGATGAGAGTAGGTGTCCATTGTCTCGAACATCTCAATGATCTTCTTGAGTCGCCGCGTGAAGGTGTCGAACTTGCCGAAGATGTACATCTCGGAGAAGTCAAACGGACGCTCCTGGGGCATCTTCTCCAGCTTGTCCTTGGTCTTGTGGAAGTGGCGCTGGTAGTCTACGTTCAGCTTGATGCAGTCGTGGAGCTTGATGACCACCTGGTCCTGAGGCTGAGACCAGATCGTGTCTCGGTGAAGGTCGGTGATGTAGGCCTTACACGCTGTGATCATCTGGTTGGTTATCTGACGAGGAGGAGGATTAATAAATAATAATGATATGTACTTTTGTATATTCCATACAACGTATGTCCATAACATTGACATATTACCCCACTTCGAATTCTTTTTGCATTTTAAGCTCCATGGGGAGAATACAACCCAAGCTGCCTTAAATGAGTGAGTGAGTTGGGTTTAACGCCGCTTTTAACAGTATTCCAGTTATATCACAGCGTGTCAGCTTAATGTGGGAGGAAAGCCCGAAGTGATGCAGGTCTCAGATGCTTACCACTTCGGTGAAACCCACGAGCACGGGTATGGTGCTGACAAACCTAGAAACATAATTGGGGCGAACCAGGATTCGAACCCACAATTATAGGTTTCTGGCGTGCCCAAGGGATGCAACTCTGCACAGCGAATCGTGGCGCCTTAGACGATTGGGCCACCCTTGACCCCAGCTGCCTTAAAACCAGCACATCAATAGAGTACAACCTTGTTACATCAAAGCCCCCTAGCATTAAATATATATCGAGTGATCTATAGTCAAGGCAAGCTGCGCACGGATTCTAACGAGTGAGTCGAGCTTGATGCCCCTTTCAGTTGGAATATATTATTTATAACCCATCCTCCTAATTATGTCTGTCCTTGTACTTGTTCATGTCAAAACACAGTGTATGAACACCTGACAAAGTACGCACCTTGACGAAGAGCGACGTCATCCTCTCCGAGGTGTTGTAGTAACGTGAGATGCTGTGGATCATACGGATCGCGTTGATGAGTCCCGGGATACCTTCCAGCATGCCCACCTGAAGTACACATCACATCATGTAGGTATACTTCCCTTAAGTCTTCGATCATCTCTTAATTAGAGATATGCGGGGTAGTGGGGGGTATTTGGGGGTACTGAGGGGTACTGAGGGTTCCTTGGGGTTCCTTGGGGGTACTGGGGGGTACTGGGGGTTACTGGGGGTTACTGAGGGGTACTGGGGGTACTGAGGGGTACTGGGGGGTACTGAGGGGTACTGGGGGGTACTGGGGGTTACTGAGGGGTACTGGGGGTACTGAGGGGTACTGGGGGTACTGTGGGGTACTGGGGGTTACTGAGGGGTACTGGGGGTACTGGGGGGTACTGGGGGTACTGGGGGTTACTGAGGGGTACTGGGGGTACTGGGGGTACTGGGGGTACTGAGGGGTACTGGGGGGTACTGAGGGTTACTGGGGGGTACTGAGGGTTACTGGGGGGTACTGAGGATTACTGGGGGGTACTGAGGGGTACTGAGGGTTACTGAGGGGTATTGAGGGTTACTGGGGGGTACTGAGGGTTACTGGGGGGTACTGAGGGGTACTGAGGGTTACTGAGGGTTACTGGGGGGTACCGAGGGGTACCGAGGGTTACTGAGGGTTACTGGGGGTTACTGGGGGGTACTGAGGGTACTTAGGCTTCAGAAGACCCCAGTGAAATTTGTGTTACTTTTGTCGATGTATGATTTTATTTTTATCATGTTTATGATCCATCAAAGATTGAGCAGTTGGGCAAATAAAAATACAATTGATCTATTCATATTATATTTTTTTTTATTGTGGCGCTTGGCTCCGGTTGGTCGAACCCCTGTACCCCAAATAAATACAGTGCCTCTGTGTGTCCCAAAGCAATGATTGCTTTCCTGAACAGGACCATCTATTCTTGAGATTTTAAAGTCAAAAAGTGATTTGGCAGAGTGAAACAGTTTTGATTGTCTAGGCCTGGGACTGTTCAATGGCAGTTTAGGCTGCAAGTAGTATCAATCAATGTGTGTAGGAGTGTGAGTGAGTGAGTTTGGTTTAAAAGCTGCTTTGAGAAGTATTTCAGTCCTGTCATGGTGTGTCAGCTTGATGTGGAGTGAGTGAGTGAGTGAGTGAGTGAGTGAGTGAGTGAGTGAGTGAGTGAGTATGGTTTTATGCCGCTTTTAGCAATATTCCAGCAATATCATGGCGGGGGACACCAGAAATGGGCTTCACACATTGTACCCATGTCGGGAATCGAACGTCACGTCTTCGGCGTGACGAGCGAATGCTTTAACCACTAGGCTACCCGACCACCCCTGCTTGACGTGGAAGGAAAGCCCGAATTGAAGTGATGCAGGTCTCAGATGTTTACCATTTTGGTGAAATCAATGAGCACAGGTTTGGTGGTAACAAGACTACAAACATAATTGGGGGGAGACCAGGATTTGAATCAATGCCAAAGCAATGCAACTCAGCAATATGCAGAGTCTTAGACAACTGTGTGTATGTGGGTAGGAAGAAGGTCTCACAGGGTCACTGTTGTACAGAGGGTCACAGAACTTCTCCAGCGTGTAGAGGAACTTCACGTTATCCTTCGCCTCATTGGCTGTGTCGGTGATACGCCGGTCGAGTTCCTGCCAGACCTGTATGCATAGTGAAACAAAATAAAACATTTGCAAATGGAATGACAACAATTGTGAGGTACATATTTCTGTTCAGTAGTGTACTATAAAAGTCTCATGTCTTCAAGTTCTGCCAACTTGTACATGCCTATCAAAGAGAATCTTATTCTATCTCTAAGGGAGAAAGCTTTTATTTGTAGGAAAATAATCCTCCTCTCACAACAACATATTCCAGTTCTTCAGAAGTTATCTGGAAATTTACCTTGATTAGTTTGGACTTGGCTGCATGAAGAACGCCCAGAACGGCCTTGACCTCTGAACCCTTGATCTGATCCAGAAGGTAGTTGAACTTTGACATACGTTTCTTCCAGTGGTCGAGTTCAGCCCGGGGCCCGATGTCGTCTGCTTCTCGTCTCATCTGCTCACTCTCAGCAAGAACCTGCAGCAGCAGACGGTCACATTATCAGCAGACGGTCATACTATCAGCAGACGGTCACATTTTCAGTAGGGCAAGGTTTAGGACTTAACGTTTAGTCTCATTTAAAAAGGTTACTTATGTCAAGCAAGACTTTACCTATTCAATGCAGAACCCAATCAGTTTTTGAGTGAGTAAATGGTGTTTTATGCTGCAGTATTCAGTCTGTCACCCATATCTGGCCTGTAAATATTTGAGTCTGGACCAGACACACCAGTGGTTGGGGGGTGGGGGGGTAGTACAGGGGCAATAGGACCTATTCTGACCCAGACATCACCAAAGGGTTCAGCATAATCTATGAGTGAGCAAAACCTAGCAACTTACTGTGACAAGAGCCTTATAGGATTATAGGTATTTGGTTTGTCAGTCAACCCTTCAAATCCTACCAACCCAACACAACAAATGCCATAAATCAAAAGAGCAGGTTTTGCCAGTTTAAAAGAAAAGACACCAATAATGTCATTTCTTTACACATAAGAAACATTTGGACAACAAAACTATCATTTTATAGCATACTGTATTTCAAAGGCACCATCACCTGTTCAATCTGTTTGACCCACACATGCATGCACGATTCAATGGCCTCCAGGGACTCCGAGCTGTTGGCCACGGCCTGGTAGTCACCAGCCGTCTGGATCTTGCTCAGCTCATAACCTTCACATGGTCTCAAGGTCACCTTCTCCTGAAGACTCTCTTGGGCACCTGCAGGTACAACATTATTTAGTCTTATCAACAACATCTTGAGAGAATATGTCACACACAATTAGCAACTTACCACATCATTATCATATACATGTTCTTGAATATTTGACCAATCCTTTACAAATAAAGTCCTCTGTTTCAGCTCTAGTCTGTTGCCCAAATGTTAATATTTCTTTCAGTCTAGCAAGCTTATTTTAGAGGGGGCACGGGTGGCCCAATCGTCTAAGGCGCTGCAATTCGCTGTGCAGAGTTGTGTCCCTTGGGCATGCCAGAAACCTATGATTGTGGGTTCGAATCCTGGTTCGCCCTGATTAAGTTTCTAGGTTTGTCAGCACCATAACCATGCTCGTGGGTTTCACCGAAGTGGTAAACATCTGAGACCTGCATCACTTTGGGCTCTCCTCCCACATTAAGCTGACACACCGCGATATAACTGGAACACTGTTAAAAGTGGTGTTAAACCAAACTGACTGACTCACTCCATATCCAAAGATTAAAAGCTACTGTTAACCATCTTGGAGACACTGTTCAGGTTAACTGAAACTCAGGTTAATTTTAACAAAGGCTACACAGATTCATTTTGGAATAAACAAAACTAAATGTTCTGGCCCTCATTTCACAAAGAGATCTAAGTGCTACGACAGTCGTAAGTTATGTTAAAACATGGGAGTTATGGTCGTCTTAGTGCTAGGATCTCTTTGTGGAACTGGGCCCTGATCCATAAGGTTGCCCCATGGCCATGTTCCTCAAAGTATTCTGGGTGCTAAGGCGATCGTAGTTCCAATACTTCAACATAGACTTATGACAGTCGTAGTGCTAAGATCGTATTGTGGAAAGAGGCCCTAGTTTGGCTCTGTTCCTTCCTCACCGACAAGCACCGACACAAAGGCATCCAGGGAGTTGAGGAAGTCCGCTCGGACATTGGCGTCATCTTTCTCCAGCTTTCCCCACCCTTTCTCCAGGTTCTTGAGGGCCGGGATGAAGATGCTGGACAGTAAATTCTCCACCGCGTGTAGAAGACCACGCCCATTGTGAGCATGACCATTGGTGTCGAGCATCGTGAAGTTCACATCCTGTGTAATTGAATCATATAATTGGAAAACATGATCAATGATTTTCTGGGGCACACTGGTCGGAAACTCCCATCATCCCCCAGATGTCCTGTGACATAATGTTGATGGGTAGACGGAGTACATGAAATTCATCGAATCTCCACAGGGACAATATTGATGGAAAAAAATTATAAATTTACATAAAATGTAACCATCCCTGTTCAAAAGTTACAACTGCCAATCTGCCCCAAAACATACAACACTGTCCATGACTTATGCTTTTGTTTATATAATCATCTAAATTGGGATATAAAAACAACAACAAAGACAATAGATCAATGACAAAATATTTAGTTCAAATGCATTATGAATAGATATATGTAAGAAAAATTAAAGTAAATTTATTCAACGAGTTATTTTCTTAAATATCTTTGGGAGAAGTTTGGGAGAAGGTGTCCTAAGTTGGAGAACTTGTACCAAAACCTATTCCCTTTTTGTGAACAAAATATGTTTAAAACAAACCAATAAAATAACATCATGACCAATGCCCCAGTAATGCAATAAAGAAAATATAGAGACGTACTGGTCGAAAAGGACCATTGCTTCTTGTGTATAGTGTGCACTTGAGCATAATGCAATTGCATATATATATAGTTTCATGAAAAATTGCTGTCCATATATAGTATGTAGTAAAAAGTACATCATATTGCTATAGTTGAATGAACAGGAGATAACCACTATATGCATCCCGACCCACCCTGATCCACCCCAACCCACCCTGATACACCCCAACCCACCCGACCCACCCTGATCCACCTTGACCCAACCTGATCAACCCCACCCTGATCCACCCCGACCCACCCTGATCCACCCCCACCCACCCTGATACACCCCGACCCACCCTGATACATCCCGACCCACCCTGATCCACCCGACCCACCCTGATCCACCCCACCCCACCCCACCCCACCCTGATCCACCCCAACCCAACCCAACCACCTCAGCATAGCTGTAACTGGTGGAAAAAGTGCACTTCACACACAAGAAAATATTGTATCTCAGTTTCAACTGTCATCATTTTTAGAAACTTTTGGCAAAGTTCCCCGAGAACTGCAGACCTTTGAGATGGTTTGCTCAGTGATGGCGTTGTCTGTGGGCGCTTTAGTGAAGACAAGGCACGTCCCTCGTAGTGGCACCTCCTTCCCATCGGCTAGAAACACCTTCGGTTTGGTCGACTTCACCGTCTTCGTAGTTGGTGGGCCAATACGAACATGATCAACTGGAAATTCAACAAATTGAATTAACTCTGTTCATAAAATCATATTTTAACTTAAGGTAAAAAAAAATCAAGGTATTCTTGATTAATGTAATATAAATAAGCTACTCCATAAACGGTGACAATGTGAATGTATTAATGATTGTGTTACAATATCTATGTCATGATAATGAAGAGAATGTGCTCCACTGGGTTAGACGACATCATTGTCTGGATGTTGCTGTGGATAAGCTAGACGTCATGGAAAGATATCATGAATGTTATAACATATTATAGCTCCGGGACTGAGTATGTCTTCAAAGTCAAATCTAATCATTTAAGTCAACAATATTCCTGACATCTGTCTGTTAAAACAATAAAACCTAAAAGTATGTTCAATTTCTAGGCCAGACCAATTTTATTTCTTGTTTTAGGAACAAATATATGTTCAGATCTAGCAAACACTAAAATAATAAATTAACTTTTGATACGAAAAATGCTTTTTAACCAAAATTATTTTTTTTTTTTTGTTGAAATTTTTATTGCAAGATACATAGCTAACATCCACAAAGATCAAAAGAAAGTAGTTTTACAAAAACAAGAAATAAGACATGGAATACAACTGGTCTGGTGCTACTAAATAAGGCAAATACATCATGATGTGATAAAACTGTAATTTCATATAGTGTCTATTGAAATTTCTTTTTCATATTTTTCAAATATAAACTCTTATCAAGAAATAAAGAGCAAAATAGCTGTAATAATTATGAGTGATGACAAAAAGAATGTATCTGGTGCATACTGTCAGCTATGAAGCAGAAACTATACTGGAATAATCTTGAAATCCTCCGGGAACCAGGTGTGCGTCCATGATTAGAATCAGTTGTCCACCAGCACAATATTACCAGTATTACTGAAGCCATAGCAAAGCCAAGTAATGTTATAGCCGTGGCTGTAGATACAAAGAGTAGTACCATGATACATGTGCCGTTGTACAATAATGACATCATTTGTGTCAAGGTTGTAATGTTAGACTGACCACACACACCATTCTGTTATAAAAATAGGCAACTGTCACTCTGAACACTGTACATGCTTTACATAAACATCGAAAAGGTGATGTCTTTATAGATTTATCTCAATGAACAAATGGATGACAAGAAATATCGGTACATATCAGGTCTGCATTAGTTGTATTCCCCATACAGATACCATATTTGACATATTAAGCACCTGCTCATGTTAGCCCCCCCAAACATTTTGAAAACCAAACATCAGGCGTTTTTAATCAAGATTACACGTTTCTCGCCTGTAATTTAATCAAGCTTAATCAAGTTAAAACAACATCTTTGATCAATGTGAACAGGCACCCCCACATGGAAACTTATCATGATTATAGAAGCATAATACGTCGTATATATGGTATGTTCGACTGACCCATTGATACATATTTATTAATATAATTTCATGAATAACAAAAACACAGATTTCAAGATGCCAGTTGCCTACAAACACCAATAACAACATGTGACAGAGTTAACCTCGCCAACCATCACCAGTAGAGTGTATCAATGACAGTTACGTCAAATCATGCTGTTTAAGTATTACTGATATTTTTCAGTGATAAATAGGATCTTTGTGTATATTGACTTTGTCTGTACATATGTACATTCTAATTTCATCAAAATCTTGCCACTAAAAACATATACACTAAAAAAAAAGAGAAAGCACTTATACTGGTAGATTTTAAATAAAAAATAAAAAAATGCAAATATTCAAAAATATGAAATTTTTACACTTTTAACAAAATAGAACAAAGGACTGTCAAAAAAAAAAAATCAACATTTTCATTGTACAGATCCATCTGTAAGATCTAAGTTTTTTCTCTTCTTCACAATAAGAAATGTGCATAGGTTTAGTATTGGTGTTCAAAAGTAATGAGGTTTGGTTAGAGGGTAGGTTACAGCAACCCCACCACAGACATGTTCCGTAAATAATATTCGCACTTATATCATAGCCAAAACTATATACCCGGTACATGACTTTGACCTATTTTCCATCCTAAATATTGGTACAGAAGCCATGAAAATAGAGAACTTGTCAAACTGATAAATTCAGAATCAGGGGGTGATTTATCAATATTATTTATTGTTTACTTTAGGTTCTGATTCTCTAAACCTCTATGATATGATACTCTTAATGTATACAGCTTTTTAAAATATTATAAGGGGCAAGAGATTTTACCTTTTTTAACTCTGATAAAAAAATCAAATGTTTAATATTCAAATATATATGCCCTGTTATAAGTAACGTCAATTACACAAATGTCTCGCTGACATGAAAATACAAAAGCCAATCCTGGAATACCAGTCACTGAGTGCCAAAATATTATAACAATTATCCTTAGAAAACATGTCACTATGGGCCACAGCTTCCTGAAGCATGTAACCCAATATTCTAAACTACACAACGTATAATGAATAAGTCATGAAACGCGACATTTCACTGACACAAGCGTAAAGAAAGCAGAGTTCCTATTCATGCTCTGAGGTTTTATTTCATTGTCGTGCCTATCCTGCTGATAATTGTTCAATCACCATGAGTCCAATATTGACGACAACTTAAACAATTCCTTGGACATTCTTATACACTGCCTCAGTCAGGTCACATAGAACCTAGAACTCAAGCTGCAATAAAAGTAACAAACTGGCCTCCATTCACAAGAGAGTGCTTGAAGCTTCGTAGCCTAGCAACGGGTAAACAGTGTGCAAATGACATGAAAGTGTTGACAGGAATACATTGGTGTACGCCTATGACACTAGGGCGACACAGAAGAATGGACAACATCTAGAACAAGAGTATCCTTCTACCTGTTTCAAATAGCAACGCATACAACACTGATATGCAGGAGTTTAAGTACACTCTACGTAAGCAAAAGGATTTGCTTGCTCACAGCTTTGAGTTGTATATCGACAATCATGTACATGAATATTAATTTACTTGATATACATCTTGGGTGGGTGAAAACATAATTTTCACAGGGTCAGTAATTCATATTGTACTTCAGGATCTGATATTAATTAATATTTGATATGATTCCAGAGGGGGTGGGCGGATAACATGTAAAGTTATATTGCGATATATATCACTATATCATAAGTAGTATTGAGATTATTAAATAATAGCAGAGATCATCAAATTATCCTTTCAAAATACATCCATGTTGATTATGCCAGTACCATCTCATGTCATGATCTGACTTCCTGCCATGGGTAAATGTGGGAAAATTACTGGAAAAACAATTTGGGGAGGTTCTGAAAAAATGGACATGGTTTGGGGGATAATAATTCAAAGAAGCTTTTTTCTGTTCATCAAAAAAGGACAATCTTTTCACAGGTCATGAAAACATACATAATATTTGGGGGGCCTAAGATATGGACTGGTTTTAAGGAAGGTTTTGAATAAATGGACAACTTTCTGAGGTCCAGGAACATGGTTGGGCCTTTGGGGAGTACATGAAGACAAGTATATGAGGAGGGTAATAAATATAATTCAGCGGCTAAACACAAAACCATTCAGACAACCAGTAACGAAAACAAAATTACAGCTCTGTCATATGGCATAGATTACAAAACCCTCAACTCAAAAATCTTCAAAAGGGATTGTAGGGAAACCCAATTCTAACCAAGAAACAAATGCTCTACCGTGAGTAAACAAGCTACTACAGTGCTATGTCTAAGTACCTATCTCACCATGGCTGTCCTATTTACTCCACAATATATGGGGCTTGATCTAAGACTAAACATGATATACCTAAAATCTTCTATGCTTCAAGTCTCAAATACAGAAAAAAGATGAAAAAAAAAATATTATGAAAAGTCTATTTCAACTGTCGCTATTTTTCCAGGACTGTCAAACAGATGTTTGTTGCAACCAAAGAACTTTAACCAGATGTTGATATTGATGTTCACAATCAGGGTTGATACTTGTTGATTCGAGATTAACTTTAAAAAATGTTTCTTTCAATAAATTAAACAGAGCATAATATTTTCATAAAACCTTGGTACATGTAGTTAAAGAAACCAGAAAACAATCTGGTCCAGGCTAATCAGCGTATTGATATCCCACATCATTCTCCTGTTTCTTCTCGTATAATGATGCAAGATTTATCCGAGTATACGCATGCCATGATTTTTTATCTGGATGTTTCATTACCACCAAACTGAAATCAGATCTAGACAATCAGAAAAAAACCCATTTCAAATAACACAGTGATCTACTCTTTCAATAATATAAAACATTGATAAATTTACAATGAAATATAGATTGCTTTTCCATCCAAAGTGATTCTGGAAAAACAATATGTCTTTACTTCCGCCTACGCTCATTTAAAAAAGTTTCATCTGGTTAAAGATTGATCAGTGCAGCAACAATGTTTGTATAGATAGTTGTACGGCTAACACTACATATGTCTGGGTGTGGCAAGTGCTGAGAAGCAACATGAATTAGGTGCGCAATGCTGGTCACAAAACATACTCGTGCTTTTACGCCGGCTGTCCATGGTTTGAATGCGAAAATCTACCGATGCTGAAAAAAAATTCATCAGCAATGAAACTAAGAATGGCAACATGTTAGAAATACTAAACCATCACCAATGTTAGCGCTAAAGTCATTCTGGGCCAGTACCAAGGTTTGAACTTAAATCATTAATAAACTATAAACATGTATCAAACAGAAATTGGTCAAATTGTTGCTTGAGTCAAGAATAGTGTTCACTATCCTCCAATAACCAATGAGTGAGTGAGTGAGTTGGGTTTAACGCCGCTTTTAACATTATTCCAGTTATATCACGGTGTGTCAGCTTGATGTGTGAGTAAAGCCCGAAGTGATGCAGCTCTCAGACGTTTACCACTTCAGTGAAACACATGAGCCCGGGTTTAGTGCTGACAAACTTAGAAACATAATCGGGTGAACTGGGATTCGAACCCACAATCATAGGTTTCAGGCGTGAGCAAGGGACGCAACTCTGCACAGCGAATCGCGGCACCTTAGACGACTGGGTCACCTGTGCCCCCCTAATAACCAATGATTGTAGGTAAAGATATATGCTGGTCTTGTACTATGTTAAGAAATTATTGATGATTTGCTGGGATGGTTGATCTGTTGAGGTGAATAATCAACAAGATAGCCATCTTAATGAACACTGGTCAAAATAATTAACACCAGTTAAGATAACTAATTAATGCTGGCCATACGTGACCTTCCCCTTTGTCAGTCTTCCAAGGAGCATTAGGCAGCATTGTTTGGCTACTTTTGTTGGTGTTGGTTTGTTGTTTAACGCCGCACTCAGCAATATTACACCTATATGACGGCGATCAGTAAAATAATCAAGTCTGGACCAGACAATCCAGTGATTGATTTCATGAGCATTGATCCACGCAATTTGGATCGATGACATGAATCAACCAAGTCAGCAAACCTGACCACCTGATCCCGTTAGTCGCCTCTTATGACAAGCGCAGTCGCCTTTACGGTAAGCATGGGTTGCTGAAGACCTATTCTACCGCGGATATTCACAGGTCTATTAGGCTACTGATATACCATGTGGTAAAAATTATCATCAGCCCTATTGTTAAAAATAAAAAAAGGAAACGCAGTTACGATGATACCTTCAGTTTTGAGATATAATTATAACTACAACAGTATTATACTAAGACAGTACTGTCCAATAAAATTGATAACAAAATCATTTCAGGTTTGAGACAAAGAAGGCTTACAAATTGTGAAAGCTGAGTGAAAGTAGGCACCAACACAAACAAAAGGACCCTGTAGCTCACCTTTAGAAAAACATTTTAGAAATTGAATAATTACGGTTTTCGGGACATTTAGATATATTTCAGCCATATCAGACAGGGGAACACCAATGTGAGACTTCATGCTGCAAACTGCTTTAACCTCTAGAAAAATGTACCACCTGATCCAAAATGGAATATTATTCATATGCTTTCATGTTGTAGAAATTTCACATACATTTTACTTGAGATTCAAAGAACATAACAATGAACCCAATGGTTGAAATTTTATTTTTTAAAAAAAAAATTCTTTTAATCAAAGCAAAGGTAGCCAACTATGGCAAGTTGATTTCATGTCTCCTTGATTGCATGACATTAAAGCTGGTGAACTGTACGGTGAGTGCCAGTGGATTAATCAGTACCACAGGCAATATCAATAATTAACACTCATCTTCAAAACACCTCCATCTTTTGTGAAATGCAAACAATTAACAAGAGTGTAAACAATATACGTCCTGTGCCTCAGTGAGTGATATAAACCGTATATCCCAACTGGTGAATACATGACAAGACTTTATTTGGTGATAACAACATCGGAATGCAGAGGAAAGGTGTCTTTACAATGTACTGATATTTGGTGAAATGTGTCTTTAAGCATTCCGAGCAATTCTGGTTACCTTCCTAACTCAATGCCATAAGCTAAACACTCTGAAAGTAATTAAAAGAAATCAATAAAAAAGAACTGTTACATAGCATTCCTTTATGTTACATATTGCATGCTGGGTACTGAAAATGTCATACAAAATGTCTAATCATTCTCAAATGCTATTCAGGCAAGATTAAAACTAAACTTGAAAACATATGACTATATTAATTTCCTCCGCTTTCATACAAAAGAGTAAGTACCTATGAATTAATGAGGAAATATATGAAATGTGCAAGAAAGATACTCTACATACACATCTAAAACAGGATTCTAACATTAGTAATATAACACACAATGTTTCTACGATTAATTAGAATGATTGGAGACAGCTGAAAGTTGATGTGGTTGATGCAAAATAATGGTTCTCTGGGTTACTGAATATTCCCTGGTTGATAAATATTTTCCAAGATTAATGATTAGGTTTCTCAAGGTCATTCAACTTTTCAATAATTCATACAGTTTCTCATGGTTTACTACTGAGTTTTTATCACCTAGGATTGTTTCCATGTTCAGAGTGAGTCTCATTACACTTCGGTCAGAAATTCTCAAACCCAAGTACAATGACAATTTTTAGGATCTTGTGTGCTCTTTTAATGCTAGGTAGGTAGCACATCACCTCTACAACCTACTCAAAATGATGCCTAAAGACCTGGGTCCCGTTCCACAAAGCGATCTTAGCACTACGATGATCGTAAACCTATGTTAAAGTATGGGACTTACGATCACCTTAGTGCTAAGATCGCTTTGAGGAACAGGGCCCTGGGTAACGGTCCACAAAGCAATCTTAGCGCTAAGATGATCGTACCACTTATATTAACATAGGCTTACGAAGTCATAGCCCTAAGATCGCTTTGTGGAAGGGGACCCAGAGGACTCAGACATCTAAACAAGGCTGATCATAAAACTGCCGTTACTTGCTACGGGTATGTTGGTGAGATTAATCATCTGTATGTTACAGTACCCAAGAAGGAGATCTTTCTTCATCTTCTCTAAGTGAGCAAATGTGCCCAATGGTAAATGGGGCCTTCTATCAGTTCCTACTTTTCCCTCAGCAGTTATGGTAAATATAACATACCTGGATGAGAATCTTGATCCTAGGTTATATATAGGATTCCTTAGGCTATCAGAAAATTCCGTTGGTTAAAGAAATTTCTCTTGATTATGTTTCCTTGACTATATGAAACTTCCCTTGGTTTGTTTGTTTGTTTGTTGTTTAACGCCGCTGTTTGACGGCAGTCTGTAAATAATCGAGTCTGGACCAGACAATCCAGTGATTGATATCAAGAGCATCGATCCACGCAATTGGGACACGATGACATGCATCAACCAAGTCAGCGAACCTGACCACCCGATCCCGTTAGTCGCCTCTTACGACAAGCATTGACGCCCTTTACAGCAAGCATGGGTTGCTGAAGACCTATTCTACCCCGGATCTTCATGGGTTACCTCTCTAGGTAGTAAGAACATTCCATTAGTAATAAGGCTTCCCAAGGTTATATGAAACTTTCGTAGATCCTGTGACTTAACGCAAAGTTATAAGGATATTCCTTGCCTAGGTTAAAATGAAACTTGCCTAGGTTATAGTAAACTTGCCTAGGTTATATAAAATATGCCTAGGTTATGAAACTTGGCCAGGTTATGAAACTTGCCCAGGTTATATAAAACTTGCCTAGGTTATGAAACTTGCCCAGGTTATAAATAACTTGCCTAGGTAATATGAAATTTGCATAGGTTATAAAACTTGCCTAGGTTATATATAACTTGCCTAGGTTATAGGAAACTTGCATAGGTTATGAAACTTGCCCAGGTTATATATAACTTGCCTAGGTGATATGAAACTTGCATAGGTTATAAAACTTGCCTAGGTTATGAAACTTGCCTAGGTAATAAAACTTGCCCAGGTTAAATATAACTTGCCTAGGTTATGAAACTTGCCCAGATTATGAAACTTGCCTGGTTATAAAATCATAGGAATGACCTCACCTTGTTCCCGCTCTGGCTCTGGTTCCTGGTAGTAGAACATCAGGCGGTTGAGACCATTGGCAGCAAGGAAACGTTCCATATTCTCAATCTGTTGAGAATAAGGACAGCATGGCATGGACAGTGTTAACACAAATTACACTGTAGTAGAATGAGTTTCAAAAGGAAACTAACCAGCGAAATTAAATCATCTCCAGTATTCACACATCTTCAGAGTATTTAACTTTTTTTAAAGATCAATGAACACCCATTATACGAAAGTGTTCCGCAGTAAATCTGGTAAAAATCTGGTAATCTTTTCTTTTTCAATCAGAAATAAAATTACAGCCAGATGACAAAAAAAAAATGAATAGAAAATTAATTAACACAAAACCATAATTCAATTTGCTACTGAGATCTGAAGCCATTGTTCAGGTCAAGGATCATGTAACATAGGTTGGAATATACAAACACACCGTCATTGGAGTTGTTATCTGAACACCACGGAACACACTGTAGGTATGAACAATTATCAAGATAACATTTCACCCTTACACAAAGACAGCAAACACAAGCACCTGCCATCAAACATGTACTGTCAGCAGTGTCAAAGCCCAGGGTCAAGGTTATCAGACATTTAGAGGAATGGTACCCTAAAAACACTGACATCAACATATATCAAAACTATTTCAATTAGTCTCCAAAACACATCCTTAAATCAATTTTTTTAATCAAATTTTCAGTTCTCAATTCCTAAGCATACAGTTGCATATGCTAACTAAATAACTGCTGTGTGGTAATCTGATACGATTAGCGTGTGTAGGTCGCTCATCTACACAAGCTGATTCATCGAGCATTCCATGGAGGGAGTGAGATTAATGGCACCTTGAACAGTATTTCAGATAATGTCAGCTTCATGTGATAGAAAAATACAAAGTGATGAAGATGTATTTTATTACCCACAACAGAAAAGGAGTCAAAGAACACCCAACGCTTCCATATGACTATAGTGAATCTGTCATGCCATACAGATTAACTAAAGTAATATGAAAGAATCATGTGTGATTTAACTTCTTTTGAGTGGTATACTTCAAATTGAAAGAAAGAAAATGTCAACATATTTCTGAAATTATTTATCAAATAATGTTTTTCATTTTTTTTTCAGAAAGATAAATTGTCAAAGAATTAAACCACTTTTTGAAATTACATAACTGCATTTTCGGTGAAATGACAACCAACAAAACCAGTCATACCTGGTTTCCTTCCAAGATGGCATCTTCGACCTCTGACCTTTCCAGGCCCAGGCTGTCGGCGACAGTCTGCAGGATGTAGTAGTGGCGGTCATCGAGTTGGGCACGCTTCGCTTCCCGCTCTTCCTTCAGTTTTTGCTGCAAAACACAACCTGGTGTCACTCACGGCCACAGGCATCAATAACGTATGGGTATTGATCACACCCGAGTCCGACCAGAAACTGCCACCCTTAGCGCCATGAGGCCTGGAACAGTTGTTGCGATTCCGATTCGATGGCTTTAATGATTAGGGTTGGTCAGAAGGACCGGCTATGAGTGAAAGAATTACAGCCATGGGTGAGTTGGGTTTAACGCCATTTGAATAGTATTCCAGTTATATCACGGCATAGCTCTGAATGAAGTTTGAAACTGAAGGAGACAGATACAATCAGTTAACCTACTGCACACAAGACACACAGCAAATTTCATTAAATTTTTAATTCAGTGTAAATGAAGGGCCAAAAGCCATAAATATATTGTTCAATACGGTTGCCATGGAAACAAATCTATAAAGTTGCTTCTTGTTTTTTCATGGTAATTCTCATTCTAACTATCAATATCACTTAACGAGGGTCATGAAGGGCTTCTACTGATTAGCTTAAAATGTCTTAGGTATACTGATGTAAATAAGGCGGAAAAAATCTTTCCATAATCATAAGAAATTTCGATTTTATGATTCTGACTATATTATGAGCATGGGTTTATGAATCACAATAAAAAAGCGATGATACCAGGTGTTTTCGAAAAGGTGAGAGTATCCTGCCAATCTATATGTATCTATATACATAAGTGTAAGATTGGTCGTAATTTTATCTTAATATAACCCTGGTGAAATAAACTGATGACTGAACAAAAATACATTTTCTGCTTATCATACCAATAAAAATAATGAGAAAAAAAGTGATCCAAACTAGACTTGGTTTAGTTTCACAGGGCACTTTACAATACATCCTTATAAAAAACATTAAGATGGTACTAGTGCAAGATGTTTGATAAAACATGAATTCTGTTCAAAATATGAAAGCAGAGTAAATGTTGCCATGTTCAACAATTCACTGACAAATTAAGATTTCAAAACTTGTCAGCTTCTATTTTATGAAGAAAAAACTATTACTTCAGTGCCGTCCCCAATCTGGACCTTCATATTGGTAAGGTACATGCTGGTAAGAGGGCGGTCGGGTAGCCTAGTCGTTAAAGCGTTTGCTTGTCACGTCGAAGGCCCGGGTTCAATTCCCCACATGGGTACAAAGTATGAAGCCCATTTCTGGTGTCCCCGTCGTGATATTGCTGGAATATTGCTAAAAGCGAGGTATAATCCAACTCACTCACTATGTTGGTTAGGTGACCACGACAAGGAGCAAGATGATTGAACAATGTTCCTCATAGTATCGGTTTCCTTCATTAGTAGGGAACCAAATGACAGGAAATATACACAATTCATCACCAAAGGTATGTCTTGAGTCCAGTTGGAATAACATAACACTAAAAGTAGCCTTCGAATCAAATTACACGCTATTCACAGGAACTCTGTATAGGGAAGTACTGATATCGCAAGAATTTGAATCGAGGTATTACCAGTATCTCCCGCCTTAAATACGAATGGGAACACCTGGAGGCACAAGGACATACCACCCATGTCTTATTACTCAAGAAAACATCCCTTCCAGGTAGAGCTTTCATTCTGATTCGAAGAAAAGTTCTCTATTTAAACATACTGAGGTCTTGCTCAACCGAGACAGCTATTTTGAATATAGATCGATGCCAAAGTCTTGTTAAAATGAGTCCTTCTGATTGGTTGATGAGTTCAAGGTCATATGCCACAAATTCTGTGCTGGGGTAGTGATACAGGAGACGAAGGTGGCGACGTCACTTCCGCAACAAAAGATTTGGTGGCATTTGGGTCCTACATATCAAAATGGAATGGACATATCATAATATCCTAGATAATCAAGACAATAGGCTCATCTACCCTGTGTCAGAGAATCGTATCATTTCAAACATAACAAGTCGATCATAATTCTTATGGGTTGTACGGTAAATTAATTGTATTGGGTAATTCCTGCCCTAAATAAACTATATGAAATATGTAGAATCACCTCGCTACATAATTCGTTTCATTATTAAACATTTGGAATATATTTATTTTGTTAAAATACCTCTGAGCAATTTTGTTATTGATAAAATCTTTAGACTCATTAATATTATCATACATCTATATGGTTAATTTTGATCATGGTCGTTGTGTACAGGATTAGTAACCTACCTGAAACTACAACTGTATGCTATCAATTTTTTAACAAATAAAAAACCACAGGATATGGCTATAGTCATCATGCCAGCCATAGAGCAATGTTTTTACAGAACTTTCATCAATCCATATTTCTGCAACATGAGAACCATATCTGAAAATCCAAGTAGCAGACGTGTAGAACCTGATGATGCAGCAGACGTCAACTAACTCACCAACGTCCGGGAACTGTAGAGAGACATACTGCAAGTCATACTCCTTGAGACTCTACCAAAATAAATTGGCTAAATTCCCCAAATATTGCTGTGATGATGGCAGGTGACATAAAACAGACTTGAAGCAGACGTCATCAGACTGACATCTTGTACAGTTGGTGACATTTACCGGACAAATCTTAACGATCGGTTACATGCATCTCGATAATAAATGCATGACAGTCACGAAATATGAGAACCAAAGATCTCTGAATTATTTCCACATATTTTCACACTTCCTGTCTTTCATGCAAATGGAAATATTGGCAATCCCTTGAACTCCACTTCAGAACAAACATGCTGACGTAGCAGTGCGGGTGGTATGGCCACGTGTGTGAACATACACGTGGACCTATCTCGTGGAAGATACAAATATAATTCCTACAAATTATGTATGTACTGTATTTTGGGTAAAATCGAGATAATTTCAAGGAAACTGATTTAAACTGATGTCATTATACTGTAACTTGATGCAAGACAGTTCCATTATATTCCCATATTGAATCTCTGAATCAAGTGACATTTTGTGTTATTCAGAGAACATGCATAATGTAACAGAAGTGTTTCAGGGCACTAGCAGATGATAGGTTCATTGTATATATCACGTGTGCCATCACATTAATGGTGGTGATATAGCTTGTGTGGCTGCCTGTACTAGTCCAGACTAATGACGATTTATAGCGCTTGACCACTGAGATACCATGCTGCAGTATACCTTGATTACTCCACTCAGACACAGTATACAAATTGTCATTTCTGATATACATTCATTGTTCAATGTAACATAAAAACAAACAAAATAACCTGATAACTTGATCTGACAGAACAAAAGGGACCTTATGGTTGCCAGGATACAATTGTGCTATGACTTCCGTAACATCAACCCATATGCGGACAGTGCAGACTCTTGTTCATTCGTAACATAATCAAAACATTATTTCAAAACATATCAGTATACACGTCTACTTTTGATTAAACAAACATTATATCTAAATACTGCTATTGGTACCTAAATAATTATTAAATGTATTTCAAGGAAAAAAATTGGAGGGCTGCCTCCATGGTCTAGTGGATAGAGCGTCTGCCCAGAGAGCAAAAGGTCATGGGTTCATTCCCTGGCTGCGTCATCCCAAAATACATCAAAAGATGGAACTTCTTGTTACCCTGCCTTGTGCTCGGCATTAAGGGGCTAAAACAAGGACTGGTTGGCCTAGAGTCAGTACAGTGTGTCTGAGTGGGGTTTTCATGTTAAACTGCAGCATGGTATCTCAGTGGGCTAGCACTATAAAATCGGTATTAGTCCAGACTAGTACAAGCAGCCACACACACACACTCGTGCATTCACGTCACTATGTAAGTGCAGTGATCTGGAACGGGACGTTAAACCCCATATCACCTCACCTCACCGCTCCTGAAAAGGGTGACTTTGCAGAAAGTGAGTGAGTGAGTATGGTTTTACGCCGCTTTAAGCAATATCCCAGCAATATCATGGGGGGGGACACCAGAAATGGGCTTCACACATTGTACCCATGTCGGGAATCGAACCCAGGTCTTCGGCATGACGAGCTAACACTTTAACCACTAGGCTACCCGACCACCCCTGCAGAAAGGGAGTCCAAATGTTTGACGCCATGTATCTGTTATAAATATGAATTGAAGCTTGTGCATTGTGTTTTATATCTCTGAGGTGTCTCTAACATATAACGAGAAGACCAAATGTAATTTTACATGCTACTTCCCTCATCTCATGGTTGGTTACAAAGAAGTAACAGTTAAACTGAAGGTAACCATTTCCATCTTAAATACATTCAAAATATTTTCATAACTTAAACAAACAAAAAGGGCTTACCCGACTACTGTTTGCTACCTCTGCGAAGTTCGCCAGCGACGAACCAGCAATTCCAAACACTTTCTTCTTAAACATGGTGTCAATACAAACACATAAAGTGATTGTCTGTTATATTTTTGTCAACCATCAAGGGCTACAAGCCCAAACTATTCTACCTCTTCTAAAGCTACAAGTTTGACCACCATCTGAACTTGGACTGAATTGTCTATGTTTCAAACATGGCTCCAACCATTGTCAAGTATTTGTCATATTTCTTGAGCAGGCCATGTCAGTTTGCACACAATGCAGATAAAAAAATGATAGTTTTCATTTTCTAAACACTGAAATATGACACAGTTACATAAGAGCTTTATCACGAATAACCTTTCCACTCAGTAGACTGAAAATACAATCTTCCCAAACTGAATTCAAGATTCACATATTCCGCAGGTATCTTCTTCCCAAATACATTTAGAATCTTTGATTTGATATACTTGCTCCACAATCGATTAAATAAACTCGTTCCACAATCTTCGATTAAATATACTTGTTCCACAATCCTCGATTAAATATATTTGTTCCACAATCCTGGATTAAATATATTTGTTCCACAATCCTCGATTAAATATACTCGTTCCACAATCTTCGATTAAATATATTTGTTCCACAATCCTCGATTAAATATACTCCTTCCACAATCTTCTCACATTCAGCAGCAAGGATTCCGACATATTTGAAACCTTAACATTCCCGTGTAACTGAAATGGGA